ATGAACTTTGTCTCTTAGAATGTGGAAAGTTTTGACAATGTAGAACCAGGATGGGGAACCTCAGGCTTGTGGGGCTGCCTATGTGATATAAATCAGCCTCATATAACCAACATGACTAACAACTAAGGCATGTAGAGGTTAAGACCATAGAGTAAGCAGTCCTGCCAGGCTTAACTAGGCCACATACCCTCACATTGGGAGGTAGGATTACCAAACTCTTTGTTCTTTCCACCAAGACCCCCTTTTTACTGTGTGAACCAGCCAGTAAGGATGCCTGGGCTAGTTGCTCCAAGCCCAGATCATGTGGCCTTAGCAAGCCATCTTTGGTTTCCTATACAAATAATTTAGAAACATTTTTGAAACTAAGTTGAACTGCCTGCCTGTGCTTGCTGCTGTATGGGAAAGCACATGAATCTGACCTTGTGAAGAGTTTGTATGTAAACCATTTTTTTAAACTTACCGAACTTTCTATGTTTGGAAGAAACTTAGAAGAGGATATTTTAAAGGTCTAGCAGCCTACTTTTCCACATTTTACTTTGCTGCATGTTTTGTGATTTTAAATCTCTGCTGAGGCTGTCTCACCAAAGAGTACTTGCCCCAAACTTGGATCTAGGCACCCATGGAATTCTCCTAAAGGGGCCACTCCTCACCAGCATTCCCTCTCATCATCCTTGAGTGCCTTTGCCTGGCTGGAATGTGTCCTTGACAATGACTTTTGCTTGTCTGGAGGACAGAGCAGTGCATGCAAGTGTATGTAGAAATTAGCCTATTATACAAAGGTCGCTTCTACCTCCGGCCCTGCCGCTCACTCGCATGTGGCCCTCAGAAAACTGCCCAGAAGGGACTGTGGTCCTTGACCTAAAAAAAGTTTCCCAACCATTGTAGAAGCTCTTTAAATGTTATTCTGCCACACACCTTGCATACATGCCCGAGGAAATCACTTTTCACCCTTCAGTTCTTTTATGGATAGAACAAATTCCTTCCTGACATAACATAGAGAACAAAAGATGCACTTATTCTCATGTAAGGCTAAATGCTCTCAGATACTTCAGCTGTATCCTTTTTTTTTCCACAGGAGCATAGGCAAAATTGTAGGAGGCTATCAGACAGAGTAGTGCAGCAAGGAGTGTACATCACAAAGCACTCGTGGTTTATTCATTATCTCAGCTGTCTTTTAGCTTTCATTATTGATGACCACATTTCATAGTGTGCCTTTTGAACATACCACAGGATCCTTCTGTGAAAGTCACGGGATACGGAGAACACAGAAAACTACCTCCCCAATTGCAATGGTCTGCCAGTGACCAGAATGGTAACTATGAGGTAGAAGTGTTAGAGAAGACTACCAAAAGTCTTGCAATGTCTTGAAGATGAATTTCAGAAAATCAAATAAGTCATACTTTGGGTTACAGACGTTTCAGGTTGTGCGTTTTCGGGTTGTGCACTGCGCCAAACCCCAAAGTACCAGAACGGGTTACTTCTGGGTTTCGGCGCTTTGTGCATGTGCAGAAGCGCTGAATCATGACCCACGCATGCGCAGATGCGGCGCTGTGGGTTGCAAACGTGCCTCCCGCATGGATCACGTTAGCAACCCGAGCATCCACTGTAGCTTTACTTTTCTTTATGAAATCTAAGTCCATGCCATGTCATGTTATGAAATCTAAGTCCATGCCTTGTCCATGTTTCATGGACAATAAAGAGCTCTGAAGAGAAGGATGGTGCTGAATTCTTCCATGTCTGAAATTCATGGTGGATAAAGCCATCAGTGACTATGAGTCAAGATGGCTATGTGCTACCTTTAGGGAGGGGCTGTAGTTCAGTGGTAGAGCATCAATCCTCAACTTCTCCAGGACATCTCCAGCTGTTCTGTTTGAAACTTTGGAGAGCTACTGCATTGTAGACAATGCTGAGCTAGATGGACCAATGGCAGCTTCCTAGGTGGTTCCAGTGTTGCAGGCTCTGAATACCATCTGCTTGTTCTTTTTATTGTTGGCATCTATCCTTCTCGAGAGACAGCGGAGTGAGTCTCTATGGATGAAGTCAAACTGCTGGAGAATCAGCCACAGAGACCAGTCACTCATAACTGCTGCCTCCCTAGTTTTTGCTGCATTAGCAGCACCATAGTGACCTTTCTGTGTTGCAAGCCTGAACAGTGCGTAGGGAGCTCCTGGGCTGCCCAGATGACAAGCGCAACCCCTCTTGGCCTTGCTGATGTGGTCCAAAGGGAAGCAGACCAATCCATTTGGCACCAGCTGGGAGGCATACAGGGCACCATCCAACCATTTTAGGGACTCCACTCCAGATTTCTGTAGGGTTTACTGCTTGGCCTTTTCTTTCTATGGTGCTGTGTGGCTATCTTGAGAGATCACAAGTATCTGGCTTTGCTGGTGATTCAAACCAGAGACTAGTGTTTATTTATTAAATTTCTATCCTGCCCTTTCTCCCCGAAGCATGCGCAGGGAGGCCAACAACATAAAACTCAACAAAACCGTATCCAATAATGACAATGTGCCTAAATGTACCTATTCCCTTCCAAAGGCCAGGACAATTCAAATTATATTCAAATTCTGCCAGGTGAGACAATTGCCTGATCTACCCTGGAGCTGAGGAGCACAAACGTGAAGAGTGCTGCAGTGCTCATGTCATGTTTGCTGGCTTCCCTTGGGCATCTGGTTGGCCACAGAATACTTAATTGGATTGGCCTTTGGTCTCATCCAGTAGGGCTCTTCTTACTGCAAAAGCCATGGTTTTATTATCCACATCCCCCTATATTGGAGGGACACGCTTTCTCCAGACAGAAAATAAAACTGGATATCCCCTCTATTATCTTCAGTCGCTGCACATTGATGCAGTAGCCATATTTTGAACAGAAGCAATATGAGGGCTGCTCCACCACAGCAATTAACCTTCTAATATCAACTTCTGCTGGTTCTGTTTGCATTGCCAGGCCATCAGTACATCAGTTGTCCACACCAGCTGAATGCCCCAACCATCTTCATGCATATGCATGCTTTTTTTTTGTTTGTAGACATGATACACCTTTGCATTTGTAGTTTTAAGGTTCCAATTCTAACCTAGTTTACACTGTGACCCTAACTGACCATGTTTACTAAGCAGCAAGCCCAGCTCAGGGCTTCCTTCGAAGCGTGCTTTGAAGTTCAGCCTCAGTCTTGCACATGTATATATTACTTTAAGCCTCACTGGTTAAAGAAGATGATTTGGCATGAAAACACTTGAATACAGATGAATTGTGCTCATTAGCGCAAGCCTTGACAGCAATAAACACATCCTGGCTCACAATGAATGCGTAGCAGATTAATTAAAAGTACAGTGTCTTTCAGATTGATTGACAGGCATCAGGGCAAGATTCAGAAGTTCTGGAATCGCAAATATTCAATCCAAAAATTCAACTGTTATTGCAAACGTTGCTGTCAAATCTAAGCACAGGTCTGGTTTGGAGATCCTGCAGGTCAGCTATACAATGGAGAATGCTTGCATAAAGCTGTTTTACTTGTTGAGGTAAAGTGTGGGCAATAAATTGTAATAATAATAAAAAATGTTAGAACACCTGTTGAATTGTATTCAGATAGGGTAAGGCTTGCTAGCCCTGCCAAAAAATGTTGTTGTTGTTGTTTAGTCGTGTCCGACTCTTCATGACCCCCTGGACCAGAGCACGCCAGGCACTCCTGTCATCCACTGCCTCCTGCAGTTTGGTCAGGCTCATGTTTGTAGCTTCGAGAACACTGTCCAACCATCTCATCCTCTGTAGTCCCCTTCTCCTTGTGCCCTCCATCTTTCAACATCAGGGTCTTTTCCAGGGAGTCTTCTCTTCTCATAAGGTGGCCAAAGTATTGGAGCCTCAGCTTCATGATCTGTCCTTCCAGTGAGCACTCAGGGCTGATTTCCTTAAGAATGGATACGTTTGATCTTCTTGCAGTCCATGGGACTCTCAAGAGTCTCCTCCAGCACCATAGTTCAAAAGCATCAATTCTTCGGCGATCAGCCCTCTTTATGGTCCAGCTCTCACTTCCATACATCACTACTGGGACAACCATGGCTTTAACTATACGGATTTTATAGCCAAAAAATGTAGAAATAAGCTTTCCCCATCCCAGTATCCCTAAACTAAAAAGATGCACCAGTGAATTTCTGTCTTTTTTTCCTACCTAAAGGTGCATAGTTGAAAATTCATGATTGCAAATGTAGAAAAGAAGGGGTTGCTGGTAGAACATGCACTTTGCTTGCAGAAGGTTCCAGGTTTAATCTTTGGCATCTCTAGTTAAAAGGCTCAACTAGCAGGTGCTGAACAGAGGGAACTGCCTTATAGCGGTTGTGTACACATGGCAGTTTAAAGTGGCTTTGGTGCAGTCCATGGTGCAGCCAATCAGAAGCTGCGCTTTGGTTTCTGAACATTTTGGAAGTCAAATGAACTTCCGGAATGGACTCCGTTTGACTTCCAAGGTACGACTGTACCTGAGAGGTGGGGACAACACCACAAAGTGCAAATTCATCTCATAAAGCACCACCACTAGCGTGGATTGGAAACATTGAGATACACGTGTGCACAAAAGAAAACATGGAACAATCTGTTTAGTGTGACCCATGTGCACATTAACATTCTGGCATGTACACAGCTTGACTCAGACAAGTAGTGCATAGAGCTAGGGCTAGGCGATGTATCAATATATAATCCAAAACCAGTTTGAAGTACATATTGTGATATCGGTTTCATAATTTTTAACCTGGCAACATGTTGCCAGTCATGATGTGTGTGTGTGTGTGTGTGAGTGCACTATGCAAAAATCACAATGTGGGAAAAACCCTGAAGCCAGCCAATGTCTCTACATAGCTCCATCCTTTTGTGATATATCAATATATTGCGATGTTTAGCTGGTGATATATTGCAATGTTGAAAACCAGATATTGCCCAGCCCTACATATAGCTCAATATTCTCTACAATGACCGGCAGCTGCTCTCCTTGGTCTCTCCCAGCCTTACATGGAGAGACGCCAGGGATTGAACATGGAACCTTCTGTGTTTAAAACAGCTGCTCGGCCACTGAGCTATGGCCCTTCCAATGGGAAAGACCTCTGAGTGTCCCAGACCTCCTCAGCAGTTGTTGCCAGTCAAAATAGACAATACTGAGCTAGATGGGCAAACGGTCTGACAAAGGGCACTTCTTAAATTTCAAAAATGCTTAGGGCAGGTCTTTTAGGAATCTTACAGCTTCGATTTACAAGTCTGTATTTTGACCTGTGGTTCAGAAAACTCCCACCAGAAGTTGGCACTCGGGAATCAAATTAAAAGCACAGAGCCCACCAAAAGCACAGCCTTGAGTCCACAAAGCATTAGAAGACATTCAATGAATGCTGTGGTTTAGGCTCGCCGCAGCACTTTAAACCCATTTCTCCCCTTTGCTGATTTCCCTCGCTTCCAAATGCTGACATCTGCTGGAGCCGCACACATATCGCACCCTCGTTTCATTAGAAAGAATAGTATCTTGCGTTTGTAGAGTAGGCAACTGTTATTTAAGAACCTGATTGATCCCTGGGGAAAACTTGTGTTGCCTAGTCATCCATGGTTAGCCTGAAAATGTGCCTGCATCTCACTCTCTTGTATTTTTGTAATTGTTTTTGTTGTTTGCATGAAGTTATATTGAGTAAGATGCAAGCCACCCTGATAAGTGCATTAATTACCGTATTTTTTGCACCATAACACTCCCTTTTTTCCTCCTAGAAAGTAAGGGGAAATGTCTGGGCGTGTTATGGAGTGAATGCCTACGGGTGGCGGGGGGGATCTGCTGCAGTCGTGAGCAGAGGATCCATGGATCCCCTTCCTTCCCCCCTCCTCCGTGGCTCGCTTTAAAACAGCAAAGCAGGAGAGGAGCCGCTTACACAGGTGTAAGCGGCTCCTGTCTGGTTGGCTGCTTTAAAGCAACCGTGCTCTCTGTCCCTCTCTCCTCCCTACTCAGCTCACTAAATAGCAGCAAAGCTTTTCAGCTCTCTAAGCCGGGGAGGAGGGAGAGAAGCAGAGCCTGCTTGTTTTAAAGGAGCAAAGTGGGAGAGGAGAGGAGCCTTCTCCCCTTATACCCCTCTCCTGCATTATTAGCAGCATCCTTCTCCACACACCCCACACATTCTCCTTGTCCCTTGAGTGCTTTTCCTTCCCTCCCCACTTAAAACGTGGTTACAAAGCACGGATCCACATGGATCCTCAGGATTTTTGCACTGGGTCACCCCAAATTCACCATCAGATCACATAGCATGTCCATGTCTACAGCCTGCACCAAAAATATCACGGATCCACTGTTGCCTGGGGCTGCAGTGGTGCAAAAACGTGGTTACAAACCATGGATCCACATGGATCCTCAGGATTTTTGCATTGGGCTCCCCAAACTCACCGTCAGATCACATGTCTGTGGCCACAGCATGAACCACAAAAATCATAATCCACTGTTTCGTTTAGAATATTTTTTTTCTTGTTTTCCTCCTCTAAAAACTACATGTGTGTTATGGTCAGGTGCGTGTTATAGAGCGAAAAATACGGTACATTAGGAGGACAGAACGAGTAAGAACAGCCGACCTGAAATTTGTGGGATCGCAGCTTAATGGCTGGCCAGCTGAAATTATCTTTGGAAAGATAGGGATGGTCACATGGAGGCGATTCTGACTCTACACTGTAAGTGAAATCTCCCAGTACGTAATCCTGGTGCAAGTTCCAAGTCTACTGTACTTGAATGAATGCTTTTGCTGGCTATGGATAGTCTGCCACTGTAGAACTTTAAGTGTTTTGTTTTTAACCACTTCATTTTATTTACTGTATTTGATTATTTGACCTGTATTTTATGATCTTTTGCACATCACCTTGAGATGCGTGCATAATAGGAACTATGCAAGCATTTATATACAGTAAATATAACAGCTACGACTTTTTCATTCAGCTGCTTACTTTATTTCATATTTGACCAAAGATACCCAGCTCCTGTTTCTCACTAGAATTAGAGGAGCTTTGAGGTAAAGAGGAAGATTGTTCCCACTAGATGGACTGAGCTGTGGAACTAACTGGTTGGGATGGAAGTTTGGGGAATTTGGCCTGAGGTAAAAGCCACTTTTAAAAGGGCTCCTGCCAACCTAGCAGTTCGAAAGCATGTCAAAGTGCAAGTAGAGAAATAGGTACCACTCCGGCGGGAAGGTAAAAGGCGTTTCCGTGCGCTGCTCTGGTTCGCCAGAAGCGGCTTAGTCAAGCTGGCCACATGACCCGGAAACTGTACGCTGGCTCCCTCGGCCAATAAAGCGAGATGAGCGCCGCAACCCCAGAGTCGGCCACGAGTGGACCTAATGGTCAGGGGTCCCTTTACCTTTACCTTAAAAGCCACTTAGAGGATAGGGCCAGCGACAATGTCACTTGAACCTTCAGAAACCATCAACCACCACCTTTAAGACCTCAGTATAAGTCCATATGTGCACAGCTACTCTTTAATAAATCAACAATCTTAAAATTTGTCCTGTCTCTACGGCTTGTGTTCATCTCACACCTAAGCCTCCTGTATCAGCTGCAAGGAGGCCTTTAAAACATTCTGAGTAAATTTAAAAAATTTAAAGCAGTGTTACCTAAACTTGTGGTTGCCCAGGGGAGGCTGAGGGAACTGGCATCCCTGACAGGCCTTCAGAGTGGTTTGAGGTGTATACCCCTGGGAAAGATGAAGCACAGCTCTGAATCATTATAAGGCAGTATCACGTGCTCATGAACTGAAAGGTGAAATGTAGATTATTCCTCCTAGCGTCGGCATTGTCACAGACTTAGCAGAAAGCTATCAAGCAGCGGCAAGAGTGTTTCTGAGTACCTACGTGATCAACCAAATGCTTACTTTCCAAGGGGAATTAAGCCAACAAAACTGTACATACAAGATTCTGAAAATAATCCATTCTGCTATGAAGCTCCCCAGAATCATCGTTAGTGGCTCATTCCCAGCTGAGATATTAAAGTTAGGAACGTTGATTAAGTCAGAATGAGCATTAGCAATTTAAAAGGGTGACCCGGAGTGGAAGACAGCAGCAGTTAAAATGTTGAGTTTTACAGTACAAAGCAGAAGACAGCAAATATCCCCAACATGTCAGGCTTTAAAAAAAGAAAGGTGGGGAAAGCAAGCATCTAGCTGTTAAGTCAGTGAGGAGAACTTGAAAATATGAGGGGAATGACTGGTGAAAAGTTCAGTAGACAGAAGCAAGGGCCCCAGAATATGATTGCTAGTGATATAGTTTCAGGATTCTGCAATGCTCTTTACTCAACTCCGTGACTATCACAATATTGGGCAAATAAACACATGTGAAATTGCAAAACCTTTCTCCTGCTGAAAAGTCCTAAAAGAACTTGCTTGTGGGCTTTCCAGGTGTGCATCTTTTGAATCTGTGTTTGGATATCCCACTCCACAGATGAACTTCTGAATGAAGGAGAACCTAGAGGTGTTCAGAACAGTGGAGCCCTCTCTCGGGACAAACACCCCCCCCCCGAGGTCACCAAGTGTTCTAAAAATCACAAGAGACACTGCAGAGCAAAGAGAAAATGAAGTAGAAGTATTTATTAAAACTAAAAGCACAGATAATGAACAAGGCACACAGAGGTGGATTGCCCTCAATGTTCAGGCACTGGGATTTGCTGGAGTTTTTGCAATGCACTTAGGTGCTTGGCTGTTGAAGGACCCAGAGTTCCTGGCTTGGCACTTACAGGAAAAGGTGCAATCCTTAAGAACCACCACAATATCCCAGCAACCTTTAGCCACCCAAACTGAATGCCATCGCTTGGGATTCCGTAGCCCCATGCATTAAGCACCCACCTCCAAGACAAACTACACACACCTTCTTGCCGAGGCAGAAGACACCCTCCCTCCTCTGCTGTGCTTCCAATTTTAATAAAACAACATGACAAAAGCCAATCTCTACTTGAACTTGCCCATACTTTTCACTGGAAGTAGTAGCTGAGACGTACTGGAAGGAGAAGTAGAATCATACACAGCCTAGGCTTTTACTTCTTTGATCCAGTAAATAAAGGCTTTTCAAAGCTATTGGTATATGTGTTCTATAAGTGCTCTCATCTGGGTTAGAAAAAAAGCAGGGAGGGAGAGAGCCTGCTCCCATCCTCCTCCCCCTCCCCAATCTGCTGCCACTTCTCACAACAGGTTTGCGGGTCGATACCAGTAGAACTTTCTGTAGCTAGACATCCATGCTTAAATTCAAGATACCTGGAATATCAGATATAGGGCTTTTCTCAAAACAGCCCCCTGATTCATTAGCTCTTTTATTCGTGAGTTTACCTGGATCCCCCAAAATACATATTAAGCATTACAGTGAAGTGGCTGGTTTCCCCCTTGTCAACTCCTTGAAAGTTCTGTAGGCCTATAGGCCACCATTCCAACCAAAGAGGCTCTGCTGAACATTATGCAAATATCACACACACACACACACACACACACACACACACACACAGACTCTTCCACCATGCAAGATCAACTTGCACGGCACACACCAACATCTCACAGGCTGTGAGGTGCTGTTCCTTTGTGCTACTCATCGTAACTTTTCGCCAGGCGACAACAAATGGGTTCCATCAGCAAAACCAAGAAGTGTCAACAGGGCAAATGTTGGGCGGAAGAATGGATGTAAGGTTAATAAATAAAACAGAAGGATGCTTTATGATACTGATTTGTTCCTGGCTTTTGCAATCACCGGTTTGGGGAAAAGTTTATTAAGTGTATCAAAATCTAAAAAGGCCTCTGAAACGTGCTATGGTATGGAAACATCAGGCACTTTGTAGGAATCAGGGAACATGCTCTGAGTCAGGAACAGGGCAAACCCTTGGAAAAGGACCGTCCCCACCAAGAACAGCAAAGCAGCACATGGAACAGGCACACCAAGAGGAACAGCTCATCTCAACGAGCCATTTGGAAGCAGTGGCACATTATGGCAACAGCTTGTTGCTCTAAGCACTGGCCTTTGCTGAGGAAGAACAGAATTCCCTAGAAGGTATCCACGTCTTAATGAAGAGAGATAATCAGACCGGAGTCTTCTGCACCTAACCTAATAGAGCAGCCTTCCTCCAACCTGTTGCCTTGGGGACATTTTGGACTACAACTCCCACCATCCTCATAGCCATGGATGGTGGGAGTTGTAGTCCAAAAGCGTCTAGAAGGCGACAGGTTGTGGACAGCTGTAGCACAGGAAAGTAGCTCAAGCGAAAGCAATCCAAGTCCTACAATGCTAGTTCTGATCTGAACTAGAAAATGGTAGCTATTTAAAATAACACACCATGGCACCCGTGTGTCTGTGTTTGTGTTTGTGTGCGTGTGCATTTTCCGTGGAAAATATAACTCCTAACATTTGCTTCAAGACGGACTACTTGCAGGTGATTAGACGGTTAGGAGAGGTAGCTGCTTCTCCTTTTGCAATGACTACAGAGCCTAGGCACAGGATGGTTGCTCTGAAGTATTGGTTGTTTCAGCTTTACTGTGACCTACAGTCTGTGACCATAGGAGGGAAGAACACATGTTCCAGGCATAATATTTGCCTGACTGGCAGTATGTGTCTCCACCTTTATAAAATCATGGGCTGTCTGATTCCAGCAAAGGGATCTTCAGGCACGTGGATGAATGTCCAAGAGCTCATACTCTGCAGAGGTGTGTGCATGTTGTCTCTGCCCTTTCCTCATCTATTCTTTGTGCATTTTTGCACAGAGGGCCTGAGGGGGGATTCTAACCACGTTCAGCAGGACACAGCTACAACCTTCCAGGCAACTGGGAACCTTGGGCAATCAGGGATACCAATGGAAGGTATTCGAACTGCATCCCACTGTTAGAATCCCTGCACACCTTCACTCTGAATGCACAATGGCTGGAAGAGGAGAGGGCAACACTCACAGCCGCTACAAAGCTTAATTCACACCATACATTTAATGCAGTATGATGCCACTTTAAACCGTCATGGCTTCCCGCAAAGAATTCTGGGAGCTGCAGTTTGTTAAGGGCGCTGAGAGTTGCTAGGCGACCCCTATTCCCCTCACACAGCTACAGTTCTCAGAGTGGGGTTTAACACTCTATCCCTCTTCGCAGGGGACTCTGTCAATTGTAGTTGTGGGAGGGGAATAAGGAGGGTCTCCTAACTCCTCAGTAACTTTAAACAGCTCCCAGAATTCTTTGCGGGAAGCCATGACTATGCAAAGTAGTACCATGGTACTTTAAATACATGGCATGAATGTGACCTAAATACTCCCATCCAAACACCTAAGGAGGGCTAAAGAACCTTTCTGTTTATGACAGCCAGGAAAAGCCTAATTCAAAAAGGCATTGTTCTTACTTTCCCCCTCGGACAGAAGAAGAACTTCCAGCATGGTTTTAGGCTATGTGTGACCCAGTGCCACGATGCATTACAGGGTCCATAGCCCTCTCATTCTAACAGGCATACACAGTTTCTTTTTCTTATAAAACTAGCCCAAATGGATAGGGCTGTTCCACAAATGTACTGACACCACAATGGCTGCCTACAGGCACCACGTTGCTGAGTAATAAAGCTTTGCACACAAACACACCCACCCACCCAGCTGCCTTTTTTGTGAAGCAAGGGACCCTTTCAAAGCAGGGGAACACTTTGGTGAGTCCTAGTATTTGAAATTTGCTAGGCTAATGAAAAAGGAAGGCACCTAGGGGACAGCACCGAGAGCTGCCTTGTCGTATGCTATCCAGCCGGCAACATTCACACCCTTTTTATCCTTGCTTCCCAACAACTGAAGGTACTTACCAAAATGGACAAGCCCAGGATGATGCTTGTCCTTCCTCAGACTCCTGTAACTAACGCTGTATGTGTCTCTCTCCCTTCCCTTCCTCCTCAACACAGAGTATTCCTGTGCAAGATGAACCTGCCGTTCATTTTTCTACCAATAAATAGCATTTCAGCACAACAATATTGACCAGCCACACCTCCCACCACACGGATGGGACACAAGAGCAACCTCGTCCTACCAGACCCCAACAGCTCATCTACAACACGCCGGCTACTCATTTCTCAAACTCTCTTGCTCCATTCCTCATTTTGCTAGGCTAGCTATTCTACCAGGATACAATATGTCCTCTTTCCCTGCATGCCTGGACATGCAGAGGTCCACTTCATGCAGTCTCCTCTTTACTTGCCCTTTCACCTTCCAGAAACACTGGATGGAGCCCACATAAATAATAAATAAATAGTATGAATTCATGATTTCTGGAGAAAACCCCATAGTGCTTAGCACAGGGGGAGGCGGGTGTTCGGGCAGTGCACAGACTGAAGGCAGTCAGTATTCACGCCTTTTGCTTCGCAGGGGAGGGTCAAACACGTCTCCAAACAAACAAAAAAGGCATTTGTCATATACAGCTTTACATTATTAACTGCACCACAGCCAGAAAACAGAATTCCTTGCCTTTCTGGAGACTAACGAGCCACATTTTGCTTCCCTCCTGATGAAGCAAAACGTTCTTGGCTGACCTCACCTTAATCACCATCTCCTCCTGCCTTCTGCTCATCAAAAGAGAAGTGGCAGCTAAATTCAATGGCCATCTAGCCTACTTCTTTTTTTAAAAAAAAAGGCGCACCGAACCCATCCCCAGAAATGAACTTCTTCTACACACAAAGGTGGGGAGACTCAGAGGCCTTCCAAAAAAAAAGGTGAGGTGAGGGGAGCCCAAAATAAATAAATAATCTATATAGAATCCTCCTTAAAGCTTTATCATGAGTAGGACCTCATGCCCCAGGCTAATATCCAGAAACAACTCAGCCCATCATTCCTGGCTTCCTTATATTCACTTCTCTTTTGCAACCAGTATATATATATATAAAACAACTATGGGGGAGAAGCAACTCTTCAGGCACATCTGATTATCTATTTTGTTTCACTAGCTTTGAGCAGCTCCCCCCCCCGCCCAAAAAAGAATTACTGAAAGGTTCCCTCAGCGCCATCCTGCACAATTCTACACACTTGGCTTCCTTTCCTCAAAATGGCCATTATTTCACTACAGGATTACAAATCTCAGGTTTACACCTTGCCGGCAAAAAGAACTCCCCCCCCCCATCACCTCTGATCCTCCAACTGCAAATTGTTGGTGTCTCAATGCCAGCCAACCAGAATGACATGGTCTGTAAGACAATGGGGTGTCAGGTTATCACCAATTATTACTTAGAAGTACTGTTCTTGCCTTTTTTTCTTCCACAACTGGCTGGCAGAGAGAGGTGCCCCTCTCGCAATGAATATCCTGGCCATTACTGCCCTACACCCCGGAGACTTTGCCGACAGAAGGGAGGGAGGAGCGCGTGTTCTCAGAAACTCTTCTGACTGTCACAGTTTCCAAGGCAAGAGAAGAAATTGCTCACAGTAAGGAGCGATAAACAGCTGGCACGGGGTGGGGTGGTTTGCCCACAGCAAAATTCAGTTTAGAGGACTTGGGGAAATGAGTGGTTGAGCAAAGAGTTAAGTTAGCTGTTGCTAGGGCAACAGCATTAACTACTAGGACTGCCCCTATAGAGTCAAAACATGGCACCAGAGAATCAAGACGGCCCTGGACACTACTACTATGGGCCTGGACGCAGCAGGCCCACTGAAGGCCACAGAAAGGGGCCTGCAACATTCACAGCAGCCATTAGCTTCACAGCCACCTTCTTCGGCCGCAGGGAGGTGGCTGGTGACAGGAAGCCAAGAACTGAATCACACCCTGGCCACTGCTGCCTTCTGTTTCCTCCCCTGGAGTCCTCTCTGCAGCACACTGGCCGAGGAGGCTGCAGCTGGCCTTGCGATTACATTCAGACGTCAGCTCTGAGAGGATGCCCCGTGGTGGGGCAGGGCCAGCTGAGTGGTGCTCCCCACCCCACCTGAGGATGCTCAGAAATCCAAGGAAGTCAAGTCTCCGAAATCACAGTCAAAGAGCTCGCTGATGCCCTCGCCCTCCTCGAGCCCAAAATGATAGTCCTGGGTCGGCGAAAGCGCAATGAATTCGGCAGGTAGGAAGCTTGAGAAGTCCTCCTTGCCCTGCTGGAGCAAAGCATCCACGGATGCCAGTGGCGAGAGGTTCACGTCATCCGCAGGGCACTTCAGTGGCAACACACTCTCCCTAGACAACAGGGGCTCTGCAAAAGACAAAACACATGGGTTTCATTCATTACTTCTATTTTTTAATCACGCCACAATCAACTTCTCTTGAACTTTTAAAGTGTTCATTTAAAATGCTACAGGTCAGTTCAGGCAGCACATGGTGACTGCCCACCATTTATTTCATTTCATTACACTGAACGAAATTCAACATAGCGCTAAGTGGGGTATGTGTGTGAGGAACAAAGTTTGCTCATGCAGTGGGATGTTTCCTACCCTACTCTTTTCCTCCCTCGCCGTGCACTTCTTGCATTCACCCTAAACCTGTTCTAGGGTTCCTCCAACCCTCCAGAGAATATTTAGGGGCATGGAGAGTGTCACTGCATGAACAGAACTTATTCCGTGCATGCAGCAACTTACTGGACTCCTGCTCATCAGTTTTATATCCTGCCCTTCCTCCTGAAGGAGCACAAGGCGGCTAACAACATAAATGCAATAATAAAACAAGAACTGAAATGAACACCACCGGCAGCAGTTTGAACACCTGACAGCAGCAGAGTCGGTAATAATGCTCCCTATATCCCAAAGGCCTGAGTAAATTAAAAGCTTTTACTCTTGCCAGTGATGCTCATTTCCCATGGAAATGCCTATGGGAAGCCTGTAAGCAAAACCTGAGTGCCGTAACATTCGCCCCAATCACTGGTATTCAGTGGAGACAGAACACGACGACTGTGGCCATTGATCATCTGTTACTCAAGTTTGGCAGTGCATCTTCCACCCCTTTCCGTGTGTGTGTGTGTGTGTGTGTGTGTGTGCGCACACGCAGCCACATTAACTTGCAGTCTCCCCTGTCAGAGACTTGCAAAAGAGGAACAACCTTCACTCCAAACCTTGTCAGTACCTTTCTGATATGCCTAACATGCCTATGGACTCCTTATCTAGCCCTCCCGAGCAGAGGCAGCGCATGAAACAAAGGCACCAGGCACAACTGCTGAGTCACGACACCGACCTCCTTGCCACACTCTCTGTCCATGTGCCTCCCCAGAAATTCAGCCTGCGGTCTTTTCTTCTACTCAGCCCATAGGCAGGGAACCCCAGCCCAGCCCAGGCTGCTGCATGCAGCGTCCCAAGCGAGGCTGAGTATTGTGCTTTGTCACCACCATGGGGAAGGCAGGTGGCTCAGCAAAAAAAGAAAAGGGAAAAGGAAACCTGGAGCCCAGCAACAAAGCAGATGAGATTATGGTAGCTTCTTAAGAGAGGCCACCGTGACAGAAAAGGGCATGTTTAAGACTGTGTTCTGCTCTTTCCAGGCAGAAATCTCTTCCAAAATGCCACAGGTCAGTTCAGGCAAGGAAAAGTGTGGGCAAAAGCCAGTTTTAGAAGAAAAGTTAAGGTGGATACTTCCTCCTTTAAGCACAACTGCCCTAGTAGTGCCTGTCAACCATCACTAGGAGCCACAGCGAACCATCAGGCTTAAAGCACAAGGTACCTGCTGAGATTAGCCTCTCACAGGGAACGGCCAGAGCTCATTGCCCAGCTTCTCCAGGTGTGCTAGGAAGAAACCCCTGCCTGAAACCCTGGGGGTATGCTTCCAGTCGGTGTAGACAGTACAGAGTTAGATTTGGTATAAGGCAGCTTCCTATATCTGGGTGATGGAAAGGAAAGCCCAGCATTAGGAGTGTGTGCAGTAATGCTTGGGTAGGGCCAGGAGGGAAAGAGGAAGAACAGAATGTTTCCCCTTTGACCACTTGAAGCCCTACCTAACATTCCTGATCTGATTATACGGAGACTTCAGTAGGCACAAAATACATATTTTCCACGCAACTCCACCCATTAAGTTGGGGTGAGCAGGTTTTAGATTAAACAACTGGACAGAGAGGAATTCTTGGATCTCTTGCTGCTAACAGAGTTTACACTAGGCAGACCCTTCTGGGTTTTTTCATCAGAAAACCAGAGTGGCTGAAATCTATTGAGTTATGAGAAGCGAATGCTAAGATGGGAAGCAAAGGAATCAATTCCCCCCCCCCCACTGGCTTACAACACACAGCACAAAAAGATGAAAGTCCACACAAAAATGATGCTTCTGATCCTAGCATATCGTTCTCAAGCGAATGGCTTTCAGTCTAGCTCAGGGAAGGGGAACCTGTGGCCCTCCTGATGTTTCTGGACTACAAATCCCATCATCCTTGACCTTTGATCATTGCTAGATGGAGCTGATGTGAGTTGTGAGTCCAGCAACATCTGGAGAGCTACTGGTTTCCTATCCCTGGTGGAGATCTAGGCTGGATCTTTTACTGGAGGTCTGGAAATACATTCCTTTTAATTAAATCTTATGTCCTATTACAGATGTATCTAATCATGGGGGGAGGGAGACTAATAATAATAATAACAACAACAATAATAAACAAATTAAAAAAAACTTCTATACTGCCCTTCATCCAAGAATCACAGGGTGGTTTACAGCATAAAAATACATAACATAGTAACAAACAAAAACAATTACACAGCCACCCACACCAGTTTATGGTCTTGTTTAATTAGCCAAAGGCCTGAGAGGGGAGGAATGTTTTTGCCTGGCACCTAAAGATATGTAACAAAGGCGCTAGGCAAGTCTCCCTGGGTAGAGCATTCCACAAGCAGAGAGCCATTGCAGAAAAGTCCCGTTCTCGAGTTGCCACCCTCTGGACCTCTTGTGGAGGAAGCACACGAAGAAGATGATGGTTGCAGGATCTAGGTCGGTTCATATGGAGAAAATACAATATCTTCTGTGTTTGTGTACCAATGATCTGTACCCAGTCCACAAACCAAGCCTGCCCTTGCAAACCCCCAAACTGCTCCCACGCTCCACTCTGCACCCTGTTCTATGACCTATGTTGTGATGGGGCTGGCGTATCAGCTGCTGCAGACAAAATAAAGGGACAGCCAGCACAACTATGTATTTATTGCAAGCTTCTCAATGTACCTGGTTGGGCCCAGCTGTACACAGAAACCCAGACTAGATGGGCCATGGTCAGACCTAACAAGGCAATTCTCACGCTCTTATAGGAGACGTTATAGGCTCAGATCCTGACCTGCTTTGATACAGCCTCCAATCACAACATGCTCCAAAGGGACCTTCGGGTGCCCTGTTCCCCCATCCACATACCTTGGTCTGCACTCAGCAATGGTGAGTTCATTTCCTGGGAGGGACGCAGAAGTGCAGGAGCTGCTGCTTGCGAAGACCCTGGGGAAGGTTCCTCGGAAGCCACCTTCAATGGACTCTTGGTGGGGCTGCAGACTCCAGAGCTCTCTTCTGGGCACAGGAACACATCTATTGGGCCCTGGGTGCTCTTCACAGCAATTTGGAAAGCCTGGAAAAGAAGAAGAGGTGGACATCTGTGGAGACATTTACACAACTGAATAGTTTTCTGTCGTGGAAAATCTCCCTACCACCTTGTTCCCCTGAAGAAGAGATTATGGTCAAAACATGGTGGGAACTTAACCTATATTCCAGTGATGTGGGGATTAACAGGTGGACATTAGGATTAATTAGGGTTTTACAAAACCTGGATTGGATTGGGGGGGCTATGCACAGTCTTACCATTCTTGGCTCTAACTAACAGGGGCTAAATAATAGAGCAGTCACTTTTTCCAAGAAGGACTACCCCTCCCCAAATGTGCAGCATTAGCTTCACATTGTCTACTATTTCCCCCCTAGCTCACCAATTGTATTTGGAAGGATGGAGACAACATTGCCTGAGCTGCCTTTTTCTGGAGGTCAACAATTTATTACAGTGGTACCTCGGGTTACAAACACTTTGGGTTACAAACTCCGCTAACCCGGAAGTAGTACCTTGGGTTGCGAACTTTGCCCCAGGATGAGAATGGAAATCGCACGCTGGTGGCGTGGGAGGGCCCCATTAGTGAAAGCGAGCCTCAGATTAAGAACGGTTTCAGGTTAAGAATGGACCTCCGGAACGAATTAAGTTCATAACCTGAGGTACCACTGTATTAGCAAGGCTCCGTGGGTGAATGAATGTTGATTCGTACTCACCATTATCAGCTAATCCAGTTAAAGTGAAGCTACTAGCTACCCCCTCTCCACCCTTCCATACAGTTTGTAGCTGCATGAACTGTCTAATGTATTTCTAATTCTTGCCTCCAGATCTGTCTACTGGAGATGACATGATTTGGATCAGTATGATGCATGGAGAATCCTGCCTTGGATAGGCAAGCGAGAAAGGATCCTTATTGGCCTATGATTCTTGAAGACTGGATTTCTTAGCCATACCATTGGTTCAGGGTTGGCTACAGCTGGATCAGTCACCACAGACTTCTGCAAAGGGAGTGACCGGTTCAGCTGGTAGGAGCTGGTGCAGAAAGCATTCTGTGCACAATGGCCCTGTAGTGACCAGGAAGAGTTACCTCTGCCGGGTCAGAGACTTGCATCTGCGTCTCCTGGGGTGCTTTGATCACCATCACCAGTTGCTCAGAAGGGTCTGCAATGCTGCGCAGATCTTGGCATGTCACATAAGCTGAGGTGTGCCCAGTTAAGTTTTGCCAGGAGAAGGATGACAGACTACATGCTAAGCGCTAAGTTACCAAGCCCAAATCACTAGCTTTTGGGAAACAAAGACTTCCACTGTTCTCCTGAACGCAGCATAATATGCTTGTATCCTTCAGCTACCAAACATTGTGGGGAAGATACGAAATGCTAGAATTGCTTTAGTGTGGGATGGCACGTATAGCTTTTCCACACAGCAAGAAATCATTTGTTATTGCAATAAGAAACTGCCCCCCACCAGTAAAACTGCATTATTGTTATTTTTTAAAAGCATCATTAACATTTGGGCACCTTTTCCTCTTCCTCCCAAACATGGACATTGTACATCCATGGACCAGCATCACAGAGCCCGTCTGTGCAATTTCCCAGTGGATTCTGCACTATAATGGCTTCGCACAGGTGTCAGCCTCCATTACAATCAATTCCTTGTTAACTGTATACATTCTTGGAGAAGAATGCTAACACTTTGGGAGGCAGTGAGGGGCAATTTTCTGCTCCACATTGTTCTCTGATATCACCTGGATGATTCAAAATGGACAACAAGCCCATCAGCCTAATCCTTAGGACCATGAAGTTAATCAATTCAGCTACTTCCACCAGACACCCTGAAGAAAAGCCACTTGCTTATATATAAAGCGTGGGCGGTGTTGGTGATGAGCTGTGTGCCTCCTGGTCAAACTTTAATGGACTGCAAAGGAATATGTTGAAACTGAGTTAAATGTGACAGTTGTGACACATTTACGGCACTGCACCCGTCACAGAGGGTGGGATCCAAGTCGCATTATCAGGAACAGGCTGAGCTACAGAGCTGCCAGGCAAAAATCAACTAGCAACATCTGACTGACTTAACGCCACCCTTCTCTCGCTCTCACACAGCTCTCCGTTCCACTGACAATGCACAGCGTTAACCAGCAGCCAGGTAGGGATTTTCCATTAGCTCACAGGGTGGGGAAGTACAAATTAAAACACCAACACCCAGTCCTGGAATGTCAGGGGTGCAACTACCTCTTTGGAAGAAGGCACTCTTTTTGCACCTGGCTAATGCTTTGGACCTGCTTGCTAGGAGCCCAACTCTGCATCTTCCGGTTTGCCAAAAGCACCCAACCCCCCCTCCACCTTCCACACAAGGATATTGCTTGTTTTCTGGGTCCTCCGTGAGGTGCTTGAACTGAGTAGTACACATCTGGATGAGGCTGTCCAGTTGCTGTTCTGCTGCCTGAAGATCCTGGAGTTCCTTCACCAACCCCTGGCTCTTGCTGGCGCTCCCCACAGCAGTCCGGCTTCCCCTAAAGAAAACAGGGCACGTCAAGATGGAACAGTCTCATCAGCGACCTGCTGTCTCCTAACATCAGGGGGCATATTAAAAAGAGGAACAGGCAGCATGTTCTATGGTCCCACATGGTCAAAACTGATCCAGCGCAGGGTTAGTGAATGCCCAGGTACTTATATTAGAAGTTTATGGTGCAGCAACATGGAAGTCACATTGGGCCAACTCTGAAAGTTGGTCAACTCTATCCGATACAACTTTTCATCTGCTATTCATTTGAAGTTGGTGAATGTTTATATACAACCATCACTGCACATTCAAATAATCCCCACATCAGGATGGGATGTAGCACACATTTTTCTACAGCATGGTATGGATCAAGCATACATTGCAGATGAACACATTCATGCCACACTTCATGCATTACATTATATGCGCAGGCTTTTTTGTAAGATCATCTCTTCCGTGCAGGAGGGGAATAAAACATTTTCAAAAGGACAGAAGAGCAGTTTTTTAGCTTAAGTCAGGCTTAACAGCATAATCTTAGGCACATTTACTCATAAGGTAGTCCCATTTCATTCCATGGGGTTTGCTGCAATCCTATGCACACTTACTTGGGAGTTAAGCCTCATTTAATTTTGTCATAAGATCATAGGAAGCTGCCTTATATCGTCAGACCATTAGTCCATCTTGCTCGGTTTTGTCTACAATGTCTGGTAGTGACTCTCCAGGGTTTCAGACAGACACCTCTTCCAGTGCTACCTGGAGATGTCATAGATTGAACCTGGGATTTTCTGCATGCAAAGCAGATGCTCCACTATTGAGCTAAGACCTTTCTGTAGTGAGAGGCTAGGTTCTCAATAAACATACCTAGGAAAGCACAATTTATTCAAATCATAATAATAAATACTGGTGCAGCTTCAAAAGCACGGATGGAGCAGAGGTGCACGTACACTTTACAGCAGGACTCCCAGTGGTTCAGGAGATGGGATTTCACTGCCCTGCAAAGCTGTTTGCCCATCCCTATGACAAGTAGCACATTTTACGCACATTCCATAAAGTATGTACATTTCATTTTGTCGTTTACATAGATAGCCGAATTCAGTTTTTCTGACACCATGTTCAAGTTTTCTTGATGTAGTCTTTTGTTCCTTTAAGCCTTTGACTCCATATATAGTCCTTGTGATGACATTATTCACTCACAGAAGAATGCTTGTAAATGAGAACTATTAACAAAAGGAGCTGTTTTAAGTCCAGTACAGTAATCACTCTCATCTTCAAGTGTTACCCTATTAGTTTTGTGCAATACAGAAAGCCTTATCCACGCCAAACCAAAGGCTTTTCTCCTAAGAGACACATTCCAAAAGGACAACCAGGCAAGTCTCCTACAGCAAATGCAAGAGGTTGGTTACTTCCTAAGGCCAGGAGAAATTCGGAAGACCAATACAATCAGAATAGGGCAACCCAAAAGAACAGGTGACATTCTACTTACAACCACTGGATATGGTTCTTGGACTTCTTGGTGATCAGCTGGATACCTTCCAGGACATTTGTGATGTCATAGATCCGCCTCTTCTGCACCTTCAACACCTCTGCAGCCCAGTTGAGATCCACAACACCATCAGGCGATTGGCTCAGCAGCTCCAGGAAACGTTTGGTGGTCAGATTCAGGGAGGTTTCATAGCGGGATTTCTCTCCAGGAGACTTCACCCCTGAGGATCAATGATGACTTCATTACAACTAGCAACGTTGTTGAAGGTTTGCCACTGCATGGCTTGGAATGCGAACTTGTCCAGCTCATGATGCTTGGCTGCATCGCAAATCAAGCAGCATTTCCCCAAGTTACTGCTGTTTAGCTCAGAATTTAAACCCCCAATGCCTTGAATTCTGCTATCCGAGGCACCAGATAAAATATAAAGATCGTGGCTTCTCAAAGAGGGCTCCAGCAAGACCTCCCCATTTACCCAAGCAAGTAGGAAGGGTTTTGCAGAGGAGGCGGCAGGGGCTCATGGTGAAAAGCAAAGATTTGCAGACCCATTAAGGTGCATTATAAAAATCAGTCTACAGTCTGAAAGATATCCATCCACCAATTACATTGCAACCAAAAGAGGAACTGGCCATGTCTTCCGGTTGATTTGCACAAGTATTTGTCTCTTGCTAGCAGGAGCAGAAAACTTTCTTAGGTAAGGCAAGCAAAGAGTTTTGCAGTCCCCTGTAGCATCCTACCCAGTTCCCCTTCAGCTTCAGCGACGTCAGATGCCAGGGCCAACATAGTTTCAAGTCTATCTTCACAGCTTTTTAGGTACAGTACAAGAAAAGTATCTAGGGGTCTTGTGGACCACAAGCTTAACATCATTCAACAGGGTAATGCAGCAGCAAAAAAAAGTGAATGATCTTCTAGGCTGCATCAACAGAAGCACAGTGTCCAGGTCAAGGGATGTAATAGTACCACTCTATTCTGCCTTGGTCAGAACACACCCGGAATACTGTGTCCAGTTCTGGGCACCACAGTTTAATCAAGATGTTGACAAGCTGTAGCGTGTGCAGAGGAGGAAGACCAAGATGATCAAAGGTCTGGAAAGCAAGCCTTATGAGTAACAGTTGAGGGAATTGGATATGTTTAGCCTGGAAAAGAGGAGCTATGATGGCCATCTTCAAATAACTCAAGGGCTGCCACATGGAAGATGGAGCAAGCTTGTTTTCTCCTGCTCTGGAGGCTAGGAACCAAACCAATGGCTTCAAGTTACAAGGAAGGAGATTTTGACTAAACATCAGGAAGAATTTTCTGACAGTAAGAACTGTTCAGCAGTGGAACACTCTCTGGGAAGCTGGTGAAATCTCCTTCCTTGGAGGTTTTGAAGCAGAGGTTGGATGGCCACCTGCCATATAAGATCTAGTTAAGATTTCTGCATTGCAGGGGGTTGGACTAGGGTCCCTTCCAGAACTGCAGTTCTGTGAGAAACTTGCTCTTTTTTCACTTAAAAAAAAACCAACTCCAAGAATGCTCAGATTTCTAGGATTCTAAATCTAGTGCCAAACATCAGCTTCAGCACTTATTATTATTGATCATTTACAGTGGTTAAGCACTTAATTCGTTCCGGAGGTCCGTTCTTAACCTGAAACTGTTCTTAACCTGAAGCACCACTTTAGCTAATGGGACCTCCCGCTGCCACCGCACGATTTCTGTTCTCACCCTGAAGCAAAGTTCTTAACCCGAGATACTATTTCTGGGTTAGTGGAGTCTGTAACCTGAAGTGTATGTAACCCAAATCGTACCACTGTATTAGGATTTTCAGATTTTTACAGAGACATAGTTGGTTTCCTATTTTCCCCAAATTCCATTTGTCTCTTTTGTAGTGGTTCTTTCACTTCTGTCTTTCAGCCGTTTGTCTCCTTGCACTTATTTCTGTACCATTTTAACTGAAATCTGATTGTATAGTTGTAATTGATGTCTCTATCGTTAATGTATGGCTGGGTTACCTGTACATTGCTTAGAGAAGATTGTAATTAAGGGGTATGTAAGTTGCCAAAATAAAAATAACTATTTTTTAAAGGGGGGGGGTCCACTTCATTTTTGTTTCCAATGGCTACCCCCCCAACGATGTACAAGGCTTGTAATTGCTTATTCCCCCCCCCCCCAAAAGCACCACAGCTGCCTTCTAGGCTCAGGCTGCTCTATTAACAGGAAGTCCTGCCCTGTTTAGCTACTGGGAAAAGGAAATCTTGAAAAATCTGTGGATTGATTAAAAGCAACAGGGTTCCCTTCTGGCCACTAGCACCTTTGACAGGGTTTTTCGCTTTTCCTCGGGCTGCATGAACACTCTCTGCAATGTACTGGTGGTCAGTCTCCAAGTTCAGCTTCCGTTTTACCTGGAACAGAAGAGAGAGAGATTTGCAATAGGTTGGTGGATAGCTATAATCTCATTTCAGCTATGCAGTGAAACAAGGACGAGTTTGTGAAGCAGAAAGAGCCCAAGGGTACTTTGAAAAACAGGACTAAATCTATATGACTGTGTGCTATCTCCATGTTCAAAGGCACTATGAATTACCAATCTGAATTATCAGTTGTTGGGAGAGAGCGACTGACTTCCTGTCCTCCCTGTGAGCTTCCCAAGGACATCTGGCTGACCACTGTGGGAAAAAGGATGCTGGGCTGCTTAGTCCTTTGGCCTGATCCAGCTGGGCTCTTATTATGAGAGTCTCCCACTTCCAAACAGAAGTGGTACAGCAACGGCTGTATCATATAGTTTCTCTGCAACTGTAGTCAGAGCCCTAAGATATCACCAAAACTGTCAAAAACCATAGTAGAAAGTAATGTGTGAAAAAATTGTGCAATTGGAATTGCTATTTTTTTCATAGACATGAAGCTTGCTTACCAAGAACCATCCACAAGCACTCTAGCTACTATTGCCCAGAATAACGAAAAGCTTAGGAAGCTGTCCAAACTATTCACTGCTCATGATCAACAACTCAGCAACATAGGGCCTTCTGGTCATGGCGTATTTTTAGTTTTTCTTCTGTGCAGCTTCTATTCAAAGTGTGGAGTAAGTAGAGCTTATATTCTGCAAGTCCCAGGTATTATTTCAATGAACCTAAGCATCAATGATATTCCAGTCATCAACACCAACAACTGATAAACCTTTATGCTCTCGTAACTCCACACCTCTTGCCTGAAACAGAAGAGTAAGAGATGGCAAGATCTTGGGCCATAGAGACCTGAAGTGTTGACCTAATAGAAGTCGATCACATAATCCACTTAGAGTTCCACAAACAACAAATCTCCATGAGGTTGCCTAGCAATGAGCAAAAGATGCAGGACTTTTTATACAAACAAAAACCCAATAAGGACAGCACAATTGCAATATGTTGGTTTGAGAATCCCACTTTAGTTACTATTTACAGAGCAACCAACTTGGTTGGGATGTTTCAATGAGGGAGAGAGAAGTTGCTCCAACCTGATGTGTTGAAGAAGAAGAAGAAGACCAGAAGTCATACTAGTAGAGCAGGGCTGGAAACCTTTTGACACTCCATTGTACATACTGGATGAGACTATTGGGAGTTACAGTCCATCTGGAGGGCCAAAAGCTCCTCAGTCCCGTAGTAGAAGTAGCAGACAATTCCACAGATAACCCCAAAAGTGGCAGAAGCAAAAAGTCATATTCTCTTTAATCGGTGATTCAGACACAAAGCTTCAACAAATTAAGTTATCATTAAGTTAAGAGAACATCCCACAACATTATCCTGTTTTTCCAACTCAACCTTATTAAATGATTGCTGACATAGATGGAAATTAGTAAGGAGGTAGATGGAAATTAGTTAGGAGGTAGCGGAGAAACTACAAAGGATGACCACTACAAAGAAAAGCTTGACTGCAGCAAGTATAGGTAGATAAAAGATTAAGAAGAGTAACTATCAAGAAGATGATAAATTGGTACATTAGATTGAAATGGGTTGCCAGTCTGCAACCATAAGGACAGAATGGTTTCTCCATTCCTTTCAGCCCATTTTTTAGTTTATTCTGTGGGTACAATTTCCGCACAGCTCATAGGTCCCCACACAACAAGATTGCATCCTCAGGTCTATCCATTCCCAGAGATTACAACAGCTGGAGAGCAAAGCAAATGCAAGCCTGGACATTCCGCTTTCTGGAAGCCTATTTGCTTCTTCTGAAAGGAAGCATTAAGAAATCCGCAATGCCTGTGGACAGTTAACAAGACAGGCTTGATAGACGAAGTTTTAAATATAAAATACCATCTGCATTTTTTTGCCAATGACTGAAATACACTAGGCATAGCCGCAAACATAACCCTACCATCTAGTTTTTTCTTTTGTTTTCCAGTACTGGTGTTTGCTGAGAACCACCCTATGGGAAGAGAGATATAATTCTTTTACAAACTGAACTCCGGCTGAAGGCTTCAGTTTATTAATTGTTCCATTTTACTGTCCAGGAATGGTGTCTATGCTTTCTTCCCTTTAACATGGGAGGCTAGTAAAGGGATTGAGGCTCACCCTAGCACTATTCTGTCTCTGATGAAGGCCTGAAACACTTGTGAGCAGCTTGCTTCTTGGCTACGGGGAGCAGCAACGCTGAGAGATCTCACCTGGCAATTCCAGGATCTGAAGCAATCATCTGGTCAAATTCCACTGCTTCCACTTGTCCAACTACTGATAAAAGAAAGAGACTGCTTCTTTCCCAGCAGCTAAGACAAAATGACGAGACGAAGGTGGGGGTGAAGGTGTTACTTACTAAAGGAAGTATATTTTCATGCATCCTGCAAGAAAATACTTTCTATAGAGTCATTTACAGTTAACTGCAGAAGTACTCGCAGCATGCTAAAAATGCTTTAAGGAGTAAATGTTGGCCATACCTGAATGAATCCCTCAGGTACAGGCACTTTAAATGGAAGCATGAATCCGGCATGAATTAGAAATTCTTTTGTCTCGTTGCAAAACCAGAATTTCTAGGGGCCCTGGGTGGGAAGCTATAGCAATTAAACCAGTTTAGGTCTGCAGAGTAGACATGCCCTGTGGATGCCTTCACATGTGATGCCAAGAATGCCTTTTAAATGGGGTGAGAGTTGGAACTTGTGCTTTCAGTAAGGGAGCTTAATTTTTAATTCTGTCCCAAATAATACTCTGTTTAATGTGCATGACCTGGTTGGTCTTGGGAATGTGCTTTCCTGTTCCTGTCAACCTGAGGCACATTTATGTCATCATGAAATCTTGCACCCAGGCATTCCCCATTCTAGATTGCCATTTCCATAGTATTTTTATGTCAACAGGAAACATATTACTAAACTTGTTGTTGTTGTTGTAGTTATTACTACTACTATCACATACAGCCCAGGTTAGTGCATCACCAGTGCGCAGGGCAGAGATGGGAGAACAGCTGGAGAGAAAGGGCAATAGAGGAGCATCTTCTCCAACCACTTGGAGAAGATGCCTGAAACATCAAGCCTAGTGAGTGGCTGAGACTGTGGTGCTGCACAACCCAGAGGATTTAGTGCGTTGCGTCATTGTTGCCAGGTGAGTGTGCCTCAGGATGCATTACAAAGCCACAACCACTGGCAGTTTGATGAGAGAGCAGTGTAGGCTGTCTCCCCTTTTTTTGCTACTGCATTAACATCAACAGTGTGGCCATAAGCAGGTCTTGGTGCACCGTGGCCTTTTTTTGTAACATATCCTTTGCTATTACCATATGAAATGGAAATGGTTAGTTCTTCTCTTGGCTTATGCTGACTCTGTGGTGGATTTGCCATCCTTTATGTCACATCCACATGGTTTTGTATATCAGTTGCTGGAGGGCGGGCATAAGTGTGCATTTTGTGCTAAAATGTGGGTTTATTATCCCCTGGTTGCCTACCAATATATTACTTTAAAGATTTTGTATTGATCATTAACTGCATTGCTAGAAAATGTTTTATAGCACTGGCTTTTTTGCCAAGGTATTTGTTCCAGGATTTGCACTTTTAGTTACTAATGTTCTTTTTATTTTCCAGTTTATTTTAAATTTGATATTGTGTGCTTTGGGGGGGGGAGTATGTTACTTTGACACTTTTTTGTAGCAAGAGACTATTAATAAGAAATAAATAATTTTGTATGATGTTGGGCTTTTTTTTAAGAGACACAAATTTAGGGTTCAAATCAAACAATGACATCAGCAATGACATATAGTAGGCAAACCAGAAAAATAACCTCGAGGTGACACAAATCAATTACAAGGCCATGGGTTGCAGTCAATTCTAGTCTGACTTAGAGTAGACCAACTGACATTAAAGGACACAGCTAATTTAGCTTCATTAACCTCAACAGGTCCACTCTGAGTAGGTCTAGTGTTGTATACAACCCATTTGTCTCTGCCCACTGTAAAGAGAGGCACTAAAGTCAAAGTGTCCATGAGATTCCAGCCTAGCAAAGCTGAAAAGCCTCTGGCACCTATTATATCTGAGTTTCTGCAAACTTAGAAGGTGTGGCATCTAAAAACCCTGAACAAATCTGAGGGCCTAGAAAGCCTAATGTTGGTTCTCCAAAACTGAAAAGCTGGACACCTTGTGATTTGAAATATTTTTCAAGATTTAACTTGGAATAGCCTTTAAAAAATAGCCTTTCCTTTCTTGCTTCCATTCCAAAATGACAGATCCCTGCAAACTGAGCAAATCCAGGTTCTGGGGGTGCTGGCATCCTCCATGCAACCACAAAGGTCATGCCCTCAAACCTACTACATGGCTTGAATACAGCAGCACCAACAGGGCGGGGAAACCAGACATCTTCAGTCCTGCCCTGAACAACAGGCACCCCAATGAGACAACACAAAGTGAAGGCTCATTACAGATTCCCGACCCAAACATTTAAAACAAAGAACCGACTGTAAAGCGGCCGCCCACTGCAGGCCCCTCTCAACAGAAAAGGGCCTCTGTGGGAGGAGGATGCAGGCAGCTTTTGTGAGCATCACCTCCCTTGCTCTGCCTGCTGGGAAAGAGCAACGGGAATTGCAACCATCAACTCCCTTGCACTGGCCAACTCCAGCAACAGCTTCAGTTCTCCAGGAGCAGACAGTTGTAGGAGGAGGATCCCACACAATATAGCCAAGGGCAACCATGGCTCCATGTTTTGTTGCCAGCTGTCTCATTACAGAGGACAGTAAGTCCCTTAAGCATCTGGCTCCATTCACTTAATCTCTGACAAGCCAACCCAACCGAGAAGGCAGGGAAAGAGACCAGGTTTACAAGCTCATGTCTTTCAACTGGGATTGGAGGGGCAGGTAGTCCCTGCTCCCCTGTGTGTTTATTTGTATAAGCACCAGTATATGGTAGGAATTCAACATAGTGCTATGGCAATCGTTGCCTCAGCACAAGCATTTCAGCTGGCCAGAAAGAACCAACACCCCTGTTCTCCTCCCTGTATGTTGTTCTGGGGGTTCTTTTGACCCCAACTACTACGGGGGACAAGGGACGCGGGTGGCGCTGTGGGTTAAACCAAAGAGCCTAGGACTTGCCAATCAGAAGGTCAGTGGTTCGAATCCCCGCGACGGGGTGAGCTCCCGTTGCTCGGTCCCTGCTCCTGCCAACCTAGCAGTTCGAAATGACCTCAAAGTGCAAGTAGATAAATAGGTACCGCTCCGGCGGGAAGGTAGACGGCATTTCCGTGCGCTGCTATGGTTCGCCAGAAGCGGCTGAGTCATGCTGGCCACATGACCCGGAAGCTGTACGCCGGCTTCCTCGGCCAATAAAGCGAGATGAGCGCCGCAACCCCAGAGTCGGCCACGACTGGACCTAATGGTCAGGGGTCCCTTTACCCCTTTACCTTTACCATGGGGGAAATGGGGGGAAAGCACTATTGCCCTAGTCAAACTCCTTGTGCAGGCTTCTCCTACTTTCTACACTGTCGCCTTCCCCTTGCCCTTACAGATGTGGTTCCTTGACCAGCATTTTCCCGCACCATGGAGATGCGTTGATAGAGAAACTCTGCTTGTTGAATTGCTACTATGCTGGTTCACAAGAAGCTCCAAGGAGAGAGAGAAAATAAGTAACAAACATGCACTGAAAGCGTTTGGGCGGAGAGATATACATTAGTGAGCTACTTTTATTATTAAGCAGGGTTACGTTAAGCACTTTATGCTCTAAATGTATACTAACACATGAAGAAGTGGGACAGTGACTGCTGGTTTTGCCCACAACATTTGGTACCCCACCCCCAAACACCTATGGGTTCAAAGCAATGTCTGCAAAGGGGAGCCTACGTATACACAGTTGCACCTCCATTCAATTGATAACAAACGCAGGTGTGTAGGCTACCCTTTTCATATGTCACACTGAACATGTGGATGTTGGGACAGGGCCAGCAGGCTCTGCCCATCCTCTCTTCGATGTAGAAGTATAGGTGCAGAGGAGAAGGCCTGAAGAAGGTTCCTCTCTTTGCCAAATGCTGCTCCTACACCTAGAATGTAAGCGAACCAAACGGGAAGAGTGAATCCTGTGGGAAACTGCAATCAAATGTAACTAGCAAGCTTGGGGTAGTTAACACATGAAGGGCTTAAGACCACAGAATTGTGTGCCTAGACTCAGTTAGGCCTGAGTCTGGTGAAGTGAAGTGTCTTTGTTCATTCTCTTCCACCATCTGAAGCAGACCAGGCAGCACAGAAGTATTTTTTAAACCAAATAATTTTCTACCTCTGTTCTTTGTGCTGCTACATGGAATAATCTAACCTTTGGAGTTTGTAGCTAAAGCATTTAAACTTACTAATGGTGTGGTCTGTTCACTGTGAGAGGGAGGGAAGAGTGCTGTAAGCAGACTAAACATGATCTTAAAAGGGTCTAGCAGCCTAAATTCCCATGCTTCACTTTGCTGAATGTTTTGTTCCTTTTTAAAACTTCTGTTGACACACTCTCTACTAGAGAATGTGCTTGCCCCATGTTTTGGATCTAAGAATCCAGCAATTTCTTTTAAACCAAATATGTTTATATAAAATTCTGACAATTCTCTAGCTTCTTATCAACATCTTAGTGCATGCTAAAACTAGTGATTATGCTATATATTAGAAACACAGAGACAAAATAATCTACTGTACTTGTCACTTCCAACTAGTTAGACATGCTTCATCACTAACCCTCTAAGTCCTATAATCAACAGTCATACTATAAACAATGCAGCACATAGAAAGAAGCTCCTTACTATAGAGGGTATACACTGATTCACACAACAGCTTCTCTAGTACCATTTGAAGATCTGCCTATTTCTCTGTACACACTATGTCCCAATATTCCTAAACTGTGTCATTTTATTACAGTGTTCATGCCTCTTTTTCCAGTATACACAATAGTAAGAAAACATAGCACAGTCAGTCAGTGCTAAAACTGTTAGCCACAAACTAATTTAAGATTGGTTCATGTATATATGTAAATGCATATGCTCCCTAACATAAATAAAGGGACATATAGAAATGCTTGAGATATTCTGTGAATTCCTGTGCAAACTAATTTGATCCAAACCTCTTGGATTAATGTGTGGATAAGAGCATAATTATCCTTCAGATTGCACACTTCTGCAATACTTATTGGCTCAAACAATATACAAAAATGCATTAAAACTGTATTTTATTATAAAATAGGTTTGCAAATGCCTACATTGAAATAGAAACATTATTTAAGTAGCTTATTTTGTGATAAAATATGCATTTAAAAATGCGTGCAGATTTTTTAAGAAAAAGAAATGCAATGATGAATGCAGAGACAGACTTACATGTTAATTCATGCCCAATTGACATGGACTGGAAATAGACTGGTCTGCCCATCCTTAGGGGCACAACATACGTCGCCTTCTCTCACACACATTTAAAGACACTAGCCTGATAGAACAGAAACCAAAGTTGCACAGTTCCTGCCACTTCCTTCCTTTGCAATGCGGTGGCAAATCTATTACCAATCAATTTCCCTTTGGTAGGTCTTCCTTTTGTTTAACATCAGGCTGGGCACTGCATACCTCAGAGTATGTAGCTCTAAAGAAAGCAACTGCACAACAAAGCCGAAGCCAAACATTTGTCTTTGTTAAGAGCAAGTTGCACAGAACTCTGGGCCTTGACATCCTGTAACAGGAAGTTAAGCTGCTTCACTAACAACATTTGCAGGCTGCTTGCACTGAAAGAAGAGACTCGACACAATCCATTAAGTTCTGCAGCCAGGCTCAGAAAAAACAACAACCGGGTGTCTATCTAGGTCAGACAGGACAACCTTGCTGCGTTAAGTTCGACAATGTAACATTTTGAAGCCTAGACCTTCTAGTTAATGATTTCTCTGCATGCCTTCATGAGCACTCTGCCCTTCCTACGAGATTGCTACATATGCCACGTTTAAGAGGCACTATTTCAGTCACAGTCTTGAAACTCTCCCCACATCTCTCCTGTAATTACAGGCACAGGGAAAGCCTTTACAAAGCCACATGGGATTAAAAGAAAACTATCAACTCACAGATATAACTGTGTCCTTCTACTGAAATAAGCAACCTAGAAAAGGATTGAAAAGGCCTCTAACACAATGGCTCTCATATTATTTAGCAGTGCTGGAATTTACTAGGTAGCTGATCCTGGACAGAAGCAACAAGTTGAAAGTATATATATATATATTCCAAATATATATATTTGGTGGCCGGGAGGTAATCTGAGAAGTTAACCACTTATTCCCCAACATATGGGCAAAACCAACTACAAGATTATGGAGATTGCAACTTGTTCTATTACCCTGAGTGTAAAGTCTAAAGATTGCCACATTGCTGTTGGTCACAAGAGTTTTTACATTTTTGCACCATGCCCCCGGTGGAGGATGGAGCACGATTCAGTGGTAAACAAAGGGCATCTATATTATATGCCCGTCTCCGTAGAGTCCTAGAACAACGGGTGCATATATATAAATATGTATATATATATATATAAACGTTATACACAAGTTACGCTTCAAAACATTTCGTTGCTGGCCAAGCTTGCTGCTCTCCTAGAAGCCAGCAGCAGCAGCAGCGGGGAAGCGGGTGGCATTACCGGCGGGCGCTCCAGAGCAGGCCTCTGCGTCGCCGTTTCCAATCTGGCGGGCTGCGGAGTGGCGAACAGCAGCAGCTCGGCGTCGCTCTCTCCTCCGGGCGCGGAGAGCTGGTCTGGGGTGGAAATGATCACGATCTGCTGCTCCATCACATGGATGGCTTCCGCGCCCCTCAAGAGGGCTTCCAGGTCCGCCACATTCTGGGTCACCCCCAGGCCCTCCAGAGACATGGTACAAAACGCTGGCACTCACATGCCTCGCAGGAGACTGGGTGGGGTGGGTAGGGGTGAGGGAAAGGCCTGATCCTGCCCGCTCCTCCGCCTCCCTTCCCCCACGCACCGCAGGAAATCCGGAGGATCCCTCTTCCCCCACCCCCACCCCACCCCGCCGTCTTGATTCCCCCTTCCCGGGAATCAGAGCCGTGTCAGCGGGCGGGGGCCACCGTCCTGGCCGCGGGGGTGCAGGGAGACGCCGGATGGCAGGGGCCGGGAGCCAGGAACACGCCCCATCCTCCTTTAAGGGCAGAGGCCCGGGAAATGGTGTCCCGCGGAGGTGCAGCCAGCCAGGGCCGCGAGCGGAGAGGAGGCGGCGGCGGCCAGGCCGAGAGCGGAGGGCGCCGAGGCTGCTTCCCGGGTCATCTGCGAGGCCCCCACGAAGGCGCGGGTCTCCGCGGAGAAGGGCAGGGCGCTACGGCGCACAGCAGGGCTCCCTTCCGCCTACGCTCGGCCGGTCAGCGCCGACTTCCCAGCCGCCCTGCCCTGCCCCGTTCGGCTGTGTGGTGGCCCCGCGCGGAGCCGGGCTCCTCTCGCCCTTCTCTCCCGCGCTCGGCCGAACCCGTCCGCTCCGCTCCAGGCACTGTTATTGTTCCCAGCTGGTCCCGGCCCCGCACACGTTTGCGCGCCAAATCCTTTTTGCCGCGAAAGCAGCACGAGCAGGGCGCCGTCGCTCCCATTGGTCGGCTCGCCCGCATCAACATTCGGCTCCGGGTGGGCGAGGGGGCGGGGGGAAGAGCAGACGCCGCCTCCCCATTGGATGCTGCGCCGTGATTGATACGCCGCGCCGCCGCCTCGTTGGCTGCGAGAGTGAGGACGCCGGAGCGCCGTCGTGACGGCCCGAACGTTCTGACAGCCGCCCAATGGCGAGGGCCCGGGTTGCGGAAGGGGGAACGGGGCTCAGCCAATCACAGCGGGGGAAGGGATGGGAGACGCTGCGGCGGGGCACGTGGGAGAGGAGGCGGTGTTGCCGAGCGAGTTGTGAAGGGAACCTCGGCGACCGCGCAAGGCGCGTCAGTGGCGCTTGCGTCTGCTGCAGCGTAAGTGCTTGTTTTCTGAAGGTACATCCTTTGCTAGTTTCTGCCGCTTTCCTGCACCCCAACTGCCCTGCGTTGTTCTGACTTTCTTCTCATTTCGCAGCGTAGCTCCTCCGACTTTTCTTTGGCCTCTGAACGCTCAGGTCGCTTCCAGGCACATTTACTCGGAAGTAACGCACGCGCGCACACACACACACACACACACACACACACGGTAAATGGGATTTTACTCTCACCTAACCTAACGATGCATGGCGTGGCAGCGCTGCCTTTCCTGCGTGCAGCGAGTTTCCCAAGCTGTGGTCTGTGCACCTTTAATTTCTCAGTTGGCGGGAGCTGGGGCAGAGCTTCAAGGATGCATGCAGAGTCAGGCCCTCTGGCCTACAAGCCTTTTATCTCGGAATCCCAGGCTTGTGGGGGCTGGTTGTGATTGCTGAGCCTTGGCAAAGATGAAAAGGAACTTTGCTCGTGCTAGGACTAATTCACACGAACCGAGTTAGTCCTGCTGCTGAAAGCAGCTTCAAGCTCTACTGAAAGGATCTTAGTGCTCATCCCCCACTGAGGCCAACAACATATTCTAACCCCCATTCCCTCCTCTTCCACTTTTCTCACTTCTGTTCCAAATATTAGTTTGCAAACTAATAGTTTGGGGTGCCTGGTAAGGTGCCACAGGATAATTTCTTTTCTGTCTTTGTACTGTAACTTTGTAAACAAGTCTGCATTGATATTGAAGAATAGTAACATTAATAATAAGACTAATAGTGATGTTTGTTGGCCTTCAGGAAATATGCCTCTTTCCCTCACCCCGCCATTTCTTGCCGACTTTCACAATCCGTTTTCCCTACCAGTTTCTTGTGCCCTCAAGAACCGCTTCTGTTATGAGTGGCATGCTTGCTTTGGAACCATCGTCTGGATGCAGTTAGGCAGCAGTGAAGAACCTGTTGTCCTCCAGATCTTGCTGGACTTTAAATTCCACCATCTCTGATTATTGCTCATGTTGACTGAGGCTGATGGAGTAGGTTGGTGTCCAACAACTGGAGGTCCACACGTTCCCTTCCTTTGCAATAGAGCATTGGACCTAGACAGTTGTCCTTTTCCCAACAAAACATGATGACTTGGGTGATTCTGTTATCTTCAATCCACACAACCCAATGATTTCACAAACACTGGAACAGTGGCTTAAAGGATGGATTAAGGTTTGCACCAGAGCTTGGTTTTCTGGACCCTCCAAAAGTTAGTATACCCTGCAGGTGTTGCCTTCTACTAAATGTAAAAATACTGTTAAAAGCATCCTGAGAGGAGTACTTGTACTTGGGGTATTTGCTCCATGTTTGTAGAACTTCCACTGGAGACTTTCCATAGTCTTTGAAATAATAATAATAATAATAATAATAATAATATTTATACCCTGCCTTTTTCCCTGATGGAACTCAAGCCAACTTACAGATAAAAGTTCAGGTGCTGTAAAGTTTTCTTCATTTTTTAAGCAGCGTGAGATGTATGTTTGCCCCTACATCTACATGCAGAAAGAAACTGAAGTCAATCTTGTAGCCCTGGCAAGTGAATCTGCATAATAAGTGTGTTCACCACATGCATACATTCAGTTTTTATGTAGGACATGACCCTGCTAAAGTGAAGCACATTAAAACACTGTTGATTTAAATGGGAAACCTGAAAACATTCAGGGATGAGTGAGCCTATATTTATATTTTGTCAAATCCAGATATATGCTGCCACTCTGCCAAGTTTTTAAAGTACATGTTTAGATACACATTCATAAAACCATAATTCTGGGCGGATGGGAATGAGTAATTAAACAACTACAAATTCATGAGTAGAGCAAGCAATGGTGTAAGTGTTGGCCACCTAGCTAGGACTGTAAGATAAGGTGGCTTATGCAACACAAGTAGTTGTTAAATATAAGACTGTAATATTTTCTTTGTCATTGCATTGTACAGTATTACTATTGCAACAGTGAAAATAATTGGCCTCATTGATGTATTATATTAATACCTCTGTTTCTGTTTCTATTATTGTCCCCTTTGAATGTTATTTCTGTGATCACCATTGTACTGCATGTACTATGCTTTTATTTCCATGAAATAGTCACCACAGCTAGAACCCTTGTGCATGCTTACTTTGGGTTAAACCTTGTTGAAAAGGGTGGCCCTGAGTAAACATGCTAGGCTCCTGCTGCACATGACAAAAAGAAAATGAAGCAAGCCAGCATTTAAAAGACAGAACAGTAGAAGATAACAGTGGAACACCCACAAAATATGGTTTAGATTGTGGAGTCCCTTCCATGTGCATTGTGATGATATGCCACACAAGATTCTCACAAAAATTGAAATATAGACTCTGGTATAATAAATGGTAGAGTGTATGTCTGATGGTGAACCGGTTCTGCTTTCATGCATAAGGCCTGATTGCCCTGTAGTGCTGGGGCCCATCCTGCCATTAGGCAGAGTGAGGCAGCTGTTTCGGGTAACAGAGAGGAGGGGGGTGGAAGCAAACTGTTCCAAGTACAGAGCTAGGTGTGCCATGCTGCCTGCCGTATACCTGCCTGTTACCTTCACATGCAGAGGAGGGCACTGTTCCATTGCCAGTGCTAAACTAAAGTTCAACTGCCACTTTGATTGGTTTCCGTAGGTGCCATCTTGCTTTTAATTCAGGCAGCAAAAGTTACAGTGTTGCATGGCATACTTTGTTTCGTCTTTTTTCTTGCAAGTGATAAACTAGTGTACTAGATAAAATAAAATGTAATTGTGTTAGACATGCTGGCATCCTGCATTGATGAAGGGAATCAGTCTGGATCACTTTTGTGTTATGTAAGCCCTAAATGTCATGGGACAGTTTTCCTTACCACCAAACCAAGGCTTTCAACATCAAATACAACTTGCCATGCAACTCATGCCTGAAATGTGGTACATGGTAGGTTTTTAGAGGTAGGGCTCTTGTGCTTTTTACAGCTTTATGGTGAACACAAGTGCCAACCAAAGAGCTTTTCCCAGGATGGAGACAGGAAAGGAAAAGTTTCACCTGATGGATTTCTGTGTGTTATAGGCACAAAAGCCCTGCTTGGAGGGGCTCGGGAAGCAGCTTTATTAACTATCCCCTTTGTTAGCACTTGAATTTCCTTATGAAACTGCAGGGGAGATTTTACAGGCCATCATTTCTCTTCTTCCAAAAGAAGATATGATAGCCACCTTCAAATATCTAAAGGGCTGTCACATGGAAGATGGAGCAAGCTTGTTTTCTCCTCTCTGGAGGGTAGGAACCAAACCAATGGCTTCAAGTTCCAAGAAAAGAGAATCCAAGGAAGATTTTTCTGATGGTAAGAACTGTTTGATGGTGGACTGGACTCCCCTGGAAGGTGCAAGCAGAGGGAAGAGGAAGAAGACGAAGAAGTAGTAGTAGTAGTAGTAGTAGTTAGGTTAGATGGCTGCCTGTCAAGGATGCTCTAATTAAGATTCCTGCATTGCAGGGGACTGCATTAGATGACCCTCAGACCCTTTAGACTCTACAACTCTATGACCCAGGCTAAACATAAGTTAGCAGTGTATTGTGACTGCAAAAAAAGCCAATGTGATTTATGACTTCATTAATATAAAAGTAGCTGCCAAATAAGTCAGTCAGTCTTTAATGTTTTAACCATAGGTTATAACAGAAGAGTAGTCACTAGAATTGTTCAAACACATAAGCCTGCAAACAGAAAGCCAATCAGATTAAACAAGAGGCTTCATGAGATTCAGTCAAATATATGAATGTCTCTCTGTGTATGTGTGTTGTGTTTATATATTATGTGGGGCAATTTTGTTTGCATTAAGAATGGATGAGGATCTATGTATATGTTAGTCAGATCTCGATAAGAGAGCCTAATAGGTGAAATGGTTGCATTCATAAAACAGGTTTTGCACACACTAATTAGGTTTAAAACAAAACCTGTATTTCGGCTTCTCTAGTACAGCCTCATGGTTGCCACATAAAGGTTGGAACTGTGGTTGGAAGCCTAGACTGCTTGGGGTCACTCTGCCAGCCAGAAGAAGCTAAGTTAGAACCATTCCTTTACTACTGCAGACTGGGAATAGCAAGAGAATAAGTACTCTCAGTCCTTAGCCAAAGGAGGAACCCTAGGCAAGAGTTCAACATCAATATTTTCATACATTTGAAAAGATAGTTAGAGAAGGTGCTAAGTATTGAGTAACTCTTTGCTTGCGAATGCACTTCACGGGGCACTTTTGCTTTATGATAAATATAATGCTTTAAAGCTAGGGATGAGTTAATATGTCAGTTTCAGTTTCTCATTCTTCCAATCTTCAGCTGAAATCTCTACCTGTTTTTGTTTTAAAAAACCCCAATATCCTCATGAAAGTTAATTAGCATTAGTACAAATTTCTCCCAATATACACATTTTAGTACGTGATTTTGTCTAATACACATTTTCACAAAGCAATTTCTCCTAATACAATGCATTTTTATATATAATTTTCACGAATATGTGCATTTCTATGCACTTTACCCTTTTATGTGCATTTTTGTATAATTACTTGGCTGGAGAACTGCACTGCAAAATTGGGAGAAGTGCAAATTTCTAAGGATGGTTGTGTCTCGGCTTGTGTTTTGTTTTGGAAAGTTTTAATTAGGTAGGTTTCCCTTTAAGTGTGAACTGAATTGAATGTCTTCGCCAGCCCCACTTAAAGCTTTGTGATCAGTAAGGAGGACAGTATTTGAAAGGTAATGCTGGTGGTAGAGTGGGTTCATCATGGCGCAGTCATGAGTGCTAACCCTGGTTATTCCACCCTCTTTTTGCAGTCTTGGGGATACCACTTAGGATTCCCACCTTTACCACGGCAGCTTATCTCAAAATGATGTTGAAAACTACTTCCCGGTGTCTGTGTTGACAACCCTCTTTCAATTCGCAGAGTGAACTTTGGGCAATTTCATGAAGTCAGAAAGTGCTGGCATCTCCATGAAGATGAAGCACCATCTCTGTTAGCTTCTGGGGCAACTACTGTGCATTTCTTTCCCCTGTAGTGACTGCGTGGGGTCTATTGAGTAAACAATCCATTTTTAACAAGAAGAAACTGCTTTCAGATAAAGCTGCTAGTCTGTATTAGTAAAGGAAACATTTACACCCCCCAACCATGTTCTTTTCACTCCTCTGTTGCATCATCTGCTCCCTCTTTGCATTTGCTGTGCCAGACCCTCATCCACACTTAGCGGCAGCAGCATAGGAGATGCATCATTGTAGTGCGATCCTGCATGGCTTTCAGATGCGTACAAATGAGATAGCGCATGGATGGGGCTGTGTAATCCCCTCACCCTCCAAATTTACAGGGCTCTGTTACTCTCACATAGCCTACAGCACTATGGAGTCACATCACAAAGACTGTGTACACCCCGTACACTTAAAGCATGACTTCCTCCATTGAATCCTGGGAACTGTAGTTTGTTAATGTGTTGGGAATTGGCTCTGTGAGAGGTAAACTACAGCTCCCAGGATTCTTTGAGGGGAAGCCGTGTGCTTTATGTGCACGGTATGTATGCAGCCAGAGAAAAACTCCTGTGCCACTGTGTCCTGATGTCAAAGGCTGAGTCTTACTAATACCTGGCAGAGATCCTTTTGTTTCTGTATTCTATCCCCGTACTGTTGGTGCTAAAATATATATACTATGTTAAAATTACAGAGAGAGAAAAGCTTGGTGGGTTTCATGGTTCTGGGGAACTATAGTTTGAGATGGGTATTTACCTTCCTTTAGTGGAAGGTTGCTATACTTTACAAATGCCAAATCGAATCCTGACGTTACTGTAACATTGCAAACTGAGCAACAGTTAGACCAGATGGAAGCAGTCTGTGGTTTGATTCACGCGCCACCCCACCCCACCCCCAATCTGTGAGAAAGTAGGGCAGAGTTTTGTGGTAGTTCTGCTCCCCCCTTCCCCCATGGAGACTCTGCAGCTCTCTTAGTGTGCAGTTTTTGGACACAGCTGCTGCACCAGCTGTTCCTCCTACTGTCACAAAAGATTTTTTATTTTTTTTAGCAAGGCGATGATCCCCATTGGCAGGGAGCTCAGAAATGCCAAATGGAATTAAAAAGTTTAATTTCAAATCCGTGGAGTAAGTTTATTCAGGGTGAACAGATCCGCTTAACCGCCCCCCCACCTCCATCCCAAAGGGTAGCCAGACCGTCCACCAGCCTGTCCACTTCAGGGGAACGGAGGTTGTTCCTCTTTGACATCGCACAGTTCTGTTGCCTCAAAGGTGGTTAAAAATGGTGTTTAAGATAAGGTTACCAGACGTCCCCAGATTTACAAATCAGTCCCCTGAGAAAATCCATCTATTTAGTAGGAAGTTGAAAAATGTCCCCGGGTTCATTGAAAAAAATCTGGTAACCTTAGTTTAAGAGTGCAGTGCAAATTATGCAGACACTGGAAAGGATATCCGCATACCCAAAAGAGGGAACATTCAGGCCTGGATTTGCAACTTTCAATATTAATCTGTATTTCAATCTAACATAACAAGATGATGTACCTTCTGTTAAAGGTTGGGGAGGGGGACGACAACGACAGAGGTGACATTTACATGAACAAAGCCAATCCTTGCTAGGTACCTCTGGGGAGGGGGGTTCTTCAGAACTAACTGCCTTTACTTTTGTGCTGTTCAAGAATGTACTTCTAAAAAAGAAAAGAAGAGGACAAGACTCAGCTTCAGTACAGCAACCCACCAGAGATACTCCTCCAGTTCACATATACACTTCTTTCCCCAAGACATCTCATTTGAGAAGTAGATTGCACAAAGCCAGGGTTCCCAATGCTTATTGGCACTTCTTGTACTAAACCGAACCAGTCGTCATGACTCTGAATAGCCTACACAAGGCATGTAGGGCTCCTATCTGCAGCTACAGAGTCATGACCAATTAACTAATTTCAATTTAGTGCTGGGTGTTCAGGCTGGGCATTACTCTGTTTCTCTTAAATGGATATTGGGAAAGGCCTCTCTGTTTTCTTTACCAAATCAACAATTCAAGAGCAGCATGACCTAATAATTGTCACCATCTCATTTTTATTTCTCAGTCTCTTTGTAAGCAGAAGTGAAACAAACTAGTTAGAAACCACTACGGACAAACTGGATGTTATGTACACAGATACAGGTAACTTCCCATCATATACAGAGATAGATAGTATAGGAATGATGTAATGTTGAGTAGGGAGGCTGTTTAACCCTTCTGTGTGCTGGCTGCTTTTTCTGGCACCTCCCCTCCTTCCCCACATGGATATCAAAATCTTTTCTGTCATGGTTGCGGTGTGTGTGCAGAGGAGAAATACAGCAAGTATAGGAAAGAGGCACACTCAAGCTTGCAGCCTCCTGAAGCTGCTTCTTACTTCAACAGGAAGAAAACGCACACAGGAGAATGTTACATACATCTGTATATAATGCTTAGTACAGCTCTTAAAAGAATTCTTTGCAGATCAAAGAGATGTCTCCACAGGTTAATGTTTGAAGTACATATTTGACTTCTCTCTCGTCTTTTCTACAATGCAAAAAACATGTGCTGGGGAGCTGGGGCAAGTCAGGGATTCCCCTAATGTGTTTCTGACATATAGACAAGATGAAAGAAGATGCTGTATTACCGTATTTTTCGCTCTATAACACGCACCCAACCATAACACGCACGTAGTTTTTAGAGGAGGAAAATCCATAGGCATGCCACCTGTAGGCATTCCCTCCATAACACGCACAGACATTTCCCCTTACTTTCTAGGAGGAAAAAAGTGAGTGTTATGGTGCAAAAAATACGGTAATTAGTACCCAACATGGCTCCATAGTGTGGCACAGCTCCTTAAAATGGCAACGTGTAACATGTCATTAGCCCTCAAGATCTTATTCCATGGTGGCCTTTTTGTAATAACTGTGACAATATGTTTCAGCAACTGGTTTGGCTAGGATTAGCTGGTCAGCTTTGTGAACGGCAAAATTCTGAATTATTGAATGGTCTTTAAACTAAAATTTAATAATAATAATAATAATAATAATAATAATAATAATAATACTTCTATTCACAGTACTTTTAAGCGCCACCCTTGCCCTTAGAACCAAGGTAGTCAAAAATACCAGGGCAGACACCAGTATACTTTCAGCTTCTATATTGTTTAACCCATGACTGTATTTTCTGTGATAATATGAGATACTGGATAATAGCAACATTACTTGTTTATAATTAATCATTTCCATGTTGTTAGGAAGATGAATTTAATTAAGCTGCAGTTTAATTAACAGTATAAATCATTTAGAGCAGAGGTAGACAACTTGGTCAGTGTGAAGGCCACACTGCCAACGTAGCCATGACTTGGACAGCTGCAGCTAATATGCATATTTAATTGCTCCCCATAATTTGCATATCATTTTAATGAAGCTGGCAGATACCAAATTACAGTTGACAGGCATGTTACACTTGTACAAGATCCTTATACTGAAATTATTATTTCTTTTAGCGTGAAAAGCTTAAGTAAACTTCGTAATATTTTGATATTACAGACTAAGGGTTCTAGAAATATATGCATGTAGGCTTATTTTTAAAATCACCTTTTCTGCCCAGTATCTTAGTGATCTCCATCACAATTGCAAACTTAGCTTTACATTCTTAAGGAACAGAAACATCTAGTCAGAATGTAAGGTGTTCTCACAAGCTGCGTGTCGGATCCCTAAAAAAAAGGTTAAAATGAGAAAAAACACATTATACAGAAGTGCATCTTAGATATTTTGCATTTAATTTGTTTCCATATACTTCAGTATCAAACCAAAGGTGTGGCAAAGCTGTGTTGGCAGCTAGACCTTACTAATTAACAAGTTAATTTTCTGCTACATTTTGTTAAAGTACATAGCAGTTTATTTGAAACAGTCTGGCCAATCTGCTACTTTAACTGTATGTTTCAATGCATCCACTATTGCCTGAAAAAACTCAAGTCAACGTTTCAGTCTGTTACAAATGTACGTTCTGTTATCTTTTAGGAAATTCTGCATTGTCGCTGCCAAATACTGTATTGCACACCTAAGTCTCCAAACACTCAACAGATCTCTTTGTGTATCAGAGTCAGTGCTATTTTTCTAGAAAAAGAGGTGCTGGAACTCACCTCCTTTGTTCTCATAATGGCAATGGCACCCACCTGAGAGATGCCAGAACTGAGTTCTGGTGAGTTCCAGCTGTAAAAAAAGCCCTGGTCAGAACCCACACATTTCCAAATAATAGGATTTAAAACTTTCTGCGTGATTTATGAACTCAGCAAGCCAAACTGAATGCCATGCCCATTTTTATATGCTGCTTGTATGAGAACTACTGGCTGTGAGGATGGCATAACTCGCCAGGAAGAATCACTTGTATGTGGAATGATTCCTAAGGTTTTCAGCAGTTTTGGCTTCATAGAATGAAGTGTAGTTGGAATTCATCATCTCTGGATGTCTTCTGATCTTATGTTGCTGTTAAAAACTTAACACAGAGAACAGCATCAGGCTGCTTTACCAGAAGGCAGGAAGAGAATTATTGAAATATGTAGCACCACGAATAGGAAGATAGTCTGTGCCAGGTAAAGGTAGTTACAGCAATTAATATTTTTACAAGGCAAAAGTAGAAATGTGCAATTAGTCACCACCACGTTTTTGAAAAGCAAAGCCTGCAGTTAGGTAGTCAAAAGATCTAGTTTTTACAAAGCATATCAAACACAGGTAAAAGGACCCCTGGACAGTTAGGTCCAATCAAATTTGACTATGGGGTGTGGCACTTATCTCTGCTTTCAGGCTGAGGGAGCCAGCATTTGTCCACAGACGGCTTTGTGGGTCATGTGGCCAGCATGACTAAATCACTTCTAGCGCAACAAAACACTGTGATAAAAGCCTGAGTGCACAGAAACGCCATTTACCTTCCCGTCACAGTGGTACCGATTTATCTACTCACACTGGTATGCTTTCAAACTGCTAGGTTGGCAGGAGCTGGGACAGAGCAACAGGAGCTCACCCTGTCGCACAGATTTGAACTGCTGACCTTACGATTGGCAAGCCCAAGACGCTTGGTGGTTTAGACCACAGCACCACAAGCTTTCCTATCAAACACAACACCTACATGAGTGTAGAGGAAGAGAGCATAGGGCAGGATTCACTGAAGGAGCCCTGTCAATAGAAACCTGCACAATGATTTCGCTTGTACAATGCGGTCGTCGTCCCCCCCCCGACATGCGCACTGAAATTGGTTCTGGGGGTGTCAGGAGAAACCACAGAACAGAGTGTGTGGGAAGAGAGAGGGGTCATTTGAGCTGGCAAACTAAATGCAACAGTAAATGTTGGCACACACTTCCCTCTGACAAAGACAAAGTTGCAGGTGTGAAGTAGCTTTTTGCAGTTTACCAATCTAAATGATTCGGAAAACAGCAGTAAGGTGCGAGGAAGCACATTCACCCACATGAAGGTGTGTATATGTATTTCACAAAAGGCACTTATTTCCCACTAATCCTGCCTAAGGAAATCAGAGCAGTATGCACTAAAAATAGCAAACAAAGTAAACAACAAAGCAGGCTCTTGGCATTGTCAAGGGGTCACTGGTTCTATTTGTTGTTCTTGTAAATATCTGTTGCAGATGTCTACAAATCAAGACCTCCAAATATATGTTAGGAAGCCTATTGTAAATAACTTTCATAAAACAAGGCAATAGTGTTATTAATGGAGGAGAAACAATACCTTATTGTAGATCCAGGTTTTTAGAGGACTTGAATTAAGAATAAATACAGGACAATAAATACATGGGGTTTTTAACTTTTCTTTTTTGTAATTTGAGCTCAACATTATATTTCCTAAACTTTTAGAATGGTGCAGCTATTTACTTATTTCAATTTTCCCCCACTCCTTGAAATAATTACCATATTTTTTGCTCTATAAGACTCACTTTTTCCCTCCTAAAAAGTAAGGGGAAATGTGTGTGCGTCTTATGGAGTGAATGCAGGCTGCGCAGCTATCCCAGAAGCCAGAACAGCAAGAGGGATTGCTGCTTTCACAGTGTAGCGATCCTTCTTGCTGTTCTGGCTTCTGAGATTCAGAATATTTTTTTTCTTGTTTTCCTCCTCCAAAAACTAGGTGCGTCTTGTGGTCTGGTGCGTCTTATAGGGCGAAAAATATGGTAAGTAGTCTACATGGCATTTGTAGATGTTCCTTGCACTATTTCATTACGCTGTGGAAGCAGTGTTATTCAAGCACAACAGTTATGGCAAATCAGATAGGGATAGACATTTCCCCAGCATTGGGAACCACGATCTCCTCTTGAACAAAACACAAAAGAGCTGAGCCTTCAATGAGAAGCCACAATTGAGCTGTTGTAAACACATATGCATGTCTGTTTTGATCTTCAGAGTGGGGATGGTTGGGACTTGCTTAATTTTGATGTGACGGGCTGCTTGGGAGGTGGATTTTCAAACCGTCTCCTTATTCCTGTTTGTGTTTCTTTCTTATTAGCATGAAAACCAAACAGAACACTTAGCTTGCCGAACAATACGATCTGGAAGGGTGAGGAATGGAACCTATGTATCCAAGAGTCTTCAGACAGACCCATTACTTCTAGTTCACTTCCCCAGCACACACTGGCATTGTTCAATCACATTAGTGGCAGAAGGGATTCGACCTCACCAATCGAGCTATAGGAACAGTGGTGGATGTTAAATGCTGTTTAAAATTATTCCAGCTACCTCCCTGGGAAATTGACTGACTTTGTAGCATAGCATTCTATCCTTACACAGCAGGAGAGCAATCTTTAAAAAGCACAGTTAATTGCCGCAGACAGATATGTAAAGGGTGCTGCTGTGATGGGACCACAGTTTGATGTGTTTTATGGCAGTTTTGTGCTCTGAACTGCAGACAGATAAGAGACTCAGACAGTTTGCTAGAAGAGCTTAGTATTAGCGTTCTGGGGACAGGAGGGCAGCAGAAGTTATATGTAAATTAAGGAAATATATTGCAGGCACTGTTACGATTATGCTGACACTGTAGTTCGCAACAGCTACTGTACTGTCTATTGTTTGGGGCGGGGAGGTAGAAGATAGTGCCTTTGCATGGAAGCAACCAAATGTTGGGGAGAGACCGGAAAAGCTCAAAACATAGTTACTGCTTAAAATATCAATAATGTTCTCAAGGTGTTTGGTGGGTTTGTTCTTTCCTAAATCTGACTTGATGGGGCAGGGAATTTGAGGAGGGGGTTGTTTGCAGGATATTTTACGTATGGTAGTAAAGATTCAGGAGAAAGAAGGTGGCAGCTCACATGCCAGATCAAGACAGATGCTCACAGATACAAGCTGGTACGTTGGTACCAAACAAACAAACCACTGAAAGATGTGACAAAATAACAAGAAGCATACACCAGTGTTGTGGCCCTATAAGTTTTTCTTTAAAAAAAACTTCCTCCAACTGACAGGACTAAATAATAAACCATCACAAGTTACCAAACAATGATAAAATAAAAAATCAATGACAATACCCCAAGAAGTGAAAGAACAAAACATTCACCTTGTTGTTTACCCAGCATTTTCCCATTGCCTATGTATATTTAATTCATAACTCAAGTGCTTTTCCCCCATCCTGTGCAAAACTAGCACAAAAAGAGCTGCCATTGCAAGCCCAGGGGATTAGGCTGCAAGACTTTATGTCACTTTCCTATAATTGTGCTATAATCAGTGGCTTACCTTATATTTAACATTTTCTGATAAGGCAGTGTCATAAAAGCAACACCCTCAACAATCCATTGGCATCTTTGCTTCTATGACAGCAGATGCTTGATCAGATACATTTTTATCAATGGTCTATGTACATAGCGTTACCATATTTTGCCAACTGCAACCACAGTTGTAAGAGTGTATAGTTGCATCCTCTGTTCCGTTCCAACTAGAAGAGGCTAGGGCCAAAAAAAACCTATTCAGGTATTTATACGCCTAACAGTGAAGATGTCAAAATAGAAGCAAATCACTCATTTGCCACTGTATCTACCCTTTCACCTATCCATCTACTCCATTATTTTCTTTTGTTTCATAGCTTTCTCTAGACTATAAGTCTAGAGGAATAAACCTCAACTCTTTGAATAAATCTTGGCATTTATCTAAGTCGTTGATGATGAATTTTTAAAACAGGCCCTTTGCACTGCAGAGTACATACCGTGCTTGCAGTAAAGCCTCTCTTAGTTGCTTAACTCCCCCCCCCCCGCCTTTTAGTCATCTTCTTTTTCTAAATGCACTTTTACTGGTTTTATGTTGTTATAGGTGGTTAATGTAAGAAAGATGAATTTACAAACATGCATAAAGAAGTAAAGTTTCCCAGTACCATATCTGCACACAAAGATCCTAAACTTGAGCTTTATGTAGTATTTACTATGATGAGAATGGTCCTTTTTATTCTATGGCTAATTGAGGAAGCAGCGAAGGTTGTATTGCATATATGTAGGCAGAAAGTTACCTATGGCACCTGGTATTTCAGTATTAAAGAAAATATTTTCACCCTATTTTCTCAAGTTTTAAGATCAGTGCATTTATAGTGCATTTTTTCCACCCACAGCTGAAAAGGAAACAGCCTCTTACAGACAAGAGGATCACCTTACAAAAAGATTACAAAATGGTTTGCTTGAAATATGGCCTTTTCAAGCTCTAACCAGAGAAACCAGAGGCCTACACAGAACAACGTGGCCAGACCCATGTAGAGATCAACATCCAATGTTAACGATTTTCAGTGAAGTGTGTTCAAATAAAAGCATAAAAGCCCTGCTGTTGGAATGTGCCATTACTAAAAGATCTTTCAAGACTGATTGGTAGCAGGTCTTTTGTTATATACAAGAAAGTCAGAAACATCATGCCAGACATTACTGTCATCATACAGGTAGGTCATGGATGATTGCAATGATGGCTGTAGAGTGTGTCGGTGGTACTCAAAGAGCCAGAGAACAATCCCCCAAACCAGAGCAGCAAAGAGTGGAAAGGGATCTTGTTTTGGCTCTGGGATGTAACCTTTCTCCACTGCCAGTCGGGACAAGCCAAACAGGATACGAGACAATAGGTACATGTTTATCTGTAGGGGGAAATTGTAAACAAATATTAGGCAAGGAACATATCTAGAAAGTGATTATTTCAAACAGTCCTCAATTTAGGCAATCACCAAGTTGGTTTTATGTCAAATCATTTTTTAAAAAACATTATAATGCTTTTGTAGTCTCTCAGCTGGGTTGTTTGCCGTTTTTAGCAACAGCGTATGATCGAGCATTGCAAAATTTAGTCGCTTGAAAAAGTAATTTGTGTGCTCAGTTGAAAGATTACTATTTTCAAAGCTGAAGCAGAGTAAACCTAGGGAGAAACAAAAATATACCTAGAGACCCTAGTCTTTTCATACGGGGCGGGGGGGAGAGCCCTCTTCCCACTGCAGCTTTCTGTAGAACCTCTTCCCACTGCAGCTTTCTAATTCTGTGAAACATTAAAAAATATCACTAACTTCAGCTTTCAAAGGCAAACCATTTCTCCAGGAAGAAGCAATATGTTGAGCTAGATGGGTCACTGGTGCACCAGTTAAAGCAGTGCTTATATTTTATTAAAAACCTGATCAAAACAGGCAGCTGAAAGAAGCAGAAACTGGTGATGGGACCGAATTAATAGAATTCTGAGCTAATACAACCCTTTCCCCCATTCTATAGAGCACCTTGGTGAGTGAAAGATGCAGAAGTGTTGGGGCACAGTTATTTTATTGTCCTCAAGTTTTAAGTTGAAGGGCAGTTAAATATGAAGCAACCTGGATCACTAACATCACTTGATTTTCACGTTGCATTAAATGGGCAGCAGTATAAACCCAGAAGCACACAACACCATCATTTACCTGGCTGTTAATATTGTTATTTTCTCCAAACACCAACCAGCCTCCAATGCAGGCTGCGAGGAAAGAGTGAAATGGGATCTTCTTTCCCTGCATTCGCGACTGTAGGGCCAACAGGCCCTTGTATGTGAATACAAAATATGCCAGGTTTCTGGAATGAGTGTAAGTGGCACGAACAATTGCTTTCAATTTCTCCCTTAAACTAAGAGAAAAAATGAAGACCTGTTATTACAAATAGCACACTCTTCAACTAAAAGAGAAGTGAATAAACATTAACTACTAAGTTGTAACCTATTATCTACTTCAGAAAGTCACAGTGATCATTTATCCAGGTTTCAGTAAGCAATAAAATCTAAAGACAGATTAGCCAATCTATTAATGATTAATTTAATATGGGCATGAATAGATCCCATAGTAAATGTGACATAATGGCAGCCTAAGCCCCAATGGACACAACCAAGACTTTCTTCCCAGTAAATATGCTGTGCTGTTGGGCTGCCATTCTAAACCTGCCTTCTGAGCTCATATTCATAGGATAGCACTAAATATGTCATTTGTAGCCTTTAATTAAAAATAAAGAAAATGACTATTCATTAACACCAAGAAGACATACAATACAAGTCTCCTTGTATTCTAATCTAGTTGCTCTATTCCAAAGAAATGCAGAGAGAGAAAGCATGTTCTGTTTTTTGTTGGAATGGTTTTTAGTTGTTTTTCATAATTGTAAGATTGTACAGTTATAATTGATTCTGGGACCTTACGGTGAATAAATCTTATAAATAAATAAGGAGGATCCTGTTTCACTGGGTTCAATATGCACAGAGGACAATAACTGTACAGTACTGAACCTTATCAAATCACATAGTCTTATAAAGAAATAATCACACACATATATATGAAAAAGAAAGGAACTGATAAATATACCTTCCACTCCTGAAGAGAAATGTCATCACTAAAGCATGGGGGGCACGTATTTTTGCTCCATACCTGGGAAACGGAAAGAAGATAATAAACACTGCACACATGTACAAATGTTGTTTTGAATCAAGTTATTGATTCATTTGTCCAGTGCTGTTTTTCTTTAAAAATGTTTAGGGGTACTCTCATTTAGACTCAAGAAAACCACCATTTTATAGTTCAAATCGGAGAAAATAAATACAGTAAATGGCCAAAAGTACAAAGATTCACAAAATGTTTAGGGGTATGCGTCCCCCTGCTTCCGCCCCCCCCCCCCGAAGAAAGCACTGCATTTGTCTCATTAGCCATAAAGTAGTCAATTTTTCAGAGAGAACCATTTATTTACGCCTGTATGATATGCGCAGGTATGCAGATTACACTAACGGCAGCTAAATTCACTTTACAGTGGGGATAGGTAACCTTTAGCCTTCCAGAAGTTGCTGGCCTAAAACTCTCTTGTCATCTTGTACGGTAATTCCTGGCCATCCATGCAGGGTGAGGCTGATGGCAGTTGGAGTTCAACAATACCTCAAAGACCCCAGTCCCCCTCCCTCGCTTTACACATAACTCCACTTTACATGTAAACCTGATTTTAGAAATGTGTGTAAAGTAGAAAGCAACATGATTCGGCAACAAATCACTTTTGAGGTATTAAATATATTTCGACAGTATTAGTTTATTGGCTATGGCTTATGTTGATAGGTTTTGCCTCTTGTTGTAGAAATAGTTTTGGATTAGCATGTTTAAGCCACACCCAGACATTTAAGAAAAAGAACATAGCAAGGGTGTGGTTTACACATACTAATCCATACGATTTCTACAACAGGAGGCATCATGGATTTAATATTTCATAACTCAACCTTGATTTCAGGTCACTGGAAAAACAACCATAAATCCAGGTTTTGGCTTCAACTGAAGTGAAGTGCATGCAGAAAATTAAAGAGACGTGGTAAACTTATTTATTTACTACTGTTGTGGACTTTTCCTATTATTGTTTTAACTTTTTTATAAACCACTTCGAGGTTCCCCCCTACAATCAAGTGGTGTATACATTTTATAGAAACCGTAATAAAATACTGTAAACAAATAGCTGGCAGTCATATCTACTGCCATAGGAGCCAACTCCTAGGGACCGAGAGGTTCCATTGCCTCCCCCCCTTGAAATATTTGAGGGGCCCGCCTCCCAAAGTTGATGGTCAATGCCATTCAAACGGTGTGCGTGCGCCTTGCCCTTGTAATCGATTATGTGGGGCGGGGCTTACCTGCCCCTTCTTCCCAATATTTTAATTCAAGTTGGCACGCTTGTCTACTGCCACCTCGTCAAAGACGTGGCTGTCAATCCTCTCAGGGAAAGACTCGTCCACTATGAGGTACTGTAGTTAATTTTGCTTAGCAGAAACCCTCGGCGATTCAAAGGCGGCCCTGCGCCAGGAAGAAAGCGAGCCTTCATTCCCACCACACACACACACACACACACGAATCGTGTTTGTTTCTAACACTGACGGAGACGGCATTCCCCGTGGAAAGGGCTTTTTGGAGAGAGTCCTTTGCCCCCAGCTGGTGGTTTGCAAACTACCCGGGAGGCTTTCCCGCCCGGCCTGGGCTCGTTTCCTCCCTCAGAGCTCCTCGTTGGAGCGGCGCCCGCCCAGGCTCAGCGCAAAGGCTCCGCCCCCGGCCGACACGGGAGCCCCTCAGCCTCCTTTCCCGGACTAGGGATGCGGTGGGTGGGGGAAAGGAGAGACGGTCCCTCTCCAGCCAGGGCTTACACTGCTCCGTTACGGAAGCCCTTGACGACGGCCAACGCCGCCTGGTATCTGCGCTGCTGCAGCAGGGAGTTGACGGTGTAGAGCAGGGTCCGCAACATCGTCTCGCCCCCCATGGCCGAAGAATCTCTCGCGCTCTCCTCCTCTCTCGCGCTCGCACACCGAGCCCGGCAACTTTCGCAACCCGAGGGGACGACTTGCTAAGAGCACCGAATGCATGGAAATGGAGCTTGAGCAAAAAGCGTCGGTGTGGAAAACTCAACCCCACGCACTACAGTTCCGCCCAACCGAGGGAAGGGCAACAAAAACGATAGCAGGTGCAAGCAGCTAGGGGGAAAAAAGTTCTATGGGCTTCTCTCCGTTCAGTCACTGGTCCGATTAGGGCGAACGGGGCGGTGCCGCACCAGCCTCACTTTGCCCTCAGACAACCTTCGTTTGTCTTCTTGCTTACAACCTGTCGGGACGGCTTTGCTTCTCGTCGCCTCTGGCTCCACCTACTGTTGGGTCTTCTCTGCCTTCTCCCTTACCAATCCCAAATGGGCATCAGCCCCCACTGTGTTTCTTTTTTTTCTATTTTACACAGCGCTAGTGGGAAACGATTCTGTGTACAAGGTGGTCGTAAGTGACTCCCAGCCTAATCTGCCCCACATCTGGTGATAGAATAACTCTGAACTATATTTTCACTTGCAGCACATTTTCAAAAACTTCGAGAACTACCTTCTTACACACACAGTAAGACTACTGCTTTTGAAAGAGCATAAACTCTTGATTTTGCTCCTGCATAAAAAAAAAAGGGATGTAGAGGGTGTGGAGCCAAATCACGTTTACAATGCATCTAGATTCAGGTTGGTAACCGTGTTGGCCTGATGCAGTCAAAAAATATATTAAAAAAAAAAGATTGTCCAGTAGCACCTTAGAGACCAACTAAGTTTGTTCTTGGTATAAGCTTTCGTGTGCATATCTGAAGAAGTGTGCATGCACACAAAAGCATCAGCCTGCACCAGCACAGCCATCAGGAGGACCAACCGCATGAATCTCCCCCGTTGGTATCCGTCTCTCAGGAGACAATGGAGGAGTGCGCCTTTGGGGGTGAAATCAAACTGTTGGAAGGTTACAGAGCCTTGGGTGGCTGTAGAGACCAATACTGGAGAGAGATGTTTAGTTGCAGCTGAGGCAAATGAAGGTGTCTGGTTACGCTGCTGCACTTAAACCATGGCATTTCTTCTCTCTGCGCCCCTCCCAGCAGTCATTCCTCCTCTGGTCCTGCTATGGATGCATGACTTGACTTTTTTCCTGCAGGCACTGTGGTCGTCTGCAAGGGATTCCCACACAGCAGGGTTGATGTTGAACAGCCTTCATGTCACATTTCCAGACATCTTTGTAATACAGAGTTGGTCTGCCAACAGAAACCAGGTTCCCATATAGAGCACATCCTTAAGGATCCCGCATCGTCCATTCTGTGAAAATGACTAAGCCAGCCTAGACGTAGTTAAGACAGGAGTGCCAACATGCTTGGGAATGTGGGCTTGGAAGACCCCATCTCTGTTTGAAACTCTGTCCTGCCTTGTGTCGTGCAAAATTTTTCTTAAGCAGCAGGTGCCGCTTCTGACCATGGGCATAGGAGCCAGGATTTATGTATGGACACCCACCTGCCATCATCCTATGTCTGGCTCTGTCTTGCAGATTTGGAATGACACGTCTCAACATTATTAAAGTCTCCCATCGGATACAACCGATCTGTACAAAGGACTGAAAGGACCTGAAAATAGAGGCAATGCGTGTACTTCTGTAACCCAAGAAAACAATTAAAAAACAGAGTTGTTTCGAATTACTTTCTGTTGACTCAGAAAAATCTATCGAAATGCTTCTACTTTCAGTTATTACTGTAGTAAAAGGAGCAAATAAGCTACTTTGAGTTAAGTATTTCCATTTATTTACATCACGGAGGCGCAGCTCCCTGCCCCCCCCCCCCCGGAGCTTGGACGTTGCCCCCCACCCGCTTCCATAAAGCAGCGCCCTCAGCACGGGCGGAGCGGCTCTTCCCTCAGCCGGCCTCCCCTCCCCGCCCCCTCTTGCTCCCCCTGGCGGCAAAGCGAGCCTCCCTTTTCCTTCCCACAATGCCCGTTTAGGCTGCTCTGCCTCGGCTCCAAGATGGCGCAGGCGATATTCGAGGCGCTGGAAGGTATCTACATCTCGATATCGGGGTGGGGGTGTGCGTGTAGTCGGGCGGGCTGAGGCCTAGCGCTGGTTGGGGAGGCGCCGCAAGGACAGACGCGGCTGTTCCACGCCGGGCGCCTCCCCTCCCGCCGCTGCGGACGGGGCAGGGGCTGAGAGGACGGCGACGCGGGGCCGCCCCCGGGCAGCGCGGGGGCCGAGGGAGGGTTCACGGAACAGCCGCTCAGGCAGCCCCGCTGCGCCTCTTTCCCGCGGAGGAGCAGCAGTTGCAGCAAACGCTGCCAGCCTGCGGGCGCGGCTCTGCCCGCTGCTGCCGGACTCGGGGGGCGCAGGGAGGCGACGGATGTCCTTCTGGGTGGGATTTTGTACTGCACGATCTAAGGAAAAAGACTTTCCTACACCCCTCAACGATACCTCAGTTTCCCCTTCCTTCCAAAGGAGGCTTTTCCAAGCTGGACTACAACTTCCATCATCCCTAGCTGGCAGGACTAGTGGTCAGAGATGATGGGGATTGTAGTCCAAAAACAGCTGGAGACCCAAGTTTGGGAAACCCCGTTTTAAGGGTTTCTCCCTTGCTTCCAGGATGCAGAGCTTATTGTGATTTGGGGGACATGACAGCCACCATTCCCAGAGACGTTGAATTCCTTCAACATCTGCGACTTTAAAACTTGGTTGAGCGTATTGCGCTTTTGGATAGGTTGCCCTGCAGAGTGGATGGCTGCTTGTTAATCAGTTGTAAATTAGGGCTTGTTCCTACACAAATAGTGCTTAAAATTAGTTTTTTATGTTCCCAGTGTCTTAATTCACATACCTTCATCTTGGCCAAAATGTCTTCTTTAAGAACATGCTGGGTCAGATACACCATCCGACTCGCCCAGCACCCTGGTTTTCTACCATGGTCAGATGTTTCAGGAAATCTCACATAGAATTAGTGTTGGAAACAGAGATATGAAAGCAAGGGGCTAAATGGCACCTTAAGCCTAGGTTATGGGCGCAACAACGGAATGTCTAGCTTCACTTTTTATAACAAGAATACAAAGCTGAAAATGAATGAACTGCAGCTAAAATATTATGTTCATTTTTCACATGGTCTAGTCCTTCCCTTGCCCACCCCCCTAATATTATTAAGAGGGTCTCTTCTCCAGTTTTCAGATAGTAGCTGGAAGTGGGGAGGCAGAAAAAGGTTCTTCCTTTCCTTCCACTCTGCAGTTTTAATCTGAAATCTTAGGTGCAGTACTGCTCCCATGCTAATGAAATTCCCCGTCGCAAAATATGCCTAGAACAATGGGAGTTTCAAACACGGCATAGAATTGTAGAGTTGGAAGGGACCCTGAGGACATCTAGCCCAACCCTCTGCAAAGTGTCCATGACAGCTGGCTATCCAAGACCTGAAGTAATAATTCTAACTACTCTCCCCCCGCCCCCCAGTAACTGCCACTGAACCTGAAGAGTGCATATAGGATCATGATTTGTAGCCATTATTCTCAATGGATTTGTCTAATTCTAAGCCTCCTGAACAAGTAGCCATCACATCTTGTGGCATTGATTTCTATAAATTAATTGTGCACTGTGCAAATCAGTGCTTTTCTGCCCAAAATCTCTTCCTGATCAATTTAATTGGATGACCCTGAGTTCAAGTATAATGAGAGGTGAAAACATTCAATTTTTCTGTGCTGTGGCATAATTACGTTCTCAATTTGCCATCACACATGTTCATAAATAGAGCAACAAGGGCTAAAAAACTATCACAGATTGTCTTAAGTGATCATGCGATGCTGTTATGTGGTACTGATGTTTTAGAGCAGGTTGGGCAGATTTCAGGCATGTTGGGTCTACTTAGTGTTCAACTAGAACCCCAAATCTGTGAACTGGAATCATATGTGAAGGACATACAGTTAGAATGAAAAAACAGGTTGCCTCTGAAAATGTTTTGATCTTAGGAATCTAATTTCAGTACCAGAACTGCATCTTCTCACACAAAAGTTCATTCCTGATTAGCTTCCTTCATTTCAGCAACCTCACAGGGGTGTTGTGACTGGATACAGATGAATATACAACTCAGGATCATAGAATTACTTCCTCTATTGATGGAAAAAAGAACTGTAAGGTCTTAAGTGGACATCAAATAAAATAAGTAGTTCTTTGTCCAGAATCTAGATGATGTATACCTTTTAATGCATTCTGCTGGTTCTGTCTCTTTATTTTGTGAATGCCATTTTTAAGCAAGCCAGAGAGACAAGACAGCAAGAAAAACTGTGTGGTAATATTTACAACACAAAAATTAAATTCAGAGAGTTCCTGTTCTGGAGAATATGAAAGCTGCAATCACAAACATATTTATCAGGAAGAAAGATATCATGGAACTCAACGGCTTGTATAGAAATGGGAAATAAGGATGCTTGAAACACACTGAAACTACCAGGGGTAAGGGTGAACTTAGGCATACTCAGTGTAGACCCACTGAAGTGACTGGACTTGCCTTACTCTGTTGATTTGAGTGGGCCTACTATGAGTATGACATTGAATTTAATTCTAAGGCCACACAAAACATTTAAAGCACTATGATACCATTTTAAACATTCCTGGCTTCCCAATCCTGGGAGCCTGTTCCTATCACAGAACTGCAACTCTCAAAGTGGTTTAACAAGCCCTCTTCAGAGGAAACTCCCAATTATATCAGAACCCCTTTTAATCTTGCATTGTGACTGCATAGCTTCATAAGCATGGAAGAGGGCCAAGGTAACCATTTAAAAACAGTGATCACTTCCTTCTCTGTGCAGTATCCTATCCAGTCTGGACACAGAATCTGCATTGGTTTAGTTAGCCCTAAAATTCATCCTTCCCTTTCAAATATAATAGTGTAGTTGTTGACCATAACATATATGTTATGGTGATTTTTTGGAAGTTTCTCCAGTACAGTTTATTTGCTAGATTTAATCCGTGTTTCAGATTCAGTAAAATACTTCCCATGAACCTGCAGAAAACTTAGCTGGCCTTGATTGATATGTCTATTTCTTTAGAAGTGGGGCTCACTACCTACGGTAGTAAGTGTGTTTAGCTTTGCAATCTAAATGTGTGCAAGAGTATAGATGATGCATTTCTAACATTTCTTTTTGGTAACACCCCTCCCTCCCCCCCCCCCCGTGAGATTGACAACTGATGTCATAAAGATGCAGCTGGGCTAAAAAGGGAGATGCAAACACAGCTGATCAATGGCACTTGCAAATACCCATATACAGTGCTTTGAAGTCCCAACAATCAGCCAATCACTGGGGCTTGCGTATAGCCATGCACAGGTTGTTGAAGCCGTGACAAGCAGCTGATTAGTGGCTACATAGAGCAGATTGTGGTATTTTGTAGCCCTGATAATCAACATTGTTGGGATGTCAAGTGCCACACCAGGTTTTTTTCATGCACTGACGATCAGCGGATTGTTGAGGCTTCAAAGCACTGTGTATGGTGTTTTCAGATGATTGTCAAGTGAGCAGGCTTGCTCCAGTTCCCCACCTGTTTTAGTACTTTTTAGTGATGAGCCTTTTAACCCACTTATTCCTACACTTGTGTACTAGAAATAATCATTCTGCTTTTACTGGTAGAATCTTAGAAAGAAAGCCTTAGCAATATTGTCAATCTTGTTGCTTTAATAGAGTAATAAAACATGTTAGGTTTTAAAAATTGTGGGGTATTGATATCATAAAAGGTAAAGGTAAAGGACCCCTGACAGTTAAGTCCAGTCACAGACGACTCTGGGGTTGTGGCGCTCATCTCGCTTTACAGGCTGAGGGAGCCGGCATTTGTCCGCAGACAGTTTTTCCAGGTCTTGTGGCCAGCATGACTAAGTCACTTCTGGTGCAACGGAACACCGAAACCAGAGCAGCGCACAGAAACATCGTTTACCCTCCCACTGGAGCGGTACCTATTTATCTACTTGCACTTTTTGGCATGCTTTTGAACTGTTAGGTTGGCAGGAGCTGGGACCGAGCAACAGGAGCTCACCCTGTCGCGGGGATTCGAACCACTGACCACCTGATCGGCAAGCCCATGAGGTTCAGTGGTTTAGACCACTGCGCCACCTATGTCCTTATTGATATCATAGGTGGCTGTAAATCAAAAGGTTAAAAAAAAGTAGAGGAGAAGGAAATAGGTTATATTATAATCTGGTTGGGACATGGGGGTCCTGCAGCAGAATGCATGATATGCTTGATAGTTAAAATAATTCAAATCCAGTGTTTCTGAATACAGTCCCTCTAACCACCATTTCTGTTTCTCCAGGTATGGATAATCAGACGGTTCTGGCTGTTCAGTCTTTGCTAGATGGCCAGGGAGCAGTAACAGATCCATCAGGACAAACCGTCAACACATCCACCACCATCCAGTCCATGGGTGAGCCCTTCTCTGCATACCAAATGAGATGGAAAGGAAAGAATCAGAGGTCCCACCCCCCACTTTTGGTTTATTGCAAGGATGAAGAATCTCTGGCCTTGGACGGTGCCCATGCAGAAGGGCATCTCCTCCTCAGCCCCAGCTTCTTTGCTGACTTCCCTTGCTCCCTAGCCAGCATGGAAAATTGCAAACTGCAGGCTCTTGGGGCTTGATTTTGTTACTATGAACCCTGGCATGGGGGTGGGGAGCGCCTGTAATGCTCCCAGTTTTGATTGGCCACCCTATGTGCTAGACTGGCCCTTTTGGATGGGAGCCCCATATCTGTGGAACTCCCTCCTAGGGTACATATGCTTGTTCCATTCCGTGCTGACTTTTAAATGGATTTTGTAAACCCATTAATTCTGTGCTGCATGTAATTAAGATGCTGTACTTTTTAATGTTTTATATAGCTGTTGTTGTTTTTCTAAAAAAATTATTAAACATGTTTTTGGTTTACAAAAGTATGTGCATTGTCTCTACACAAAGCTGCTGGTTTTAAGTTGTTGGTTTTAAATTGTTCTGGATAGCTAAATGCCAACATTTGTATGGATTTTGTGGTGCTGTGAAGGCATTTTTATTTCAGCAGGCATTTCCAGGATATTAATTTTATCTGGCCATTTCTGCATATGGGATGCAGGGTTGTTGTTTAGACTGGCATGCATTTTTGGTTTGTTTGTTTATTTAAAGCATTTTTACTCCTCACTTCAATGAAAAGGGCTCTTATAGTGCCTTAATGAAAAAGACATACCACCAAAGGAAAGGGAGATGGAAAGGGAGGAGGGGGAAAGCAAACTTAGGCACCAATTTTTAAAGTTTATGATGTTAAGATGACCAACTGGGATGGAAACAGTTCAGCATGATGCAGCCATTGCTAGGTGATTGTTGAGGGAGAAGATAAACTAAGGTCTATCAGCAGAGCTGATGGACTAGCCCTGTTTCCCTTCTCTCCCTCTGTGGTTTCCTCCCATTGACCGAATCCTGCAATTGCCAGGACTACAGAGATTTACCTGCAGGGTGTGATATGAAGTCTGGATTTGCATGTTGCTGTTTATTGGGTTGGCTGTGGTGCTAGATGCCCTTGGAATATATTAGGGTTTTTTTGCTTGTTTTAAATTTCTCCTACAAATGGTTATAGAATTTGATTTGCTTTCTTCCTCTCACTCTAGATTGGTGATGTACAATTTGGTCCTAGACATCATTGGCTCTTGCTTCCAAGTAAATCTGCATTGCAGCTCCATCATAATTTATAAAGGTGGAATTTAGAATTAGAATAGTATTAAAATAGATTAGATTAGATTAGAATTAGAAACGTGAGATCTGGCTGCCCTACTGTTCTTGTATGATATTGCATCAAGGCTTAGAGGGTTTTATTTTTAAATAGAAACAGTAACAAAACAATTAAACTTACATCAGCAAGTGCTACACAGCACACAATCAGCAATATTTGATCAACGATTTACAGTGCCATTTTGAGCATTTTCCTGTACTTTCGTCGTTTCATCTCTTACATCAGAGTAAGAGCACAATTGGGAAGCTCACGTGCCTCAGGTAGCACTTTATGTAGCATTTGTGTTTTGCTTCCTGTGCACAAAGTGTAGATGGGAATGGTTGTTTCCAAATGTGCAGTGGGCATGCCAACCCTGCTTTCCAAGTGCTTGTCCACTCAGTATTTCCTAGTATTTGACGATATGCACCTCTTTCATTTGTATAGGCAGAAAAATGTGATTTGCTGTATAAACAGGTGACTTTTCTTGAGGTAGAAACTGCTTTTAGAAAGCTAACCATGAAGAGAAATCCCACTGTTTGACAATTCACTTGCCTCTGACTAAGAGCTTCTGTTCTGGCCTAAAAGGCAAATTTACTTCCTCTTGTTGAAACTCTATTTTATTTGAGTGCAGCAATTGAAAAGGACTCTGGCGTTGGATCAATAACTTCTCTCTCTTTTTGACTGCAGATGATGAAGATGTGTTTCTTTGTGGGAAATGTAAGAAGCAATTCAACTCACTGCCTGCATTCATGACCCACAAAAGAGAGCAGTGTCAAGGCAGTACACCCTCGTTGGCTACAGTTTCACTGGCTACTAACAGCGTCTACACACCATCCATTACCTCAGTGCAGCAGGCTCAGACCACAAATCGTCAGGTATAGATGTTGAACCCTCTGAGATCTCTGTGCCATTAACAGTGAACTGCATGATAAAACCCTAAACCAGCACTAGCAGTCCAGAAGAGATGAGGGTACAAAGTATATTTGGAACTGCCGGGAGATTTGCAAGGATTTCTGACTTCCAGTTGTGTAGCAATGGCATAAACATTTGTGTCCTACCTTGGATCAAGGCTGGCCCAGCCATTAGGCAAGGTGAGGCCACTGCCTCAGATGGAGCGTCCCCAAAATGGCTTGAGATCTCAGCTGAAATCACTTATGGCAGAGGCAGCAGGGCAGGGTGGCACTTCCTATTGCACCTCAAACGGTGAAACACACCTTGGATGTTGTAGTAGTGGCAGATAATAACTGCATCAGCAGAGGACTTGGACTAGATTACCTCTGAAGAATTTTCCATCTGCTTCTGTGATCTTGTGAATTTGAGACAAGCTTCCAGATCTCAATAGAAATGCATTAATATCAAACACCTGCATTCTATCCCTACATGAAAGTTTTAAAATGAATTTATGAATTCATTGTAGTTAGTTTTAACTCTCTTTCTTCCAGTATTTTATCCAATTGTCTCTACTTGAGTAAGCCCCATATATCTTCCCTGTTTGTGTTTTGTGGCAGCACCTTCTCTGTATATTCCTTGAACTGTGGACTTGATAGAATGCACAACTTAAGTTCTTGCAAAATTAAATATATATATATATAAATAAAGCCTTTTAATTTAACTGCAAGCAGATGATTATTCCATTTCTTTCTCTCTCGAAAAAAGGAAAAAAAAGCCAACAGACAAACAAAAACAACCCCAGAGAAGGGAAACTTGGGTTCTAGATGAGCTGTTGCCTGTTGAGGATCCAGACATATCACTTTGGTTTGACTACAAATATCACGGCTTTGGGCTTGGATTAATTAAATTTGTCTGTTCTCTGTTAAATTTCTCCTGGAGACATTTCAAGTCAGAGTATGAATGTCACAGTAGAGCCATATAATCTGAATACAGTAAAATATCCACATTATGAGACAGAGGTGTCGCAAGAGTTTAATGATACAATGTTTGTGAAGTGCTTTGTATGCTCATATTGTAGTATAAATGTCAAGTGTTGCTTTCCATGACAAGGTTTTTAGACCATTCTTCTTACACTCTTTCTAGCAGAGAGAGAAAGATTGCATTGATTAATGGATTTTTTCCCAGCCTGTTTTAATGCAGTTCACAAGAACTAAGCTATTCTTTCTGAGCTGAGATCCAACATAAAGGATTTTAAAGAATCTCTTCCTCCTAACAGATCTCTACCTATATTACTGTCCCACCCTCTCCATTGATCCAGACATTAGTCCAGGGGAATATCTTAGTGAGTGATGAGGTCTTGATGTCAGCTATGTCTGCTTTTACAACCCTGGACCAACCAATGTCCACAGTACAACCCTCTGTGCAGGTAAGCAGAATGTTTTTATGTCCTTTAAGATGCATACATGCTCTAGCAAATTAAAGTATATAAGAGGTTAGAGATAATTTTGTGGGGATAATGACACACAAAAAGTAAGATTTTGGCTTCAGACTCATCCTTATCAGAACATCTCTGCACTGACGGCAAAATCTACATAGCGTGGAGTACTAAATTAGTGGTAACTGTTGAAGCAGGTAAGATACGTTATTGCCATTGCATAGTAAACTTCGTGTATGTCAGTGGTAAAAAAGGCAAGTAGAATATGATGAAGCATTGTAAAAAGCATGGGAAATAATTATTGTAGAAATCCATGGTGTGCAAATAGCACAAGTATGTGTGATTCTAGTGATTCCGTTTAAGAAATAAAATAAAATAAAGCTGGAGAATAGAGACAGTACAAGCTTTTGTGTGTCAGAGCCCACATTACCAAGCACAACATTTAAGGCTCGAAGAAGGAAATCCAAATTTATTACAACATTTTAACTCTGATGTTACAATTGCAACAGGCTCTTTGCAGATACCAACACAGATAACATTTTTTCCATCACATGTCAACCATATTCAATGTGGAAAGAGTGCTACAGGTAGTTTTACCCACAAAAGTGATCTTCGTTTATGAATGGGAGACATTGAGTCTGGGAAATCTGATGCTCTCTTCCAAAGCTTGCTAATTTCTCATCCTATCTTTTTAGAGCAGCCTGAATATGCATACTGGAGCTGGCTACCTTTCTCAACCACCGCCTCCTCCTCCACCCCCACCACCGCCACCTCAGCCTCCTCCTCCCGCACCTCAGTCTCTTGGAGCACCAGGTCAGGCCAACTCAGGCAGCAATGGAGTGGTGGAAGTGTACAGTGCATCAACCCCCATGGCTGGGAATAGCACAGTAGAGATACAGAATCTGGGAATGCAACCCTACCCACCTATGGAGGTAAAGCTTATTTTATTTTTTATTTTTTTGACCCACATAGTGCAGTATGCTTCCAAGTGTTGCTTACTGCCTTTCCCCCCTGAAGGGCGCATGGCCTCTGGCTACAAGAAGACTGTGATAAAAAGACTGTGATTCACTTAGCCTCAAAATACTATTTATCAAAGAAATTAGAGGTGCAGCAAGATGAACAAGCTTGTCTTCTAATCAGTGATTATTTTCTCTGTGAGCAAAATAGTGATCAGAAAGATGTCAGCCAGCTGCAGGGAGTTGAGGGAACAAGGAAAACGATTTATGGGCAACAGAAATCGATGGATGTGGAGAGGTCGCTAGAATGAAACATGTGTCGCTGGCCCAGTGTGATTAAAAGGGAACATCATATAGTTGTCAACAAGTAGAAGAATGTCAACGCTAAACCAGGAGGCAGAGGGTTTGTTTAGAAAGCTACTAAGAGATGGAGTTCATGAAGTAACAGGACAAAGCCAGGAAAGCCTAGTAAGTAACCTAGCCTGAGTATTAAGACAATAGTCCAAGACGGAATTGCATCTTTGAAGAGCACACACTGCTGAAGCTCTTTTCAAAACATTTATTTTTGACGTAACTGTTGATTTGGGAGTAAAATGAAAATCTTGCAGATAGAAAAAGCATAATCAGATGCTACACAGAAAAAAAGAATGTGGCAAGACTCTTTGCCTAATTTTGTTTTTGGTGAGTTCATACCCTCAGATAAAGCAGGGGCCACAGTGAAGAGGACTGGCTCTTTAGAAAGCACTGTCACCCCATTGCACTAAATTACTTATGCATCTGATACCATAACACTGGTTTTACTTTGCTTAATCATAGATCTTTATATGATTTATATCCCACCTTTTGATTCAAAGAGCTCTCAGTTTGAGAAAGAAAGTCCCACTGTCTTCTGCATTCAAGGTCTAAAAAGTGACTTCAAGGCAATCATGAAGTCAAAATGGTTAAATGTTTTGACTCAACTCTGGTTCAAGAGTGTCTGAAGTTGCTCTGGATACTTGGCATTTCTCTGGAATCTGTTCAGTTTCATTTCACATGAGAAAACGTAAATATCTATTGTACTACAGAGCTGTAAAGAAGGGTGGAGTATGGTAATTTGATACACCTAAATGTTAAGTCATAATTCATGAGACCTTCACTAGATAATTCCACTTGTGCCTTGCTTTTGACTTCTCAGCCCTTTGAGAGGACCGTGACCAGAAGCTAAGACAACTCACTTCTCTTTCCACACTGCATTTAGGATGATAACCACATGTTTGAAATTAGATCACACTTCATTTATATTTATTTATTGTTACATTTATATCCCACCTTTCCCCCAAGAAGCTCAAAGTAGCATACACAGTTCTTCCCTTTCTCATTTTACCCCATTTTAGCCCTGTGAGGTAGGTCACTCTGAGAGAAGGTGACGGAACCAAGGTCACCTATAAGTTTTGTGGTTGAGTGAGGATTTGAACCCTGGTTTCCCAGATCCTAGTCTAACACCCAACCACTACACCAGGCTGGATCTAGCGTGTTCAGCAGAATATTAAATGTTTAGAAGTGGAAACATCTTTGCAGAGTTGTCAATGTTGTCACTACATTTTCAGCATGTTTTCCTCAATAATTTCCATTTTAGGTGCCCAATCAATGTGTGGAAACCCCAGTGTACCCCTCCCCTCCAGTATACAGTCCAGGGAAGCAAGGTTTTAAGTCTAAAAGCCCCAACACCGTTGCCCCCTTGAACAATGCCTGCGGAGGAAATGTGACCAATTTTGATCCAGCTTCAGCTGCCAAGAACCGTCGTCTTAAGACAGACAGCAGCCTGCTAGAAGGTAAGGCTTCTTGCCACCAGTGCTTGCTGTAACCTTTTCCACCGGTGGGCATCAGAATCTGGGCATCTGTCTATTTGTAAATGGATATTAAATGCCTCACGCTTCCCTTTCCACACTTCTCTACATAACACTTGAAATAGAATTTTCATGTTTTTACCTCTAAGGTTTTCCCATGTTGGGAACTTGTTCATATCTCCACAGTGCAGGGGGATAGAAGATACAAATCAATATTTTAGATGATGCAGACAAATGAATTAAAATACTTGTGTGGGCTTAATGGACTGTTATGAGTGTTTTTGCAGCTAAGTGTTTTTTCAGGTGTGCTTCACACATTGCGGATTTCCTACACAGAAAGCCCTTCCTCGCTGGAATTAGCTTGCAGTCTGCTTGTGGATTGACTGCTGTCACTATTCCATATCCTGCGGGGGTAGGTGGTGGGTGGGATTTTGCAGATTTACACAGTGGGAACTCAGAGCCGTTGCCTAAGCAAGTGCTGGTATGTCCCACTACAGAAAATCAGAATGTCTGTTTTTCTCATCAGTATTTTCAGGAAATTATGATGTTTCTTATAGTCCATTAAAGCTTGTCATTTTTGTTACTCTGGTGGTAGAGGAGTTGCTGCGGTGCTGTTCCTTCCTGTGCCACCAGATGATGTGAGAAGCCCCGACTACACAGGAAGAGCCCATGCCAGTGTTATCCCAGCTTCCAGATTATTAACACTGATATGGGGAAAATCCAAAGTAGGAATTCCTGGTTTGAGGTTTCTCACCCTAGTAATGCAGAGTTTGAAGTGTTGAAGCAGCTCCATAAGCACAAGGGACAACGTGATTACTGGGTCTAAGTAGCTTATTTTGCCCACTAAGGATCCTACTTCTTAGCTGAAATTATTGGCCACCATAACTGTTTCCATGCTTCAGTTTCATCCCAACGTTAGACATTGCCCCCAAATACAGTTCTAGCACAATGGAGAGCGAGGGAGTAAGAATCCACGACAGCGGCCTCCCCAATTTGAGCTCATGATTATTTCCTACTGCTTTATTTCAGGAAAACCCAAGTCACCAAAACTGAAATGCACATACTGCGATAAGGCGTTCACCAAGAACTTCGATCTGCAGCAGCATATCAGAAGGTAACGTTGGCATTCCAAATGAGGCATACAGATTGTGGCTAATTGGATAGGATGAGGGATTGGCTGCACACCCTGAGCAACAGGTCACTTCCCTTTGAGCCATTCTTCCATGCTGGATAAGACTTTGAAAATCAATACTATCTTGCTGCTAGGTCAGTGTGGTCCCCAAAAAGTTCAGCATTGACCTCAGAATGGCCTGAGTGGGTAAATGTGTGTAGTTTGTGAAACCTAAATTCAGCCACAGCTCTCAGCTGATAAAGCCACCAGGTCTTGCAGGGCTATACCACAGCCTGTTGCCATCCTGCTCTGCCAGTCACTCTCCTGACTGGTCGTAAGTGATCCTCCTGGGAACAATAGCTTCTAGGCTGCCACATTCACCTCCCGTTTTGCATCCCAACATTTAGAAACAGTCTGTCCACATGCTCCATTTTACTTGGGCTTTTCATCCTTGGTTTGAAGGGTTTTTACGTATTTGGCAGAGCAGGATCTGCTGGACTGTCCTTTTTATTTGTATCAATTTGCTTCTTTGTTAGGTTTTTATTATGTTTATTGTAATTCATTTTAGTATTTTTTATTGCGTCTGTAAGTGTGTTGAGTCATTTTTATGAACAAAGCGACTAAACAATAATAAGAATTTTCCAGTTTTTGCTTTGTGCTTCCAAGCCAAAGTTTCTGCTCCTCTTGCCAGTAGCCATTTAGTAGTTCCTGCGGCCCAGTACCACTTCCTGCTTCCCTGGATAGACTTCTTAGTGGCAGGAATTCCACTTCATTTTGACACTGTTTTTAAAAAGCTCTTTACTGTATTTTGGAAATCAAACCTGTTACCTTTGCCGAAAAGGAGCTGGAGCAGTGTGGCTATTCCCCTGTGGAGAGATTCTGCCTTACCCTCCCTTATGTAATCTCCTCTTTTCCTTCAGTCACACAGGGGAGAAGCCATTCCAGTGCATCGTATGTGGTCGTGCCTTCGCCCAAAAGTCCAACGTGAAAAAGCATATGCAGACGCATAAGGTGTGGCCACCAGGAATTGGGTGTACCATCTCTCGGAGCTCTGTCACTGTGCAAGTCATGGCACTGAACCCCAACCAGCAGGAGGATGAGGAGAATGCAGGTGCATTACTTACTGGTGGGATGGCCAGTTGACTGGTGACCTGCTCCCCAAACCTCTGAATAATTGTGCTTCTACTTGCTTCTACCTGTCTTGGTCCCTGGGACTAGGAAGGATTGGAGAGTAGATTTATGTGTACTACCGACTTCAAAATTTATTGGATCATGAATGTAGGGACCAGGTTTTCAAGCTATAACTGGGTCACAATCCATTATTTTGTATTCTCCATCCATGTTATCTCTCCCCTGCCCCAGCCCTCCTAATTTGAAAGCTTTGCACAGTAGTGGGATCTGGCAGTAGGAGACAAAGCCATAATTCTTTGTCTCTGAGCTTGTTTGGATGTGTTTAGATAGGGATCATGAATCCCCAGACATGGGGCAAGCGAAGGGATGCTAGTCAGTATATTGTACTTGCAAAGCACATGGTTTATTCCTAAGATTTAGTTGCTTCATGTGAGAACTATCCATGGAACAGAGCCTGTTTAGCCAGTGACTTCATGTATTGCATAGCTGACATCCTAAATATCCCTGGTACTAGCCATGGTTGATCTTAAGGAATTAGTTGAGCCTTGCACTCCAAATCATTTGTACATGATCGTCCAGTTACTTTGCCCTGAGCCAGACTTCGGATGGCAATTTGTCAGCCTGTCTAGCCAATATCTTTCCCACCTTGTCAGCTATTTAGTTGGGTGGGAAGGGCATTCCCATCCCAGCTATAGATGGGTTTACCAAAGCAGAAGGGATCAGCTACATGTGTAACAAGTCTGAAAGTACAAAATGAACTCGGTGAATACTGGCTGCAAATTACAGTGAACCTAATTGGACTAGCTGGTAGAGAATGACATTTGGTGCTTCCCACTGTACTGTCTCCTCTCCACAGTGCCTAAGGCCTCTCGCCAACCAAGGGTAGATCTTGACCTAGTTATCACTGAGGCAATAAATGTGTATCTAGGCTATACCCACTTCAAACTACAGTTTCTATATGTCACATAGAAAACAGGTATTTCAGAGCTAATAATCCTTCCTGGCATCAGGTTTGTTGTATTGAGGGTCATTCAATCATGTGAGCTCTCACCTGCAGTTTGAAGCGGTACAGTCCAGGCCCACATTAACCTTGCCAAGAACTAGAGCTTTGATCAGCAAGTTCCTCTGTCATTTAAACACTAAAATACCCAGAGCGGAGATCTCACTCCTTAATGATAATGCATATTAAGTGAAAAGCACAGGGAAGGGAAAACGAAGAGAAGCTGACCTCCCCTGCCCCCGGCTTTGCATTTTGGAAGGGAGAGCTGGCTGGCTGTGATTTGAGATGAGTTATAGGGTATTGTATGAAAATGCACGGCTGACCTTGGTTGTATGTTCTTATAATTAGAGTAACAATTATAATAATAATAACTCTAGTAACTCCCTAAGCTGAACCTCTAATATATATGTGCCTTGGCTATTTCCTCCAGGTTTGAACACAGTTCCCAGAAGCAGCCCCCCACAGCCACAGGTCATGCCTCCTGCAGAAGAGCATGAGGCTTGCAAACTGGAAGCTAAGCAAGTGGTCTTGATAGACAGTTCTTACCAGTGCCAGTTCTGCCCCAACAAATTCTGCACATATTTCCAGTTGAAATCCCACATGACCCAACACAAACATGAACAGGTGGGTGCCAAAGTCAAAGGATGACTTCCCCCCGCGCTGCTAAACTCTTTACCGATCTCTGACTTACAGAAATAAGAAATGGATGCACAAAATTTGCATAAAGGACCCAGTTTTTCTTTGTGCAAAATGCAGGCTAATTTGGCATGGAATGTTGATTTCTTTATTGAGTCAGACCAATGATCAATCTAGTCTAGTAACATCTTGCCTGGCTGGCAGAGGCTCAGAAATCCTTCAGCCAAAGATGCTAGAGATGGAACCTGAGACATTATGCACACAGAAATGTGTTTTTGTACAACTGATCTGCAGCCCTCCTGCAGACAATACACTTTATTCCTATCCAAGCTTCTGGGTAGGAATAGCACAATAAAGCTAAACAATTGCTCACTAAATTTCTTATAGCTTAGGTCCCTTTTGATACCCCTCCCCAAAAAGGTTTGTTTTAGTGTAAGAATTACCTGCCTGGAAAAAAGTCCACCTCATTTATGTCTGCCTGAGCCACTGTCTTGGATGTGTCCTCATGCATACTTTGCATGCAGATGATCTCAGGTTCAATCCCTCGCATCTCTAGATACTGCTGGGAAAGACCCGTGTCTGAACCCCCGAAGAACTACTCTCAGTCAGTGTAAACAATGCTAATCTAGATTAGTCTGGTTTGACTTGGTAGGAGGCATCTTTCTATGTCCCCTGACTTGAAGGAGGCAAATCAAGACTTGTAACTCGTACAGAGATACAACCTGTAGCCTCCTCTAAGGGTAGGTCATTCTGTGCTCTCTCTAACTGAACGAGCCACTGCCCACCATCAGTATAGCATGCTTGGAAAGAGAGTTTAGAATAATAAATCATTCAGAGATTGAGCAGGCAACCTCCTTTATAGGAGTATACAAGAATCTTTAATTATATTTATTATTTTATTTCTCACAGTACACTAGGGTTTGCTTGTTTTCATGATGATAAATGGTCAGGGTTACTGGTCTAATCATTCTCCTATCACCATTAATGTGCAGGTTTACAAGTGTGTTGTGAAAAGTTGTGCTCAAACATTCCAGAAGCTGGATTCCTTCTTGGAGCACATCAAGAACCATCAGGAGGAGCTGAGCTACCGTTGTCACCTTTGCAGCAAGGACTTCCCCTCCCTCTATGAACTGGGTGTCCATCAGTATTCCCACAGCTTGCTTCCTCAACACAGTCCCAAGAAGGACATTGCCATTTACAAGTACAGTAGTTGTTGGGAAAGTGCTTTTTCTGTCTATGTTTGGAGGGAGCAATTATAGCTTTTGACTTTAAGCTTAATTTTGTTATTGTCAGGGCAAACAGTTAACATGTTTGTAGCAGTCAAGTGATGACTTAGAGACTATTTTTGATTGAATAGTTTAAGTAGGTAGATCTCACTGGTGCAATGTTTAGGTAGGTAGATGAAACATATCAGATGAAACTGTGGTTTGGGATTTTGGTTTGAGAGTAAGTAAACTATAGTTTGTTGCAATTCTGATGGAATGGCAAAACTCTGGTTTTCTAAAAACTAGAAGCAGAAGCTATTAATCTCTGTCGTTTGAAGCTTGTACTAATTCTGTACTGACAAACTGTTGCATCTTTGTTTATCTATTTAAAATTCTCACACCTCACTTTGTTGCCCCAAGAAGCTCTCAAAGTGATTTAGAAAAGATTCTCAAAGCAAAACCACTAACAGAAACAGAAATTTCACACTGTCCATATGAAATAAAGGATTTTTAGGCCATTGAATTAAGCCATTATCACTGGTCACAGATTAGAGAACATTTTGAGAATAAAATGTGGCCCTCAGATCTTGAAAGTTTTCAGATAATTATAAAAGGTGACTAGGCTTTACTCAGATATTTTTTGGAGCTCTGGTGTCAATGGTCAACTTGGGGTACAAGAACAAGTTTTCGATAAGCTCTCCATCACCCAATCCACTCCACCTGCCTCCATTGTTTTAAAGATTAAATTACCTCAGTTAAGCAATGTGGGAGCGGGGGGACAGCTTTGAATTGAAAATTAGGAGGAAGTGATTTATCTGTTTATTACAGTTTTAATCCCAGCACTTTTCAAAGCAAAGCACATGGTCCTTCTCCATTCCTTTAGCCTCGCAATCAACCTCCCAGTTCTGTAAAGTAGGTTAGGCAGAGAGTTAGTTACTGACTGATGTCTGGCTGACCAGAGATTTTAATCCAGATCTTCTGTGCCTAAGCCAAGCACTCTTAGTCACTACACCACACTGGGGACTCAAGGTTATAAATTGTCTTATTTTCTTCTTTGATAATATTAATAATAAATATCAATGCATACTAAAATTGGACCCTAGTCCTCTAACTCAATGCATTCTTTCTTCTTCCTCCTGCTTCAGGTGTGTCAAGTGTGTAAATAAATATTCTACCCCAGAAGCCCTGGAGCATCACTTACAGACAGCAACACACAACTTTCCCTGTCCTCACTGTCAGAAGGTAGGTAGATGATGGCCTTGACAAAGTCAGTTTACTCTTTTGTGCCATTGGTGCTTTTATTAGCTATTTTCCCTATGACCTCTTATTTATTTGTGCAGACTTCTTTTCTACCCTATCTTTGTGAGATCTGCTAAGCTGAGAAAATAGATTTATCCAAGACTGCCTACTGAAAGGTTGAGGTTGCATATTGGATGCATGCTAATGTCCAGTTGACCTGTGCAATATTTGCACTGTCACAGGAGCTAAGCATGGGCCACATTGCCCCTGGTTAACAAGGTGTGTTCTGTCCTATGACTCTTCCTCCCATATTTGGACCTGCAGGAATTGACCATGCAATTATAAGTAAAAGAGCATCTCCGAGATCTGTTAAGTCATCGTTCTCTCTGGATGAGAGTTGCACTGCACGTTTTTATGGTGAGCGTCATTTAGAAAAACGTGTGCCCTTAGCCCAGGAGTAAGGGCTGCTGCCCTTCCAGATGGCTGTGCTCTTAGTCATGTGTTGTCTTCTTTTTCCAGGTGTTCCCCTGTGAGAGATACTTACGACGTCATCTACCTACACATGGGGGTGGAGGGAAATTCAAATGTCAGATCTGCAAAAAATTCTTCCGCCGAGAACACTACCTCAAACTACACGCTCACATTCACTCGGGTAGGCAATAGCACAGTACTGCTTTCCTGCATGTTGAACCCATTCATTCTTTGGGGTCTGCTGCTACCATTTCTAGTGATGATCAGCAACCTGCTTCCTAATGTAAGCCCATTTTTTTAAAGGCCTTCAGATCAGGTTGTCCCCCTCCCTTATAGTCATTATTTTATTGTTTGCATTTCACTTAGCTGCTTGAATAGTTGCAGCCAGCAACTATTGGTTAGGATTGGGGTCAGCAAACTTTTTCAGCAGGGGACCGGTCCACTGTCTCTCAGACCTTATGGGGGGCTGGACTATATTTTGAAAAAGAAGAAGAACGAATTCCTATGTCCCACAAATAACCCAGAGATGCATTTTAAATAAAAGCACACATTCTACTTATGTAAAAACACACTGATTCCCTGACCGTCCATGGGCCGGATTTAGAAGGCAGTTGGGCTGGATCTGGATCTTGGGCCTTAGTTTGCCTACCCATGGGTTAGGAGGTCACTGTATATGCAACTGATCACCTGGATGAACAAACAGGCAAGTTTTATGCAGAAATGTTACTTCTCTGTTAACACCAGATGTAGTAGTGAAACTGTTTAAAATGCATCCAACTGCCTACACAGTTCTCAGTAGTTAACATCCAGGCATATGACTCTCAAGGATTGTGGCCAACAGGGAGGGATAGAGGAGAGATCTTTGGGAACTTAAGATCCTGGTTCTGCTGCATCTGTTTTCTGTAGCTCAGCCAAAGCAAGGGAAATTAGAATATCTGTAAGCCAAGCTTAGCCTGCAACTCCCTTGCTGAGTTTATGTCTCTGTCCTACTCAGGTGAAAAGCCTTTTAAATGCTCTGTGTGTGACTCAGCCTTCAACAGGAAAGATAAACTCAAACGGCATATGCTGATCCATGAGCCTTTCAAGAAATATAAATGCCCCTTCTCGTAAGTATCACGTTTTCAACAGCAGCCAATAATGGCATTGGCTTTGCAGCCATTAGATGTAAAGTGTAATTCATCTTTGACTAGTTTCTGTTTATAGGCTAACATAGAGTCTTTTGAAGTAAGGGAATAGCCTTTTTGGAGGGAAAAAAGCCTTCTGATTTTACTGGCTCTGGGATTTTGTCTCTGTGCAGTAGTTACCTCTTCTGATTAACCACATTCTCTCTTTTCATTGTTCATTGGAAGGCAGTTTAGAAATGAAAGAGCTAGGCAGACAATGGTGGTGCCTTGCAATTCTAAAGGCACTTCTAGATGGCATCATCACACATTGCATAGGGTGCTTAGACACAGACTTTTGGTTAAACCTCCCCCCTGGCCCATACTCAATTCAATGAACTTTGTTATCATGCAAGCCATACTTGTGCTTACAGCAAGAAGGGTTTTACTTGGTTTTGCCTCTCCCTTTTGTGGCTCGTTTGGCTTATTTGCTTGAGTCATTGGCTGCACAGGCATCTTAACAGAATGCAGCTTTAATGTATTTGCTTTATATTTGGTATGAATTGGCAGGATGATGGAGGGTTAGATCTGATGGGTCATTTTGGTTCCTTCCAACTCTTCAATTAAGGATAAACTTGCAGCTCTTTATTGGCACAATACTTGCATTTCTTTTTCAGTAGTCCAGTTTTCCAAAAGCTATGCAAAAGGCAAAAACAGCATAAAGCATTTTTCAGTTGTCGGGCCAATTTGATCTGCAATGTTATGCAGGCTTTCTTCTTCTTCTTTTGGTACCATGACAAGGAGATCAGAAAGCTCTGATGATTGTTCTGCTATTTTAAATCATAAGAAACACCCAGCATTACTTGCACACTGCTGAAACAGAACTACATCTGAGACTCCTATCTGTATCATTCAACATCTGATTAAATATTTGTTTTAATTTTTTTTCACAGAAATCATACAGGCTGCAATAAAGAGTTCAACAGACCGGACAAATTGAAAGCTCATATTCTCTCCCATTCAGGTAAATGAAATTCTGGCTCATGCTCTGCCCTATGCTGCAGATAAACAGGTTCATTTAATTTTCTTCACTCACCTAATTATTGAACCACAGTGATCTTTTTGTTTTTTTGTTTCTCAGCTGCAGGTAAGGGCGGGAACAGTGTAGCTCAAGAATATGTCTGAGGCTCTTCAGTTTAGAAAAGAGGTGAATAAGGCAGCGGAAATAAAGGGTGTATAAAATTATGCTTGGTGTATAAAAAGTAGATAGATAAAGTTGAATGGTGGGATATTCAGGACAGACATAAAGAACTACTTCACAGAACGCATAGTGGCTTCCACAGAATTTGGTGATAGCCACTAACTTGTATAGCTTTAGAAAGGGATTAGGTAACTTCATGGAGGATAAGGCTATCAATGCCTACTCATCATGATGGCTATGTACAACTTTCAAGATAAGAGGTACCATTCTGCCATATAGCAGTTACTAGGAATCTACAGTGGAAGGGTGCCATCATCCTCTTGTCCTGGTTATTGGAATCTGATTAGCCATTATGGGAAACAGGATCCTGGACTAGCTAGGCCTTTGTTCTGACCTGGCAGGGCTCTCTTTATGTTCCTAGTCCATGAGCCCTTTTGCAACTAAGTTGTGTTCTTCTTGATTTAGGGATGAAGATCCACAAGTGCCAATACTGCAGCAAGGCCTTCAGCCGGCGAGCTCACATGGTGGAACACCAGCGCTCTCACACTGGAAACTATAAATACCGCTGCCCTACATGTAGCAAAGGCTTTACACGCCAAAAGTACATGAAGGACCACAAGTGTAGACTGAGTTCAGCCAAGGACAAAGAGCTGCCAGTCAGAAAATCCCAGAAGAAGTGGGGGACTCGTGGGCGGAAAGTGGGGCTTCCTGTTTCAGCTCAGTTGACCTTGACAGAACTGAAAGACAGTACAGATGGAGGAAACCCTCAGAAAGGTGGTCCCAATAAAGAACAGTTTCCTGTGTCTGACACAGTCCTGTCCATTGTGGTTGGCAGGTCAACGGCCGTGTCAGCAACAGACTCTGATCTTGGCAACCCTACCCAATGCAGTGGCATTCCATCCAACCTTGCTCTGGCCGAGTTGCAGCCTGGATCGGAGAGCCCATGCGCCATGCTAGCAGTCCCTGTTTACATTCAGGCTACTGAATAACTAAGTAGTACTGTGACTTAATGGGGGAAATAATTCCTCTGCTGTTTGATGGAGATATGCTGCTGCAGGAGATTGGAAATGAATGGAATGTGTATGTGTGCGTGTATGTTTCAGCTGCCATGATGCAGTGAGCAGCATTCATAAAGAATTTTGTTGATAAAACTGAGAGTACCTTCCCTTATCCAGATGAATTAATCATGCGGAGCACTGAAAGGTATGGTTGCATGCTTTTCTTTGAAAGATGCTTATTGGTTAACCTAATTTATGATGATTCCTGAATCCAGTGAGAAACACAATACAGAACATTGAAATAACATACAAGACCTGATTATTTATTTTTAATTGTAGTGCATCCCATTTGTAATTATTTTCTGAAATTTGCAATACCCTGTATCTGGACAATTTGTCTTTCCAGCTGTAAGCAAACAATCCTTCGTACTGGGAGTAAGTCCATTATGTTCTCCATTTGGAAATGTCATTCATAAATGCTCTCAACGGAAACATCCTATGACTCTGATGTATGTAGAAAAGGGACGCATTTCTGCACAAATACCATGGTCCAGTTAAAATTTGAGCTTTCCCTCATACACTTACTAGAATTAGCATATGATGAGCAGCAACCTCATATAAAAGGATACATACCAAAATGCAAGTGTATAGGCAGCTAGTGACTACATTGTGAAGAAGGGCAGAGAAAAATAATGAGCAATTCTTGCTCAATTCTGTGTAATCAACAATGCCTAATGAAGAATTGGAGAAGGAACGCGAGAGACAGAGGCGAGAGCAGGGAAAGTTTAACTAAACAGTTTTATCAATTAACAACATCCTCACTAAAACAACATCCTCACCCACCCATAGAACTGATGTTACATTTTTCAAGTTTTGCCATAGCCAGGCCACCTAAATTCAGACCACGAACCTCAGAAAAACAAATGTACTGTATTTGGAAAAGCTTCATGCCTGAGCCCGAGTCACCTGGCATTTCAAGTACAATCTTTAACAATGTTGTTTTATTTCTGCTGCTGTTATCATTTATTACTTTGTATCATTTATTACAGTGTATCCTCCAAAGTGCTGAGAGTTGCATTTTAGTCCGACAACAACCCCATGAAGTAGGTTAGGCAAGAGAAACTGACTTGCTCAAGGTCACTTAATATCGGCCCACATCCAAACCCACCATTCAAGCAAGTCACTATTAGAGGCTCAGAAAAGGTTCAACATGTGGGCTCAGGGGTGGCTCAAGATATCAGCTGCCTGAGGCGAAGGACGAGATGGCACCTTTCCCCAAGGCCGCAAACTGGTGGTTGAATCTTACTACAATACTGGTGAACTGGACAGTGTCTTCCCCAGCACATGGCTCTCATAACTATGGCTCTCCCCTCCCTGCACCTGCCTCTCTCTCCCTCATGGTAGGGCCGGCCCTGTATGGGGCATCTCCTAATGCTTTGGCGGAGGACAGGACTACATCTCCCAGCGTTCAACTGAGCAGAGAGAAAGAGAAACAAAAACCAAAAAACACCCAGGCTCGTGCGAGCGCGCGTCGCCAAGTGACGTCACCCCCTTAGAGAACGAGAGGAAATCCTCTGAGTGAAAAAACTACGGCGACCGGCAGCCCTTGCCTGTTATTTACATACTCGCGGCCTCTTGAGTAGCGAGGGCTGGGGAAGAAGGCTGTGGGCGGAGCCGCCGTTGCCGTGGCGCCCGGAGTGACGTGAGAGAGTTCTCGGGCGGTCCTACCGGGAGGCCGTGAGTCAGTCAAGGGGCAGCCGAGGCTGACGTGCCGGGGGCTTTGCGTGTGTGGCAGCTGTGTGTCAGTCAGGGAGTGGTCACCGTGAGGGCTCGGGCCTGTGAGAGGCCGTACAGCCGCCGCCGCCGCCGCCGTTGCTGGTGGAGGGGCCTCTCCGGTCGGGAGGAAGGCGGAGGTGGTGTCTCTTTCCTGGCGTTTTGCCTCAGCACCGGCGGTCTTCGGCCGGCCCCGCTTCCCTCCCTCACGGTTGATCCTATCGTAACCGGGAGGTCGCGGGGTGCCGCCGTTTCTCCGCTGCCGCTTTCTCCGCCTGCGGCCCAGCCATGTCGGGGCTGCTGGGCAAGCTGTTCGGGACGGGGGGGAAGGGCGGCGGCAAGGGGCCTTCCCCCCAGGAGGCCATCCAGCGGCTTCGCGACACGGAGGAGATGCTGAGCAAGAAGCAGGAGTTCCTGGAGAAGAAGATCGAGCAGGAGCTGGGGGCGGCCCGCAAACACGGCACCAAGAACAAGCGCGGTGAGCGGGGGCGGGTGGGAGGAAGAGGGGGCTTCTCTCCTCGGATGGGACTTCTTTTCAAAGTTCCCTTTATTTATATGCTGGTTTCCCACCCACACAGTGAACTGCGCCCAAAGCGCCTCGTAATAACCACTAGCGGAGTCGCTGTCAAAATACGTAACATCTTCGGGGAAGGGGAAGCAACTTTACAGAACACATCAATTGCATTCAAGTAAGGCAAAATAAGATAGGTAGATGTAAATCCGTAAATAAAGACTTTCAGTATTATAGTTACTCCGTTTGATACTTAACAAGCAGAGCTCAAAATAAAAGCTTGCAGACCTAAATAAATAAAGCAGACCAACGTGACCAGTGCTGGACATACTCCAAGGGGCCACAGCAGCCTAAAATCTACCTGTGGCAAGAGGGGTGTAGAGACAGAAAGGTGCTTGGACCTTTCTAAAGGAAAGGATGGTGCTGGGGTCAGTTAGAGCAAAGTAAAAACACAGCCTACTAGGTAGGAAGAGAGCTTGCTTCACAATGTTGTGTATGTTTACTCAGAGATAAGACACCTTGCAATCTGTAGATTTTTACTTTCACTTAAATGTGCCTAAGATTGCGGTATTAGTGGCATTTTTGCCTTAAAAGCCTCCAGGGTAATGTTCAGCCTACTAAGAACACAAAATAGATAAACTAAACGTGCCGCAACTGTCAATGAAATGGCACGCAAGACAGGAGCAAAACACATTTCCATTGTTGGGGTGGCCTGCTTGGTCTCACCAGATCATTGTTATAAGGCTACAGTTCCGTAATTAAAAGTACCCAGCCCAGAGCTCTTCCTCCATTCCTATTTTTGTGGGCCTCTTGTGAGTTTGGCATGCAGATAAGTTTTGCAGGCTTTTCTCTACACTGATTTAAGCACAAAAGAGACTTCAGATGTTGAGGGGGGAAGTAAAGGGGGCTGTTGTGTGATCTACACTGGAGGCATACAGGTTTATTCAATATAGTCAAATAAATGGCAGCTGGTTTTCAGAATGGGAACATTATTGTAGTATATCTGAAAAATATGGTGTGCTTTATGTTTCCATGTGCCCATCTCCTATAGCAGGCATGTCCAACAGGTTGATCGTGATCTACTGGTCAATTGCGGGGTGGCCCTGGTTAATCCTGGTCGATCTTGGGACAACTTTGATCCACCCTCGAATGACAATGTAGATCACTGCCAGTTTTTTATACTGTGAGTAGATCAGTGTCTTGCGAGTTCGGTGTGCCTGTCCTACAGTAAAAGTCTCTTTCATTTTTCTCAGGCCATTAGTAGCATTTGCATCTTGAACTCTCCTGGTTTGGGGCCTATATACACATAAAAGTGTAAGGTAGCAGATGCCTTGTTTCTATAGTTTGGACTTAATTCTTGACACCAGCAATTTGCTGTACATCTATCCTGGTCTTACTCTTTTCCCATCTCTCTTTGAGTTTTGCTCTTCAAGTTCTGCTGTAGCACTCAGATCTTGGGTTAGTTTGAGTGGGATTCTGAGAGGGAGTACGTTAGGGTTAGCCTCTAGATACAGCATCTTTTCTATGTCCCTGCTCAGTTTTGGGTTGCTTCCTTGGGGCTGCATCCAGACCTGTGCAGGGCAGGGAGGCAGCAGGGTACACTTGCCCCAGGCCTCAGAGGACTAAGCTGGCTGGGGGAGGGGGGTGCTAGGGGCCTGCCAGACTTATGCTGTCATGTGAAGAACAGGACTTCTCCTTCAGGCCTCAGACAAGCTCTCCATAGGCCTGGCTGCATCCATTTGAAGCCTAGACCTAGGTAGGAACCTGCACTTTGTGCAGAGTGATCTGTAATCTTTAAACTAGCACCAACATTGTATTTCCTCATTGAGGCTTCCTCGCCGAGGCTAAGTTCTAAGCTAATCTCTTGTCGGTCAGTATTCCTTATTTCTTAGTTGAACCTGAGGCACATTGAAAAGATATTAAACAAGAGGCTGTTTATCTTATCTCATTTATGAAGCTGCAGTATATGTTCCATGTTATGTTGCTCAGGACTATTTTCCTTTAATTGACACTGTCTCATTCTTATCATGGTTTTGCTATTTAGTGTGCTGTGCATGCTTATGGTATTTAGAAGCAACAGGGTCTCCTTACAGTAATACTGGAACTTTTTATCTCCACAGCAGAATATGTTTCTGTGTATACAATTTATGTACATTCTTTACCATTTCTGTTGTCAGCTTTTATAATCATGACTTGTAAAAAAAGCCAAAATAAAGGGAGAAAGCAATAGGCTTCTTTAATTCATCATCTGGCTAGTTGAAAAAGCTTAGTTTGCTGATCCGGCAAATGCTACATTCTATCAATGGTAAATTAGATTGGTTGTATAGTTACAAAAGAATGCTGCACTTTATGTTGTAATGCAATTTGTTGACAGCTGATGTGTTGTTGTGGTAAAGAGATTGAGCTACAAATCAAGTTGTCCCCTGTTTGACTCTTACTGTTCATTAGGTAGCCGTAGAATGATGCTGGTCTCCTTTGCAGGATGGTTGTAAAGATCACAACAAAATAATTTCTGAATAGTAATATTTCATTAAAGTACCACACTAGTCAGTGTGGGAGAAGATACTTGCTCCTTGCTTACCTCTGACAGTAGTTCATACTGCCTTGAGACTAGACTGAGGGCCAGCTTGGGCATGTTGAAGGTCTGAGATCAGAATCTCCTGTATGCTTGTAAACCTCAAAACAGCTATGGGGAAGGAACACTAGGAAATGTGTTTAAAATGAGCAAGCAAGCAAGCAAGCAAACAAACAAACAAAAATCTCATGCTATTTCCCTGATCTAAATCATTCCCTAAGCTCCAGGAGGAAAATGTCAGGTACAGATGTACATTTCAGCAATGTCTTGTCATTCTTCTTAAAATTAAAGTGTTACTGCATCCCTTCATGCTGATTAGCATGCATAGAATTAGAGAAAAATTCCTATGGTTGTCCCCCCAAACTCGCCAGTTTCAGCAGAAATCATGGTGTGTGTGTGTGTATGTACAGTACTACATTGTGTGTTGCAAGTGCCTACCATTATGAAAGTTGAGCAGAAAGTTGAGCATACTATATCTGCTAATAGTCAAAAATACATTTGCGGTGAGGTCAAGGAGGTTAAAATTTGAAAAACCTATTCCCTGATGTATACAACTCTCAAACTCTCGATGAGTAAGGACTTTCCCTTCATGTGAAGAAAGCTGCAGCAGATTGAGCCAATAGTGTGTCCCACAGTCAAGATGGCAGTTACTGCACATGCTGTAGAGGAAAGTGAGGGGCAGATGGGGCTCATCAACCTGGGAAGGTAGTCCATCTAAGAGAAGGAAAACTCTGGTCCTAAATCTCCACTGCTTTGTGGGATATCTTCGGAGAAGAAAAGGCTAAGGAGCAAACCCTACACAAATCCAGAGTGGAGTCCCTAAGGTGGTGGGATGGCACCTTATACGCCTCCTTCTGGTCAGCTACTCCTGCAGCCAAGCTGATGCCAAACGTATTGCTCTGCTTTTCTTTGGACCACATCAGCAAGGCAGAGAGGAGGATCTTGTCATCTGGGCAGCCCAGGACCTCCATACATACGGCCCAGGCTTGTTCCCTGGGGAGGTTACTTTGGTGCTCAGTTTGACTTCACCCCAGAGGTGCAGTCCATTGTTTCTTGAGACAGATGGATGCCAGCAACAACTCTATACCGAAGATTCTTCAAATACTATAAAGATGCATTTTTAGAGAGGATGATACAAAAAACATAGGTTGAAACTGTAAGCTGATCTTCCGTTATGGTCACCAGTTGATTATAAATCTTGGTACAAGTGCATTTAAAACTGCATTTCAGTCCTTTGCACAGAAATGACAATTACAAGAAAGAATCTGTTGAGCAGCAACGTAGCACATTTGAAACCTGTCTACGTCCCATCAAAATGAATGTAATTGCACTAAAGTTGTCAATATCCCAATTTCCACTGCAGATTGCTGTTTACGTTGAGTTTAATCTTAAGAGTTCCACAAGAATCTGCATGCAGTTCTTAATGAGTGAAGTTTAGTGCTTCTGATGATGCGAGTTAGTGATTCAAGTTTATTGAGTGCTAAAAAGAATTTTTTGCTATAAAGGAGAATTGCTATTCCTTAATTCGCAAGTCTCTTTTAAGAGGCATAATAGATTAGGGTCATCTCTGGTGTAACATACAGTGTAAATAATGGAGCATAACTTCATATGACTGGGATGTTGAGGCTTCTGTTTTCCCTGCTTACTGAAATGTTCAGATTCATAATATTGCAAAGAAGATGCTAAATTTTATTATCATCTCTTAAGAAGTTATCTTTTTAGCTCTGGATAGATAATGCTCTGGTAATAAATACAATTAATTTTTAGCTCAGTGGGAATTTATAACAAGAACAATTTTGCTGTACATGCTTTGGAAATCACTTGTAAAAAAATTCAGTGCCGGAAAACTTCATTGTAACAGAACACTATAGTTATTCTCACAATTACCTGATTCAGATGGTCAAAATGACTTACTGCCACCTGACACTTAAATGCCCAGAAACAACACTCTGCCCAGGCGATATATGAACAGATCTATTTCAGTGCTGGCCTGCATCATATATTAATTTAACTTGTGTTGTTGCTGAAAATAGGTAAAGTTGCATAGGGTTAGGCAACATACTGGACTGCTATTTGTAGAATAGCACCATAGGATTCTTTGAAAAGATGGTTTTTAGAAGATAATGTAACTCATCCTGGCAGAAACAGTGCAGTGGCTCTCCCATAACACTTGACCTACAGTTTGAATGTTTTACAGTGGAAAGCAGCTCAAATTCCAGCATTCACAGAGGGCAGCCAGATGAGGGAAACTTATAAATGTATGCTTTGTTTACTTCTTGAAAAGGTTTTACAAACTGCAGATGGCTGGAGCTGGATTCCTGCTCAGTATAATTCCTGTTTAAGGTTTTAAACGATAAATTCATTTAATTAGGAACTTTCAGTGGGCAGTGGAAAATGGTAACTGTTGCATCTTAATTTTAATGGTACAATGAAATTTCCTTTGCTATAGATGTTTAGCTCTTAAAATTAAAAACGGACACCTGATTGCATACTATTTAATGTGAATAGTCTTGTATAGCCATTTTAGTTTTGTAACTGGCTATAATTCTGTTTGAGTACCAATTACTACATCAGTTCTAACTGCCCCAAACTGATCCACTTCCATGTGTACCAAACAGCCTAGTTTCTTGTATCTTGTTCAGTATTCCTGCTTGCATTTTCCAGTTCTCCGCTATGATAACATGCTAGAGTGAACTAGAAAATCTACACCTATGCAGAGGATTGCCTCCTTTTTATATATATAAGATTTTATTAAAAGTTTTTCATAATACAATACAATAAAAGAAACTAATCTAAATAAAAACAAAAACAGAGAAAGAAAGAGAAAACATAGTCATACACCTTGCTTGATTACCGTATTTTCTGGCGTATAAGACTGGGCATATAAGATGACCCCCAACTTTTCCAGTTAAAATATAGAGTTTGGGATATACTCGCCGTATAAGACTACCCCTCTTCCAACACACACCAAATAAAAATTAGATAAACCAGTCTCCAGTCCGGCTCAGAAATCCACTCCACTTCCCAGTGCCCGGGGGTGTGTGTGCGTGGGAGTGGACGGGTCCATTTAAACAGAGGAGCGAGTCAGAGGGCTTCCTCTTTGGCTCGCTTCCTCAATTGCTAGGACATCACTGAACTTCGCTCAGTTATTGCTTTTGTCGGACCTGCTGAAGCATTTGGGGGGGATTTTTTACTGCTTTTGTTGAGCCGCTCTCGTGGAATTTGCTTGGGACGTGGAACAGCTGACAGGCGCCGTTTCAACCCAGGGTGGCTGGAAAAAAGGATTTATCGTACGCCCCGATCAATTGGCAGTGGGTGAGTCCATCGCTGTGCGTGGGGAGCAGGGCATTTGAGGGGAGTGCTGCCTCAATTGCCACTCTCGCTTTACAACTTTGCCGCCCTCGTGGCGAAAAAGCTTCCAGGTTTCTCTGATCCCGGCCACCTCCCCCTCTCAGCTTCCCCTGCCCGAACTGCTCCCTTCGTCGTTGCCCTCGCGGCTTGATAATCGGTTTCCCTCCCCTCCCCCAGCCATTTTCCACCTTTGCTTGCCCCTTTGGCTGTGCCACGCTCTGCTGCGCTTAATGCTGTTGTTGATTCCCTGCCTTTGTTGTGAGCCTTTCCTTTTCTTTTACTGCGGAGGCTGCATGGGCTGAGGCAATGGCCATGTGTCTAGTTGCTGGGGCAATGCGAGGCCGCCATTTTGGACCACATGGTCTACTACCGGGAGCAGTTAGGGTCGTTCTGTTGCTGGTGATTGGAGAGGCTTCTGGGGCCAATTTCCAAGTGTATTTCTGCTTAATCTAGAGAGCTTGGTGTCCTCCGATTTAATTTGCTGTCGTTTTGTTCTTTGGTGGGGAGTTGCTGCAGGAGCTGCTGCTGTAGCCGGCGTAGAAGGAGACCCCCGACTTTTGAGAAGATTTTCCTGGGTTAAAAAGTAGTCTTATATGCCAGAAAATACAGTACTTGAACATGCTTATCTCCTTTCATAGCATCCTCTGAAGAAGTGCAGGAATGTAGGGGGGTGGTGTGAAATTTCCAATGCTGAGAAAAAAAATTGAAGTGCCCCCGCCAAGCTGAGTTTTAATTGACACCAAGAAATGGGAGATCCTCATTGCCTCACTTTTTCCTTGAGGAGAAGGTGCCCTAGGGGTGGTTCTCCTGCAGCTACTTATGCCTGCCCTGTACCAAATGTCCTTGCTTACTCAGAGTGTTCTCTTCTCTTTCCTGCCCCCAAAGTATCTTAGATGGTGGTCATATAAAGTGTTTCCATTTCTTACATAGTGACTAAGACAAAACATCCAGATTTTATGCATTTCTTGTGTTCATTTTACTTGACATTCTTGTGTAGTTTGAATAATTCTTTGAACCTTCTCTCTCATTACCTGCTAGTCTACCATATTAGAAAGATTGAATGAAGGTTTATTTGTCAACAAGCCTGTCATGCCTTGTGTGCTAAGCATCTAAGCTTCTAGTACTTGGCTGTTGGCTGTAGATCCTGCAGTTTGATACTGAGTAGACAAACAACTCGGCAACAAAATTGATTTGCTTAGAGAAAGACACCTATTGGTAACAAAAGTTAATTAAACTGGGAACACAAAAGATGTGAGAGGCATAATTGGTAGCATAAATTTTAAGTGGTTTTATGTTCTGAACGTCATGCTTGTAGAAACAGTTTTAGATGCACATTGTATATCAATCATCATTTGTCTTGTTTTTGTCCAGCTGCACTTCAGGCCCTAAAACGAAAGAAGAGGTATGAGAAGCAGCTTGCACAAATCGATGGCACATTGTCAACAATCGAATTCCAGAGGGAAGCCCTGGAAAATGCCAACACCAACACTGAAGTGCTCAAGAATATGGGATTTGCTGCCAAAGCAATGAAAGCTGCTCACGACAACATGTAAGATGCTCTTCATCATTGGTTCATTGAATGGGCCAACTTTTCATTGAGTGCAGTACAAAGGGACACATTCACTCTTTGTCCATATTCCCTCTTTTTTGGATAGTTCTGGACAGTTATTATAAACCAGTCTGCACACAGTAACTCAAATTCTACATTGTGCAGCGGGACATGTTTCTATAAAAGTATGCACAGACGTGGTATAAGCTTTCAAGTAACTGATCATGCTAAGTATCTTTACATGTAGACATGCTTTATCTGTAAGCAGCATATAGTTTGAAAAGCATGTGGCTTTCATGGTTAAAGTCTTTGGATTTTACTTCCAGATTATGCAACTGAATAGATGCAAACAAGTTATAATTATTAGAGCAAGCAGTTATTACTGTTACAATTTTTATTTAAATTAGTCTGAATTCTTGCTCAGGAAATAATGATTTCAAAGGAAGAAGTGTGTTTTAAATCAGCATTATTGTTTTCTTGATGATTTGAATCAGTTTGCCCTGGTGGTTAGCTGAATATTTCCTTAAAGCTATTGAGACTTGTAATGATCTCCAAGACTAAACAGATGAATGGTTCAAATAACTTAAATCCTTTTCCTACAGGGATATTGACAAAGTAGATGAACTAATGCAAGACATTGCAGAACAGCAGGAGCTAGCAGAAGAAATTTCAACAGCTATCTCCAAGCCTGTGGGAATCGGTGAAGAATTTGATGAGGTAAGTACCAAACAGTTTAAGACAAGTATGACGTTTGTACACATACAAACTTAAGGATTTCAAAACACACTTACTTCTTGTGACTCAAAATATTATGTAATGAGAACAAATTCATGATTTTTTCATCTTAAATAACAACAGAAATGTGAGTTTAGTACTCTGGCTTGCTCTTAGGAACAGCAGAATAATTTGGATATGTAAATGTTTTGAGACACCTAGAATTCCCAGTTGTGTTGAGTTGGACACGAAGGTTTCTTACAATTATATGATGTTACAAAACTGGCAACAGTGATTTCTGGTGCTAGCACCTGTAACTGCAGCGTCTCTCTCCTTCAATAATAGGATGAACTGATGGCTGAACTAGAGGAACTCGAACAGGAAGAATTGGATAAAAACTTGCTGGAGATCAGTGGTCCTGAAACAGTTCCACTTCCCAATGTGCCCTCAATATCTATACCTTCAAAACCAGGTGAGTGCCTTGCAATTGCTAAAGACAGGAGCATCGTATAACAAGTGCATTTGTCAAAAAAGCATTGTAATATGCCATTCTTGTGATTTTATTTCTCAACTACTGTGCAAAATTTACACACACTAATCTGTTTCACAGAAGGAAAGCCAGTTAAGTTCCCTAGTTGTCTTTATCTACAGATCTAAAGTCATGGTTCTCAAAGCTGGGGGGGGGGGGCTTCCTCAGGATCTATCTCTGACACCTTAGACCCCATAAGCAGTTCTCTGATCGTCTATTCCAACTAATCAATGGTTTCCAGGTTGGAATATTTCATTTGCTTTTATTCCCCCAGGGATGAGAACAATTCTCTCTCGAAGAAAAGGAACTTGGGTGACAAAATTCTTCCCCCATACCTTTAGTTTGAGAATCACTGTCTTGGGTATGAGAACAAATGGATGTGGTTCTGGTTACATTCCCTTGCCCATAGTGTTGTAGTATTGCACAGTTCTGATGGCAGCATGCAGATGTTGCCCATGTGAGGACAACACAGCAAGGAGCTTTTTAAACATGCCCTCCATTTTTCCATATAACCTGGCGTACTACCCCAGGGAAGCAAGCACCACTTTAAAACACTGCCTGCCATTTGGCTACTAAGCCATATTTAAGGAGCTTCTATTGACATAATCCCTAGAGAACTCGGGCTTGGATACCTGAAAGCATCCCTTTTAGGCTCCCATCTAGGCCTCTCCATTTCTTGAGATCCTTGGAAGAGGCTGTCACTGGTTGTCACAGATGTACATTATGCAGCAATCTGGGAGAGGGTCTTTGGTGGCAGCTGCCTTGTAGAGCTTCCTCTTTTCTGAAATAAGGCAAGCAACTCTTGAATTTTCAGAACATGCTTAGTACTTGTTCACTCAGGTATTTGTTGGTTGCTAAAATAGTTGCTTTGGATGGGGTGTATATTTGTGTGACATAATTTTGTTGTGATTTTAAATATTTGATGATAGTTTTTATTTTATTTTGTTTTTTGTATTATGTTTACATGCCAGGAACTGTTCTTGTATTGGCCAGATGAAGAATGGGTGTATAAATACCTAAAATAAAATAAATACATTGAGCAACTGCAGACAATCACAACACAGTGCTTAATCTTGTGGTGTTGTGTCTTTTTCTAGCTAAGAAGAAAGAAGAAGAAGAGGATGATGACATGAAAGAGCTAGAAGCCTGGGCTGAAAACATATAACTACACCAGCTGCCCAGCTGGAGAAACAATTGAGACTCTGCTCACCTGTTGCTACAGGTGCATGTATGGGTGGGAGACATCATTAAGCGCAACGCCTTTATTTCTTTAATCCCATAGCTGTGGGAATTGCATTCTGCATAGCATGGTCTGAGCAAGGGAAACAAAGTTTCCAGAGAAAGTTGCCTGCAGTTTAGGGTGTTGACTTACTTTAAATAATAAACCTTATTGGCAAAATTCCAACATTCAGCTTCTGGACTATGCTAATGCCACTGCTGGATCACCATCTTTCAGAGTTCTGACCATGCTGAATCTGACTCGGGATACGAAGCCTGTAACTTAATTTGATGGAAACGCTTTTAGAAGTCTTGTAAAGTATTTCAAAAGGAAAAGTCCTAAGCCGTTATTGGCTTATTATGCTTAGATGTACAAATGCATCACTTAGGCTTTTAGTTCTTTAAAGTCTCTATTTATATCCATTGGTGGCATTGACACTCCTCTCTCCGCATTACACTCACTTGGTCGCTGTTCCCAGTTGGATTTGGTGAGGTGGATTTGGAATGTTGAAGTAATTCTATGATGGAAGTAGGTGAAATTGACACTAGCTGTACATTTTTCTACATAGCACCTGGAATGTTGATTGCTATCTGTGATATCCAATTCCCATTCAGACACAAACATACATTTATTTTAAATAAGGATCTATGGTTTGCACTGTATTAAATACCTTGATTGATTTTCGTACCTGCCTGATGTCTTCACTATGCATGTATGTAACAGAAACTTGGAGAACCTTGTTGGGATTTCCCCCACCCCCTTTTGTACATCGGTATTCTCTGGTACTTCGGTCTTCCTTCGAGGCAGAAGTGTAGATATCCAAGTAGTGCCATATGTGGCACTTTGGTTCTTAAGTTGAATATTCAGAATAGTATATGCTAGAAATACTAATACATTCTCCCCTCCCCCCAAATGAACAGAATTTGAATAGTGCTAAGTGGTGCCTGTTTTTGAAAGCTTACTGCTGTGTCAGCCCATCTGATGTTGAATCCATTTGCCACATGGTGTTCATTAATTTGCTACAAACAACAACTCTGTGCCAGAGCCAGAAGCATTGCCTTGGTTAATAATAGAAGGGCCTTTGCTCTTCATTCTGCATAAGTACACCATACGTTTTTCAGCATTCAACCTTTCAGCATTCTATATGGAACTCTGCCGCCAAGTATTTGTATAAAAGGAAGAAAACAGACAACCGCTACTGAAAATACACAACATCCCACAGTAACTATCTTAGTATTGGTTTTGGAAAGGCTTAGTCCAAATGCTGGCTGAGGCAGCTGTCTTGGCAGCTTCTCTGCTCCATAATATGGTAGAAATCTCATTTGAAAATTTCCCTGGGGTATAGCTGTTGGTTTCTATTTCCCTCACTGAGCAGCAACTGCAGTCACAAGACATTGTTTTGCATTCCACAGTCAGAGTTACTGTTGGAGTTTCTCACGGGAAAGGGAGACTGGATGTGACGTACACTGGTTTCCTGTTTTTCACTGTGTGTGATTCTCTCCGAGCTGAGAGAGGAGAGAGGATGCATTTTTCTGCTTCTGCAGAGGCAAGATGTCTTTCTGTAATATACCAGCTTTGAACTGTAAATAAAGCAATTTAGAGTATGTAACACATTTTCTTCATCCTTCCGCTGGGCAACCAGACTCTGCTTTAAATCAACACGTGGTTATGGACTCCAGAGGTCGAATCGGAGTGCCGGCAGAGGATCGGAATGCAGAGGGAGGACAGATCGGAACGGAATCTGCTCTGCGCGTAGAAGTGATTGATGAGGTATGTGCTACTGCTCCGGGCAGCCTGCCAGCTTCAAGATAATGGCTTTATGGCTGGACTTTGAACTTTTAAAGCCGGTTTTGCCGGGAATAGGCAAAAGGCTCCCAGGCACAAGTCACTATGCTGGGGAAATCGAAAGTAACTTTTAAGTGTGCCTTTGGATAAGGCAGCTGCAGCAGTGACGCAGCAAGATTTAAAGCAGCACAGATATGACGCTGAAGGCTAATGCCAGAGTCATGATGGCCCTTCAGGATGCTTGTGGGATTCCTAAGCTCAACAAGACAAATTACAGCGACTGGGTTCAGTATGCAGAGGCAATTCTGCGGAAAGAGGGTTTGTTTGAGGTGATTACAGGAACCCCCAGTTCCAGTTACAGATGCATGGGAAGCTAAGGATTCCAAAGCAAGGGGAACTCTTACATTGATAGTATCCCCAGAAGAGCTCTGTCTATTGCGTGATAAGACCTCAGCCAGAGAAATTTGGGACGCTCTGAGAGAGGCTCACTTAAGGACAGAAGCTGGATCCACTATGTTTTATTTTAACAAGCTGCATAATATGGCTCTTGCTGAAGGTGGAGATGTGCGTTTACATCTGATGCAGATGCAAAATCTGAGACATGAGCTGCAACAGAGAGGACTCAACTTTCCAGAGGCTGTGTATTCTTTCATGATACTACAATCTTTGGGTTCAGGTTGGGAGTCTGTTGCAACCCAGATTGCTGTGCAACCAACTGCTCAGCTGACAGTGGACTTTGTTACTGCCGTGATTTTAAATGAAGCAGATCGCCGGGTGCTAGCTGCATGGGCAAGGGAGAGTCTTCACAGACGTCATCCCATAGTGCAGTGGAACCACCAGATGGCGCCAAAGCTTTGAAGGCAGTGAAATGCTACTCGTGTGGACGTCTAGGCCATATGAAGAGGGAATGCAGACATCCCAGGGCCAAGACAGAGCAGCGCAGCGAAAGCTCATCACGCGGAAAAGGCCGAGGCAAAGGCAAAGGTCCGGTGTCTAGGACAACGCAGCACAAGGCTATGGTTTCACGCTTCACTCCAAAGGTTGCAGAGGTCCAGAAGACGTCTAGATCTTTCTTCGTTGTTGATTCAGCGGCCACCCACCACATGTGCAACGATAAGAAACTGTTTGTGTCTTTTACACCGCAGGAAGGTGCGATTCACCAGGCGGATGACCACACTATTCCCAGTAAAGGCTACGGAACTGTTGTTCTTCACAGTTTGGACTTATCGATACAGAATGTGCTTTACGTGCCAGACGCCAAACATAATCTGCTCAGCGTTGGACAGCTGAATGAGCGGAACATTGACGTTTCCTTCAAGAACAAGAAGTGCATCATCACAAAGAAAAATGATTATGTATTGCATGCAGAATATGTTGATCATTTGTTTGTTTTGTATTATGATGATGTGGTGCAGGATGACACTTGTTGCATTGCAGGTTCTAACAAAAGTTTGCATGCAGAATGTATTCACGATTTTCATCGCAAATTTGGTCATTTGCATTTTGAGGCAGTATCTAAAATGCCTGCCTTGGTTGAAGGTATGACTATTAAACCCTGCAGGTACCACATGAAGTGCAAAGCATGCGCAGCAAACAAGGTGAAAATGGCTGCGAAAGGTAAGGTGTCTAGTAGGAAAGCTACAGAACCATACCAGGTTGTTCATGCTGATTTGGTTGGACCACTATCGCCCTCTTTGGGTGGAAATAGATACTTCATGGTTCTCATTGATGCATTTTCTAGATATATTTTTGTGTACAATCTCAAGCAGAAATCGGAGGCTTTTCCTAGGTTCAAGGAATTCTGTGCTTGGTTGGAAAATGTGCATGGTAAGAAGATAAAGACTCTTTTCAGTGATCGCGGGGGGGGAATTCACTTCTCAGCAGTTTGAAGCTTTTCTGACTGAGAAAGGAATTCAACACGATTTGTCTAGTCCTCGCTCGCCATGGCAGAATGGACTTGCGGAACGGGCAAATCAGACATTGCTTCAAGGATTAAAAACCTTGCTGCATGATGCCAATCTTCCAGAGAGTTATTGGGCCGAATCTCTCTCGTGTTTTGTTTACAGTTACAATCGCAGGTTATCTTCAGCGATTGGATGTACCCCCTATGAGAAGATGTTTGGCAAGAAGCCATACATCAAACACATGAAGATTTTTGGTTCTGACATGTGGGTTCGCTCACCACAAAACTCCAAGTTAGACAAGCGTGGATTGCATGGTATCTTTCTAGGTTATCAGAAAGGGTCTTACAGAATAATGATGACTGACTCTAAGACAATTAAGCTCACGAGAAGTGTTGAGTACAATGCAAAGTGGGGGGAGAATGTGGGAATTTTCCAATGTTATCCTGATGACGGTGATGAGACTGAGGATAGTCAAAAGCAACCACAACAGCCCACACCCACTGATGAAGGTTCTGAGTCTGAATCTGAAACTGAATCGGGTGATTCAGAGGATTTCAAGAGTGCGAAAGCCTCTATGCGACCCTCTGAAAGCTCTGATCAAGAATTGGAGGAACCATTGTTCACAATAGGTCGTTTTTCTCCTAAGAAGGAAGAGGAGAGTGTTGAAGACTTAAGGCTAATTCGTAGGTCACAGAGAGCCACAAAGGCAAACCTCCAAAGAGATTTGCTGATGAGTTTGCTACGATAGCAGTAACAGCTGTTAAAAGCTCCAAGAAGGTATTTGAACCTTCAAGTTTCCAAGAAATCCAGGGTTTGGATTCAAAGGAAGCTGAGCCATGGTTAAATGCCATGAAGGCTGAGCTTGATTCCTTAGAAAGGAACAAAACATGGGAGCTAGTTCCAGTAGTTCCAGGAATGAAACTGCTTGGAAGCAAATGGGTCTTCAAAGCGAAGACAGATCAAAATGGCAAGATAGTCAGACACAAAGCCAGATTGGTAGCCAGAGGTTTTGCACAGGTACCAGGTGAAGACTATCACGAGACCTATTCACCCACAGTGAGATATGAAAGCATTAGGCTTATGCTCAAGCTAGCTGCAGAGGAAAATCTACACATTAGTCACCATGATATTAATACAGCTTTTCTGTACGGATCTCTAGATGAATCACTTTATATGCTTCCACCTGATGGCGTACAGGTAAAACAGGGATTTGTTTGTGCTCTGAAGAAATCCCTTTATGGTCTCAAACAAAGTGCACGGTGTTGGCACACAAAACTCACTGAAGTATTGTTTTCTCTAGGTTTTCAGCAAGGGAAAGCTGATCCATGTGTATTTGTCAAAGAGGAGGGGCAAAAGAAACTGTACTGTTTGTTTTATGTTGATGATTTATTATTCTTTTGGAAAGATGTTGCAATGTACAATAGCGCCCTAGCTCAACTGAAAGAGCACTTTGACATGAAAGATCTTGGTGAGGTAAACAACTACCTATCTCTGGAAATAGAGAGAAATCAAGATGGTAACATTCTAGTACACCAGTCACGGAAAATTGCTGATGTGTTAAGCAAACTAAATCTGATGGATGCTAACCCTGTAGACACACCGATGACAACAGGTTATCAGGTAGATGACACTGAAGAAGCATTTTCTGACACTACACTGTACAGGAGTGTGCTAGGCAAGCTAAACTTCATTGCCAGATGTTCAAGACCAGACATTGCTGTTAGCTGTAATTTGCTAAGCAGACAAGTCAACAATCCTAGTGTCAAGGATTGGAAAGCTCTGAAACGCATAGCGCGGTATTTGAAAGGCACTATGCATTACAGACTGAGATTTAACAATCAGAAGTCTGGTGGTCTTGAGATATTTGCAGATGCAAGTTTTGGAAGTGACACTACAGACAGGAAAAGTACGTCTGGAGTTTGCTATATGTACAATCAGAGTCTGTTTGATTGGTCATGCAAGAAGCAAACAACAGTTAGCTTAAGTACTTGTGAAGCCGAACTGAATGCACTGTCTTATTCACTTAAGGATTGTGAATGGTTAGTACAATTGTGCAAAGATATGAAAATTCCTGTCAAATGTCCAATCCAGGTTTACCAGGACAACAAAGCATGTTTGGCTTTGCTGAAGTCTGAAGGTTGTAAGCAAAGCACAAAGCACTTGCAATTAAAGTTGCAGCATGCTAGGGAATGTATTCAGAAGGGACTCGTAACGGTGTCCTATATGCCAGGTAATGAAATTCCTGCTGATGTATTGTCCAAGATTGTATCAAGGGATCAACACTGTACCTATGTGCAGAAGTTGGGTTTGTACTGATATTGTACGAACACGCTGCCCAGTGATGTTCACAGAAAGGGGAGGATGTTGGTTTCTATTTCCCTCACTGAGCAGCAACTGCAGTCACAAGACATTGTTTTGCATTCCACAGTCAGAGTTACTGTTGGAGTTTCTCACGGGAAAGGGAGACTGGATGTGACGTACACTGGTTTCCTGTTTTTCACTGTGTGTGATTCTCTCCGAGCTGAGAGAGGAGAGAGGATGCATTTTCTGCTCCTGCAGAGGCAAGATGTCTTTCTGTAATATACCAGCTTTGAACTGTAAATAAAGCAATTTAGAGTATGTAACACATTTTCCTCATCCTTCCGCTGGGCAACCAGACTCTGCTTTAAATCAACAATAGCTGAAGATTATAGTTTGATATGCATTATGGTTGCTACTGTTTTCAGCATACCCTTGTTTCCTATTAATGGTGTCCTTGTGTTTCTTATATCCGTGGGTGTTCTGCTCCTCAGGATTGTGTGCTCATTTTCTCAAGAATGGTAAATTATGCAATTGTAAATAATGTTCTCATGCATTCCCCTGCCCCCATGCACCATAGGGGATGTGCAAAAAAACCCCCCAAAAGTCAAGGGCTGATCTCCAATGCTAGTTATGATCAGAGTAGCCCCATTAAAATGAATGGACTTTAAAGTCCATTGATTCTAATTAGTCTATCTCAGTATGATTTAATGTGAAATATATTCCTTCCATGTAGTTCTGAAGTAGCTACAATTTTGTCTGGTCATCTTGAACCCCTGTCACGTGGCTTCCTGTGGAAATTGCCTAATTTTGTCTTTCAAAGATGGCTGGAATACAGTGATACACGCTACATTGCCGGTCCCTTTTGTAGATTTGTACTTGCAGTAATCCCCACTCTGTTATTAAAGCTGATCATCCTATTGAGGACTGTGATTGCAAGGGTTTAGAAAATTAGCCAGAGTGCCTAAATGAGATTCTTCTGAACCAGAGAGCTGTAATAAGTCTAATCAATATAATGAATATGTTAAACCCCTTATTTCTGCTTCCGTGGACTAAGTCCCAGAGTCACATCTGTATATGGCTTTCACAGTTCTTCTACCTTTTCCTTTCTACTTTTTCTTGCCTAAACTATTGTAGTCACCTGGAATTCTCTCTTTAAATAGAAATAATACAAAATTCATTATAAAAATTATGAGGAAAAGTACAATCAAAGGCTGGGAGGGCTTCTCAAATTAAGTCTTGTTTACAAGACTTCCTTCATATGTTATCTTGCAGACAACTTACTACAGTCAAACCTCGGTTCCCGAACAGCTCCGTTTTAGAACGTATCGGCTCCTGAATGCCAAAAACCCAGAAGTAAATGTTCCGGTTTTCAAACGTTTTTTGGAAGCTGAATGTCCAACGCAGCTTCCGCTTGAGTGCAGGAAGCTCTTGCAGCCAATCGGAAGCTGTGCCCTGGTTGTCAACTGTTTTGGAAGCCGAACAGGCTTCTGGAACACATTATGTTCAACTGAGGTTTGACTGTAGAAGGGCAACCATTAGGATTATATTCTTCATCCTAGTACATGATATGAGCAATTTTTTTAGAATTTATAACTTTATTGATTTTCCTGAGAAACATCAGTAAAAACAGAAATGGCACAATGTATTAAATTATCCCATGTCCTCTTCCCTCTGGATTACAAATGTAAGACAGTTTAATAAAATCAACTTCGCATTTCTAGAATGTACATCCTATAACATCAGTGACTTTGTACTTCTCAAATATAGATCCATCCTGTTAACAGCTTCATCAAGAGCTGTATGAAACAAATCATACAGTTTAGGTGCATGTAGTCTAGTCTTAAGGGTTGTGCTATATATCTTTAGCTACTGTGAACATAGACTATCCAAATGCAATTCCAACCCTTTGATCTTTGTTGCTGGAAGGTGTTAGGCTGTGGCAAGCATACTTGCCTGCTGTTAGAGAGGCTCTGTTCTTGCAGCTATGGAAAGCATGGTGCATGGAGCACTTCTGCTGCAGAGTTTTCACCCGTGTTAGCCAACCTACAGCTCCATAGCAAGGCTTTATGGGGCAAGGGCAAATTACAGCTGACAAGGAATATTCTGTATCCTAAGCTACTCCATTCCCCTGAGATGGGCCTAATTTGGGTGCCTCAGCTCTGCCAGCATGGAATTGGCACAGCAAAATATAGAGAGCACACACCCCGGCAATACATGTGCTATGCACTAGCAGGCCTTTGGGTGTGGTGATCAATCTGCTGGTCCTATTGGGGGTTAGTATTGCTCAGGGACGCGGGTGGCGCTGTGGGTTAAACCACAGAGCCTAGGACTTGCCGATCACAAGGTCCGCGGTTCGAATCCCCGCGACGGGGTGAGCTCCCGTTGCTCAGTCCCTGCTCCTGCCAACCTAGCAGTTCAAAAGCACGTCAAAGTGCAAGTAGATAAATAGGTACCGCTCCAGTGGGAAGGTAAACGGTGTTTCCATGCGCTGCTCTGGTTCGGCAGAAGCAGCTTTGTCATGCTGGCCACATGTACGCTGGCTCCCTCGGCCAATAAAGCGAGATGAGCGCCGCAACCCCAGAGTCGGTCACGACTGGACCTAATGGTCAGGGGTCCCTTTACCTTTACCTATTGCTCAGTTACTTGCATTTGTAGTCTCTCCCCGCCCCCGGTCTCTTACATCCTCAGCAAAGCAACAGATGAATCATATGGTATACAGGGCCGAAATATTAATACAATACAATGCTTAAAAAAGTAGAATAAAAATGGAAGACTACCACAACCTACCAGTGTATATTTAGATGTGAGTCTCACACAGAAGGGTATAGAAGCAGAATCAGCACAGAGAGAGAGAGAGAGAAGAACATGCTGATTCTTAATATTTCCCGCAATATTTTATAATAACTCAAGGACTGCCTCTCTGCATATGAACTGATATGGACCATCTGACCATCATCTGAAGCCCTTCTTCACATGTCTCCTCCATGGGAGGTCCAGAGGATGACAACACGAGAAGGGGCCTTTTCTGCAGTGGCTCCCTGTTTGTAGAATGCTCTCCCCAAGAAAGCTTGCCTGGCGCCTTTGTTACATATCTTTAGGCGCCAGTTAAAAACATTCCTCTTCTCCCAGGCCTTTGGCTATTTAAGCAATCTATGGCCTTTTAAAATGTGTGGGGTGGTTACTGTTTTTGTTTGTTACTTTGTTATGTATTTTTGTGTTTTATATTGTAAACCGCCCTGTGATCCTTGAATGAAGGCAGTATAGAAATTTAATTAATAATGAGATACTCATAAAATCATTCTCCCAAACATGATCTCTGTTTACAATGCCTTTGTCAGGAAAGTAGTATTCTTGGTTTGATGCTCATATATGAGTCTCCTTCCTTACTATGAAATTTGATGGCTGTTCAGAATAGATCATATAGTTGTGGCACTGTATGCTCTTCCAAGCATTTTATTTCTCTGCCTCTCCACTTTTCAGAGTTTGATTTATCTTACTTACCAGACGTGGTTGGTAATCGGGAATTTTAGCCTTCAGAGTAATCACTGATGTTTATTTGTTGATGGTTTGTGTAATGCTTAAGCTTTAAGATTTCACATGAGATATGCAGTGGGATGGTCCATGTACGCATCTGCATTTCAGCCTTGGCCATTCAATGGAATACTTAACTGAGCCACAGAAATGAAATTCCTGTATTTGAACACTGGGTGGCAACCTTACACCATTCCATGTAAAATCTGTACTTCCTTAGGAAATCAGACGAATTTTGAAAGCTTATATATTATTATTTTCTTTTTATGTTCCTGTAGTTCTTCAATATAGGTAGTTTAGGGGAGTCAGGTTATTTGCTGTTGTATATTAATCTAGCTTAAGTGGAGTATTTTTTATCAAGGAATATAGGTAAAGGTAAAGGACCCCTGGACAGTTAAGTCCAGTCAAAGGCGGCTATGGGATTTCGACGCTCATCTTGCTTTCAGGCCGAGGGAGCCGGTGTTTGTCCACAGACAGCTTTCCGGGTCATGTGGCCAGCATGACTAAACCACTTCTGGGGCAACGAAAAACCATGTAGGAAACCAGAGCTCACGGAAACTCTCTGGAATATAACGTGTGACTAGTGGCATGTGTAATTTATAGATCTGTTGAATCCTCTGCCGCACTTGTACAACTGCCTGCCATGATCTGCACTGCACTGTGAGCTAGTACCAATGGGCAACCAACTCACATGATCTGTGCTATTGATATATGCTTATGTCCTATGCAAGAAATAGTCTCCCGACTGCACATTTTCAATCTGTTCTGCAATAGTTAGGTGTGTAGGAAGCTGCCTTATTGCCAAGTCAGACCGTTAGTTCATCTGGCACAGTATAGTCTACAGTGACTGACAATGGCTCTCCATGGTTTGACAGGGAGTCTCTCCCAGCCCTATATAAAGATGCCAGGGGTCAAACCTCAGACCTTCTGCATGCAAAGCGGTTGCATCTACCACTGAGCTGCATCCCTTCCCTTTGTTGCCCTGATCAAATGACCTTTACTGGAAGGTGGGCTGGAGTGCAACCTTGCTGGTTCTTGATCTTTCTGTACCAGTAGGCTCTGTGGACCGGGTGTTGGAGGCACTGTAATATGGTGGTTCTGCTCTTATTTACACCATCAATACCAGAGAGAATTGGGAAGCTCCTCAGTCCCCTGCCCCTTGTCCTGCAGGATACCATATTGTTGTCAATGCTGTTTGATATCTATATGAAGCCACTGAGAGTAATTGGGGCTTTGGAATGCAGTGTCGTCAGCATGACACCAAACTTCTCTCTTCCATCTGAATCAGGAGAGGCTGTTTAGGAGCTCAACCAGTGTCTAGAGGCAATAATGGGCCAGATGAAAGACAGTACCTGATAAGACGAAGGTACTCTTGGGGAGCATTTCCTGGGTCCATGGGGTTGAGTTACAGTCAAACATCGGTTCCTGAATGCCTCCGTTTTGAAACGTTTCGGCTCCTGAATGCCAAAAACCTGGAAGTAACTGCTCCGGTTTTTGAACGATTTTCAGAAGTGGAACATGCTACATGGCTTCCATTTTGAGTTTCCCTATTGTATTGAGGCTTCTGCTTTCAGTTTTCGGTTGTCGAACGTTTTGGAAGTCAAACGGTCTTCCTTAACGGATTACATTCGACAACCAAGGTTTGACCATACTGGTCTGTTCTGGATGGTGTTACCTTTCTCTTGAAGGTCATAGCTTGGGAATGCTCTTGAAGCTTTAGTGACACTCCTTGTCTGTGCCCAGCTACAGCTGATTCATAAGCTATTCTCCTTCTATGACTGGGATAGCTTAGCTATGGTACTATGTACTGTCATGTTTAGGCTGTGAAACTCCTTGCTTTCCTCTGCAAATAGCAGCTTCACAAATTCTGCCCTTTACTGAGTTAGACTACAGGTCCATCTAGCTTAGTATTGTCCCTGGTGATGGCTTTCCAGAGTTTCAGTTGGTTCAGCCATACCTGGATATGCTGAGGATTGAACCCAGGACTGTCTGATAGCAAAACATTTGATCTATCAATGAGCACTGAGGCTACTCCTCAAAGTCATACACCTTGCTTGATTACTTGAAGCTGTTTGTGTGAACCAACTCTGATGAAAAGCATTATGTTTAGAAGGATCTGAGAAGATCTGGCTTAATAGTGAAATATTTTCAAACTACTACGTTAGTGTTATACGTATGACCTTCATCATTCACACATGCAAGTTGGTGCTCTGCTCCTGAAATCATAAACATGCATGGGTGAGCCACCCCTCCATTTTTGGCCCAGACACCTGTATCCAACAGACTGTTATCCTCCTCCATGTTAGATTTCTTGCTCATCAACTCCCACTGAAGCTGGTTTATTTAATGGATTTTGGTATAGCCTACTAAAATAGGGTCTGGTCCCTGTTGGGAGGTTTCAGAGGTTGGCATGATACAGATGGAATCTGAATGTGCATGCCATGTAGTAACTCACATCCTGCAGTACCAAAATGAGAATACGGTACGCCCACGCCTAAAGCCAAAATTGTGTATAGTCAAAACACATTGGGTGCAATGTTGGGCAGGTCTTTTTTCCCTTTCTGCCCCCCTCTTTAATTTCTGTTGCCTGGTGCGTAAAGCAGAATGTGCACGAGTTAAATGTGTGTAGGTTGTGGGCTTACTGTAATGACAAGCACATGTGCAGTGTTGATAAACCACCTGTAGATGCCACTCATGTCCTGGCTGTATATCAGCATCCTTCACTTTAGCAGTGGGCTTCTGTCTTGTGTACACTGCTGTACATTCCCAGCAGTACAGGGTAGCGTTGTGTTATTGCAAGAGTCAGGTAATTATAGGAACAGTGATGTGAAAGCAAGGCTTCTGTCAGCAGAAAGTTCATCCCTACAATATTGTAGCCTTTGGGGGGTATGTTCCCTCTTTTAACAGTAAGTAGAGCGCTGTTGAAAAGCAATTAACTTAGACTTTAATGGCATAACATTCTCATTGACTGCAGTGGAATTTGGTCCCCATAAGCATTTTGACAGACGAGACAGGTGCAGAAGGGGTTTCAGGTTCATTCACGCAACCTCTCCATGTGAAATCTTAAATAAATAAAATAAAAAACCACCAGCCTGGATTGTGCATAGCACATGGCAGCAAGCAGGAGGCTTGCTCACACATTACGCTGAACACACGGACAACCTTGCATGTGCAAGTGTCTGTGGGAAAGAGTGTAGACTTGTTGATTTGTACAACTCAATCACTGTGTACACCGACTATGCACTTGTTGAATTTACATGTGAATAAATGTAGGACTGTACAGCTCAACTATCTGTGTGCACAGATCGTACACTTGTTAAATGAACTGCATGCACAAATAAGGATTTCTCATGCAGCTGTGCAAGTTACATGAGGAAGAGTTGTAGTGGTCTGTTAGGCTGAATTAATGTGCTCACAGTGAACAATTCAGAATAATCTCTCTTGGACAACAGGGTGATTAAAGGAGGACAAAAGGAGGACATAATCAATGTCCATATCTGGCAATGAGTGGAAATGGAGAAGGGAGAGCCATGAGTGAAGCAGTTAAAGACAAATGAATGTCAGCTCCGACAGTAATTCCCATTTCCCTTTGGCTCATTCAGATTTCAGATTTGGCGATTAGCATTCCCTCCCCTCGTTGAACTTGTTTTTGTCCAATGGTAATTTATAGATGATAAGTCCTGGACATGGGGTTGTGTGGCTTACTTTGCAGGCAATGCCTGGAGATGCTGAATAGCACCTCCTTTTGCAGGCTGCTTTCCGGTGGCCAACCTTTGGTGCTAACCTGTCCTTGCTTTTGTGCTGTAAGCTGCATGTTGAATAATAATGATAATGATAATAACTTATTATTTATACCCTGCCCATCTGGATGGGCTTCCCCAGCCACTCTGGGCGCTTTTCAAATATTAAAATGCAGTAATGCATCAAACATTAAAAGCTTCCCTAAACAGGGCTGCCTTTAGATGTCTTCTAAAAGTCTGGTAGTTGTTGTTCTCTTTGACATCTGGTGGGAGAGCGTTCCACAGGGCGGGTGCCACTACCAAGAAGGCCCTCTACCTGGTTCCCTGTAACTTGGCTTCTCACAGTGAGGGAACCGCCAGAAGACCCTTGGTGCTGGACCTCAGTGTCCGGGTAGAAGGGGGTGTGTGGAGACGCTCCTTCAGGTATACTTGGCTGAGGTCGTTTAGAGCTTGAAAGGTCAGCGCCAACACTTTGAATTGTGCTCAGAAACATACTGGGAGCCAATGTAGGTCTTTCAAGACCGGTGTTATGTGGTCTCGGCGGCCGCCCCCAGTCACCAGTCTAGCTGCCGCATTCTGGATTAGTTGTAGTTTCTGGGTCATCTTCAAAGGTAGCCCCACATAGAGTGCATTGCAGTAATCCAAGTGAGAGATAACTAGAGCATGCACCACTCTGGCGGGACAGTCCGCAGGCAGGTAGGGTCTCAGCCTGCCTACCAGATGGAGCTGGTAAAGAGCTGCCCTAGACACAGAATTGACCTGCACCTCCATGGACAGCTGTGAGTCCAAAATGACTCCCAGGCTGAGCACCTGACTTTCCACAGTCTGTGGGAGGAAAGAGAGAGCACTTATTTTGGAAGGGTTCAGTAAGATGTTAGATCACAATCAAGCAGGGATTCAGAAGCTGTGGACTAGCTGACCGTTGGGGTCCCTCTCAACTGTTCATTTCTATGATTCTATAAGTACGAGTGACTGCAGCATCTTAAATCCCATTTTGCTCTATAATATCCATACAGAAGCCACTATTTATGCCACCCATAGCACATTACGGCTCAACTGGGGTGGTGGCAGTGCAGAAGCAAGAGAGCAGGGCTGCTGCACCTTTTGGAGTTGCGCAGAAGAGGGCATTTCTGCTGGTACACCTCACATTAAGGCAGAGAAGGGCTGTAGCTTAGTGGTAAGACATATCCTTTGCATGCAAAAGGCCACAGGTTCAATTCCCGGTGACTCCAGGTACAATTGTGAGCATCCACCCTGCTATTTTCTTTGCACATTTCTACATGTGTCACTGCACCTAAGTATGTCATTTTAGCAGCATAGCCATTTTAAATTTTACATTTAAAATACTTCTTTTAAGTGGTGTAGGGCACTTTAAAAAAAAGGTGGAAAAGCATTTCAGCACAAATTTAAAAATTGTTTCCAGAACCCCGCACCTCTAAAATTGTGCTGAAATGAAGAGGCATTAGGCTGAACTGCCTGAAACATCACTGTGCATGTCAAAACCTTGCCTCTTCAGGAAGGCAGTAGTGCTCAGGCGATCTTTGCCTGTGGAGAATCCTTTCTGTACTCCAAACCCATTCAGAAGTCTCAAGGATATGGAAGAACCACAGGGGAAACACAGGCCAGCAATAATTTGAGGATGATGTTATACAGATGCCCTCAGAAAGGGAGTAAACAAAGAGTGATAATCCCAGAGTAAATACCTGTAGGGATATCGCGGAGTGGGGCAGTGGGGTCCGGAGAGAGCACACTTCCCCACCAGCAGGCAGCCACAGTCTGCCTGCATGCGTGACCTTGGGGTGCAGGGGCAAACCCCCCCGAGACAAGCCACAGCTGTCTGTACATCGTTCCACCTCTGCCTGACCTTTCGCGATCTCAGCAGTTTGCGGTGTCCTGTCTGTAACCCTTTTCCATGAG